AAATAAACACCTACCCTTCTACGAAGAAGGCTTATTTCTATAGTCGTCTTCTAGAATATTAGCTAATAATTTTCTAGATATCTCTAGGTTCGAGTAAGTCCGCTAGCTAAGGTAGCTATATTAATAGGCCTAATAACTCGGTAGTTATTTTATTTATACTTTACTAAATAAATACTATTCTTTTAGTATCGACGTATATAACCTTATAGCGGGTACTAGTCTCGGGATTATTCTTAATAGTCTAATTAGTTACTATAAAGTAGTATTTATAACGTATTTTCTAAAGATTCTCTTCTATAGTAACCTTATTAAAGTACTAATATTCTCCTAGTTCTAGTTTAACCTCTCCTTACTTAGAATATAATAAGTCGCTATTCTCGGGGTCGGCTATAGGGTAATAGCTGTCCTCTAGGTAATAGGCCTAGTTTACTAATAGTTATATATTATCTCGAGTTTCCTTATAAGAAGGTAAGGTATTAGTACTAGAGTATACTAATATTAGTATAGTTCGAGCTATATAGTATATTATAGCTAACTAGCGTATAGTATTAAGCTACTTCTCTAGGCCTTTATAGTTTTCCTTATAGTAGAAGCTAGCTAGGTAACTAGATTATCTATACTTATAATAAAGTCTCTTCTCTTAACGTCGTTATCTTTTTTTATTAGAGAGCTATCTCTATTATAAGGTTTTCTTAAAAGCTACGTTTAATTACCTAGTATTACTATATTACTTATAGTACCTCTTATAGTAGTAATCTAACTTCCTATATTTTTTTCTAAATTTATAAAGGCGGTTATTTATCTTAACTACTTTCTCTATTATAGTTACTATATTATAGTAAACCCTTTCTTAGTATACTAGTTCTTCTTTAAGGTAGACCTTTAATTCTCTCTAGAAGATCTTAAGTAGTACTATAGTATTCTATCTAGTCTTATTTCTATAACGTTAGAACTTAGTAGTATATTATATTACCGAGCCTATTTAGGTAAGAGCTAATAGCTTACGTACTACTATTCTCTTAGTATTAATATCTCTAAATATTCGTCGTATTTCTACCTTAAAACTCCTAAAATTTCTAAAGATCTTCTAAGTTACTATTATTATACTAGCTAGTTAGTCGTTATATTTAAAATAGTCTCTTAAAAAGAGTTAGATCTAAAGGTAAGCTAGGCCCTTAAGGTACGACGTAGCCTAGAGAACCTTATACTTCTCCGAGCTAAACTAGTCTTTATTAAAGGTAAAGTATAATTCGGCCTAAAGTAGAAAGGTCTCGAGTTTAGAACGGTTTTCTAAATATCGTTTAGAGAGTACTACCTTAAGTAGTACTATATTTTTAACTATAATATTCCTTCTATTATCGTCTAGTATACTAATATCGTCGGCCTCCTTACCGCTTCTCTAGGTAGAGTTAGTAGTAGGCGTAAGGTCGGTATAACTAGTAGTTAGACTTTTATTAGGTAGTAGAGTAGTCTTCTTACTAGATAAAGCTATTATTAATAATCGAGGTATACTTAGAATAGGTACTTAAAGTATAACGATTTAGTTCTTCTATATACTATAGATAGAGGTTTCGTCGAGTTAGTATATAAGTAAGTATATATAAGATTATTAGGTTATATACTCGGAGGTATATTCGTTATAATAAGAGTAAGTTAAATAGATAATATACTATTACTATAGTAAGTTAAGTATAAAGCTCCTATCTAAGGAAATTATAATTATTATATAGAACCTTTATTCTCTAGATCTCTAGATCCCTTCTACTATAAGGACCCGTCGGGCCTACTAGACCTAGAGGAGCCCGGGGAAGGCCCTAGGGCTCTATTATATACTCTTCGGTTCTCTACGTAATACCGTCCCGAAGGCTCTTAGCTCCCGCTATAGAATCCCCTTAGAGATAGTACCTTAGTCGTAATATAGTAATAAAGTTATTATTTCTAAAACTAAGGATACTATTATTTTAGAGTCTAAATCTTATAAAGAGGCTATAAGTAGTAATAATCCTTATAAATTACTATAGATTAAAGCTATACAAAATAAGCTTAATACCTTAAATAATAGTAATACTTAGAATATTATAACTACTAGTAATTACAATATTAAACCTATTAAGACTAGATAGGTTTATAAGCTAAAAGAAGATAATAGTAAAAATACTATAGAGTTTAAAGCTAGATTCGTAGCTAAAGGTTTTAAGTAAATCTATAGTTAAGACTATATAGACTCTTAGTAGTAGTTATTAAGCAAATAGCGTAGAAAATACTATTTACTATAGCTCTATATAATAACTACTATATCTATAAAATAGATATAGTTTTAGCCTTTATATAAGGTAATATAGATATAAATAAACTATATTTAACCTTACTATTAGGTCTAGAATATATTAAACTAGATTCTAATATAGATAATAGTAAAGCTAAGTATTTACTATTAAATAAAGCTTTATACGGCTTAAAATAATCGGCTAGAATCTAGTACTTTACCTTAGTAGATAAACTAAGAGAATTTAGTTATAAACCCTTAAAAACTAAATCTTATATATTTACTAATAGTAATATAAATATATATATTTATATATACGTAGACGACTTAGCTATAATCGGACCTAATAAAGACGATATATAAGACCTTATTAATAGTATTAAAAAACACTTTACTATTAAAGAACTAGGTAAAATTAAGGATTACTTAGAAATCGATATTATTTGTACTAAGAATACCTTAAAACTAAGTTAAAGTAAATATATATCTAAGGTATTAGATAAATATAATATAGCTAATTATTACTCTATATATATACCTATAGATTCTAAGTTAAAAATAATTCTAAATACCGAAATAGCTACTAAAGAAGATACTAAGCTATTTCAAGGTATTATAGGTAGCCTATTATATATAGTACTAGGTACTAGACTAGTTATAGCTTATTCTACTATTAAACTAGCTAGATTTACTAGTAATCCTAGTAAAGAATACTTTACCGCTATTAAGAAAATACTAAGATACTTAAAAGGTACTATAGATTATAGTATAACTTATACTAAATCTAATTCTTATCTTAGTAGCTATTATAATTCTAACTACGCCGGAGATATATATACCTCTAAATCTACTACCGGGTATATATTTTACTTAGGCGAAGGGCCTATAAGCTAGAAATCTAAATTATAGTCTATAGTAGCTTAAAGTACTACCGAGGCCGAGTATATAGCTATAAATACTACCTCTAAAGAAGCTATATATATAATAGTCTTAGTTAAAGAACTAGGTTTTTATAAATAAAATAAGTTCTCTTTATATACCGATAATAATAGTACTTTATTATTAGGGTATAATTCTATATACTACGAACGTACTAAATATATAGCGGTTAAATACTACTATATAAGAAATATTATATTAGAAGGTATAATAGACTTAATCTATATACCTACTAAGAATTAAAAGGTAGACGGATTTACTAAGCCTTTAGATAAAGTTAAATTTAAGAAATATCTTAAATACCTTAGTTATAAGATTTAATAAAACTAAGAAAACTAAGGTTTTCTAATATTTAAGAAAAATAAGATATCTAAGAAAATAAGATATCTAAGATACTTTAAAATAACTAAATAATATAAGTAGTTATTAAGAGGGCGTATAAGTATTAGGTAATAAATACTTATATTATACTATAGTACTTATAAAGAGTCTATAGTAAGTATAGAATATTCTAGAAAGATATATTACTAAGGTAGTAAAGTTTATTTCTAAGCGAATATTCTAGAATAAGAATATTACTAATATTCTTATTAATATTAATAATAGTAACTAGTTAATTTCTAATAAATAGAATCTTCTAGAGTTAAGGTTTCTACTATATAAGGGTTCTTTAGTTCTAAGTAGATAGCTTCTTTCTTTAAGTAATTTAAGTCTTTTATATTCGAACCTTAAGTCTAACGACTATAATAATTACCGCTATTCTCCTTACTTTATATCTATATACCTATACCTTATAACCTAATATAATAACTCTTTAAAAAGCTTAAAGTAAGCTTTTACTTTAAAGAGAAAGTAATATAATAGTATACTATTATATACTTATATAGTAAAGAGGTTTAGAGTCTAGTTTAGAAAAAACTTAAAACTACTAGAACTAGATATAATTTAGATCTATTAAGTTAAAATCTTAAATATATAGCTAGTAGTTCTTTCTATATATATATACTTCTTATCTTTTTATATTCTTTATATTAAATCTAGTAAAACTTAATAAAATACTAAATATATACTACTATATACCTCTACTTTAATATCTACAAACTTATATTATTATATAAATCTCTTAATAATAATAAATAGAGATTAAACTTTTATTTAAACTTAATAGACTATTTATTATTATTTTATTTATAAGTTATATAGTAATAGAGGTAATGTTCCGCTATTTTAGAGTATATATAGACTTAAGTCTACCTACTGTAACTTTCAAAATATCGAGGAAAAATCGAGGACGGCCCCCCTACCCTATAATGCCCTCGAGATCTATTCCGAGTACTTAGAAAACCTTAAACCTAACTCTATATTTCTCACAAATCAAAAGACAAAAGCCACGTGCGGTGGGGGTAAGGATGAGAACAATCTGATCCTTCGAGTCACCAAGGTATAGTCTCCGGAATTGATTGGTCTTCGGGATAGTCAACCGAATTGAGGCTCAGCAAACGGTGACGAGAATGGATGGACAATCTTAAAATTCTGCAGGTGAGATCTCACGCGTGTGTCATCTTTCCCTTTCGGTTCTGGAAAACTAGCGAATCAAGAGGCTCCCTCGTAATTTGGTTTGCGGCTGAGGCTTTTGGCCGCCATCAACTGTCAGCGCCATGCACTTCTCAAGGTATTGTTGTCGCAGCGTCTATTTGATCTCGCCTTCTGGTTATCAAAACCCGTCGTACAATCGCTTCTTGTTGCATCTTTCTTTTTTCTTCAGTCATTCATTCCACGGATTCGAGCAGTGGGCATGGCGTTATCTAAATATTTGCGACTGTTGTCGCTGCCAAGCGCTCTGTTGTCAGGATTGTGTCTCGCGCTGCCAGCATCAACAGACAGTCCACCAGCTCCTGCACTTTCTAGAGCTTGCGGGTCTATTGTCAACAACCAAAGTATGTAGGATCTTTCAACACACTACTCGAAGACCAATCTGACAATATTTTAGACAGCAGCTTCTTCAGCGCAAGCATCGCTTATGAATGCCTCACAAGTGTGCCTTTCAATCCCGCTATTGCCAGCCGTTTTCTAGATTACTACAGATATACTTTACAATTTCAGAGTACACTGATTTATCTCAAAACTCCTCCACCGAGTTATCAGCAACCAGCGGTGGATTTAATTCAAGGTTTAGATGAGGTGCAGAGTGCTATCGAAAGTGGACTGTTCCCAAATCAATACGAGTTCGAAGCTGCCCTTCAAACACTTGTGTACGCTACTCATGATGGCCATATCAGCCTAGTTGCTGGAATTCTTGCTGTTTTCAACTTTGCAAGTCCTTACGATATCGTGTCGCTCTCGATTGATGGGGTCCAGACACCTAAAGTTTACTTGACCACCCACGTGGATGATAGCAATTTTTTCGAGGACTACCGACCTTCACCAATTGTCCTAATCAATGGCGAGCCTGCTGAGACTTATCTCACCAAGTATGCGTCGAAAAATTCTATCGGGATGGTCGACCCACATGCAGATTGGAATCAGTTGATGAGAAGTGCCGCTTTGGACATTCAGGGAACCTTCACCGTGTTCGGTGGTGGAACAACCTTCTACCCCGGCGATACTATCACTTTCACATTAGAGAATGGGACTATTATCTCAGATGACTTTATCGCTATTTACAATACACAAGGAAACACGGGACCTCTGGAAACTGGAGGTGATTTTTATAATCTCTTCGTCCTCGGCGTGCTGCCTGCTTCCTTCGACGAAGACCTGATTAACAACAACAACATCAATGCCACTGCACAAGAAGTAGACGAGACTTCTTCGTCCACAGTAGAACCCACAACAACCTCTGACTCAACATTGACTGCCTCAACATCTGATAGCACCCCAACACCATTGTGTACCAACTCCTGGTCCAATGCTGCATACCCTGAGTGTCCCGACGTAGCACAGGCTGATCTGGGGACTTTTGGGGCTGGCTACATATCAGGTCAGTATACCTCATGTCCCTAGTCTACATGTTTGGGTCTAACTTGGTTGCTAGGTTATTTCTTGAACAACACATCAGTTGGCGTATTGAGTATTCCCAGCTTCGACGCGGATGACGATAGCATTGGGCTCTTTGATTCTACTATTGAGGAATTCCTTTCCAAAAGCCGTAGCATTGGAATTAAGAAGATTGTTATTGACTTGCAGTCCAATACCGGTGGCATGACTCTTCTTGCAATAGCTGCCTTTAAGCATTTCTTCCCTAACATTGACCCTTTTATTGGCTCACGATTGCGAGCGACCGATGCTGCGTATGCCATAGGCAATGCAGTAACAGCATATTTCGAGGAAACAGACCTCGACAGCGATGACTTTGATACGTTGATCACAGACGAATGGGTGTCTACTCCACGCCTCAATGCCGAAACGGGCCGGACGTTCACAGACTGGGATGAGTTCTTCGGACCGCACACTTTGAATGGAGACAAGTTCACATCTGTTCAACGCTATAATCTATCAAACACAGTATTCGATACAGCGGCGGTCGACATCGACGATGGTAATTTTACTGTTTTTGGATACGGATCAAATCCTGCTCCAAGCCAAGTCCCTCCGTATGCGGCGGAAGATATCATCATGCTCTCAGATGGTGTGTGTTCGTCTGCCTGCGCCATCTTCATGGAAATGATGCGCCATGAAGGAGGTGTTAAGGTTGTGGCTGCAGGTGGTCGACCTAACAATGGTCCAATGCAAGCACCAAGTGGAAATCGTGGGGCTGAATTTCAGTCAACTGCTGAGTTAGACGCTAATATAGATTTTGCTCAAAGAATCTATCAATCCGCGAACTTCACAGACGAGGAGATTTTCGACCTCTTACCGAACCGAACACAGGCACTCGATGTATATGTTACATTCGCCAGCATCAATTTGCGTGATCAAGTACGAAAAGATGAGACGATTCCTTTACAGTTTGAATATCAGGCTGCGGACTGTAGAATTTGGTACACTCCAAAGACCTTTTATAATTATACGGCACTGTGGCAACATGCCGCCGATGCAATCTGGAATAGCAACTCTCTTTGCGTTCTGGGGTCCACAGGGTTCGCAACGACGGGAACAAATAAACCCGACTTTGAGGGCCCATCGCCTTCAGTCAATCTTGGAGCTGTCGAGATCTCAAACATCACTGCACACTTAACCAACACGTCATCTCTCGCGTTTCTCACTCATTCCAACGACGGACTCGAAGACTTTACTCCTGCAACGGCAAAAGCTGCGCCCATTCCTTGTCAAAGTACTGCGGACTGCGCAAATGCCATACCAGGAACTCTCTGCGCGTCAATAACGACTTGTCTTGCTTCTGGGAAGAAGGGCTCTGGACAGTTTTGCGTTCTGAAATGTAGTAACATCAATGGCGTTTGCCAGACCCTAGCTCGAACTGGAGGGACGTGTAGGTCTGATCAAAAGATTTGTGGAACTCCTGGAAACTGTGTGACACAGAGTAGTAAGAACGCCATTGCTTTTGGTGGCGGCGGAGGTAGGACGGCTGTTCCTGGGGTTTGCTTGCCGCCGGCTGGTGGTGCTTGTTCTGCCCAGGTTCCGGGTCAGATTAGAACGGGTCCTTCTGTTAGTAGATTAAAGAAGGGAGCTTAATTTAAATGGGAGGTAGGTAGTTATCCGTATTTGTTGTGGCGATGAAAGAGACTCTAATGTTTTGTTGGATATACCACTGCTATACTTGGAAAGTTAAAAGCGATATCACTTAATCTATGTACTGAAGCAAAAGATGAAAACAATGTTGCTCACTTGAAAATCATGTCTTCCGCAAAGGATGGCTAGCGGGGAAGATTCTACTAATTGATATCCCGCGAAACAGCACCAGCGGGAGAAAAAGTTAGGTTTGATTGTTATTGTCTACAATGATTAGTTGGAACGATTGGAGCCTGGCGGAGACAAGATCAACAAAGAATTGCTTTGTTGGGTAACAAAATCGGATATAATATCTGAACCAATCAGACAAATCAAAGAAAGCCACGTTTTCATTGAGACACACCTCGGGTAAGCCTCGTGGCGACCAAACAATGAAAGCAGTAACTCAAATAATATCTCAACTGGGTTGGTGTAAGAACCCATATCTGATACAGCAGAGTTCAACGAGTTTTATTTAATTCAAAAGAATCGAGGGAAAGCCATGCCTCGACTTCCAGTTACTTCGTTCAGCGCGACCTTGTCACTGACGTTGTGCTTACATGCAGCTCCAGGTTACAGCTTACCGCAATCAGAGTTTCCAGCCCCCGACAAAAAGCATCACTGCATCCTTCGACGAGTGTTCTTTAAAATATCAAGTCGAAGACCTGACATTTAAATTCAAACACATGTTTCTCACCTAAAATGGCTTTCATCATCCCACCAGAAAAGCTTTATCGGTATAATCCTTTACCAACAGCACAATGCATCCGCCTCCTTCGCATAGACTCCACGCCCACCGAACCACTCTCCTGCACCCTGGAGATAGTGAATCTAGACGACTCACCTCTCTACGACTGTCTATCCTACACCTGGGGCGATCCACTATACCAAAAGTTCTGGCCTCCCGAAGAGCAACGCGAGATCAACGGACTCCCTAAATATGAGATTTCGCTTAATAATCACAATGCCCCTGAGGACGAAGACATGCGTATCGGTATTGCCGAGAACTTGTATGAAGCGCTTAAAAGACTGTGTCGGAATAAACATAGGTCGCCGAGTGGGCATGAACATGGGTACGAGAAGCAGAGTGGGATTTGGATTGATGCGGTTTGTATCAATCAACGCGATCCGGTAGAACAGGCCCACCAGGTTAATATGATGAGGGATATTTATTCGAAGTCTTTAAGTGTTGTCGTTTGGGTAAGTGTTTATTGATCTTCCTAATTTCTTCAACTCATATTCAAGCGACTTGAACTCAGGACTATCTTCCTGGTTTCTCCGATGATAAGATAATCGGCAATTAGAACTCGATGTACACTCAGTTTGCTTGATAAGACATCATGAATTTCTCCAATTAGTGTATTACATAACGCGCTTTTGAAGCTTTTTTTTGGTGGTCAGGGGGTTCTGAAACTTACTTTATGCACTGGGAGCTGGCGTGATAAGTCTCACGAATACCCCTTCTTGAAAAGCTTTCGAGACCACAAAGCTGACATTTTCGGCGTTCAGTTAGGCCCAAATGACCCGGAGTTGGAGACTGCACTTGAAGTGTTACACCTGCTAGCTTCTGTTCCCCAGGATAAACTATATGGAGAGTTCCCATACGATGACATCTTTGAAGTGGAAATTTACAAAAGCCTCAATATCAGATATATCGAATCGTGGGAATGGCAAGCTTTTGCTGCTTTCATTCTTCGCAACTGGTTCAGCCGAATTTGGGTAGTTCAAGAGACTTGGGCAGCTAAAAATCTAATAGTATTTGTGGCATCACATACGCTATTATGGGCTTCCATCATTGCTGCAATTAGAACGATGAAAGAGTCAAGACTTGACGAACTCCTAAATCAGCAAGTGGAGAAAACTGTCAATGGCGACGCTACAATAACACGGTATATTGGAAATTCTATTAGCAATTTAGCAATATTTGATGATGTTATTCGAGGACAGAAAGAGCTAGATTTAGAGAGATTATTGGCATCGAGTCGACAATTCAATGCCACAATGCCAGAAGACAGAGTCTTTGCTGTACGAGGAATGTGGAACCCTGGTCCGAGAGTAAAGGAAATGACTGCCGTGGAGTGGTTATCTAAAGAAGTAGGCATGAAAGTGGAAGACGCATACACTAAAGCTTCAATCGTCTCGATGAGAGAGCAGGGGGATATAAATTTACTTTCGCTTGTGGAAGACCGTTCAACACGCAAGCTGAAGAGTTTGCCATCATGGGTTCCGGATTATAGTGTTCGACCTGTGATGCATCCATTGCAAGGAATTCCGAGACCAGAGAAGGAATCTCAGCGTTGGAACGCAAGCCAGGGTCTAGATTGGGTAGAGCTTAAAAATATTGCGGGGGAAGATCGCGAATTGAATGTCAAGGGATTTCACTTCGACCGTGTTGTTGAATATGCAGCCACCGAAGTAGAAATCAGCGACAATCATTCAATGCACACTGTGCTCGAACTATTCCTGAAGGCTTTGGACACTTGCCCAGATCATAATTCTCGAGAGAGGTGTCGCGAAGAGTTCTGGCGGGCACTGATCAAGGACACATTTCGCAACAAAGCAGCAGGATCCGAAGCCCTCGAGGCATTTCCATTACTTTTCACATACCATCTGTGGCAAACGAAGGACGTGATGAGGACTCTGCAAACACCTTTTTTCGATACGGACACAGATTCAGACTACGTCAATGCAAGCAGAGGCGTCTCTGCTCTAGAAAATGCTCATGCGCGAACGCAGTCTCTAATTTTGGATCTCTCATCTCGAGACGGTATTTCAGTGGTCTCCAGCTGGGAAGAAATGGAAAATATCATAGAATTAGGAGAACATTTACCGAAGATTATGGATATTACGATCGAGCAAATAAAATCGAGCTTTCTTTCAGCATATGTGGGAAGAAGAATGTTTCGAACGAGAGAAAACCACCTTGGTATTGCTGCTGAATCTATACGTCCAGATGATCAGGTTTGGATCTTAGCTGGCGCTGCTGCGCCAATGATACTGAGAAAAGTAGATGCTGGGAAGTGGGAACTTGTTGGTGAAGCATATATTTATGGGGTAATGAATGGTGAGTTGGTGCCTAAGTCAGGAGCTGGCAACGCGATTGAAAGTCTCACACTTATATGAGAATGCAAACTCAATACAAAGCTAGATTTGTTGATACACAAGAAAAATGAAATTAATTGATAGTATATGGACTTGCTGTGGACTGAATTACTTTGTGGTCAAAGAACTGGATTTGTTCGGCAGATAGATGACGGGCTAGAACACTAGAGCCAATGCGGTAAATGGAAGCTACGGTAAGGTTGACTAGGCGAACCTTAACAGAAGCTTGTACATGAGCCCAACGTGCAGCATACAATGATGTTGGTACGTTGTGCAATTGCTATTTTTCCATGAGTAATACGACAAGAAAAAGGCGTCACATGAAGCAATCTTCCACGGAGTAAGCAGAAATAAATCCATGGCATAATGAAGAATAAAATCGCCACTTTCACACCTTTTGGACATTGTATTTAAGCCACAAATAGCTATCCGCCATTCCGACGCTATTGTTTAGCTTGCTTTATAATGTTCTTGCTATCCCCGCGCCGCCAAAGGCTATTTCGTGCTAGGTTTCGACGATCTCGGCACTTGGTTGGGGAGAAATCACGTTTTTTGGAAGTCATAATATGATGCATATATCGCGACATCGAGTATTTAGTGGGGGGTTGACACTATCTTGTAACCCGCCAAATATTCATCATTGGAAGATGGGGGTCGGAGATTTGTAACGACATGTTGATACTGGCTTTTTGCTCTATGTTTGAAGACAGCCTTTTCATATATATAAGTTTAGTTGTCTTAGTGTTGTTCAGAAAAACAACACAGCATGTCGCAAAGAAAAGTTGCAATAATTGGAGCTGGAATCAGCGGGATCGTGACAGCGGCACATCTTAAAAACGCCGGTTTTAGTGTGACCGTATTTGAAAGAGCTAAAGTATCTGGTGGAGTGTGGTTGGTATATCCATTCGTCTCATACTCAGCTACTGATTTGGTTTGAACTGTAGGGTCTATGACGAGCGTCTTCCGCTGGAACCAACATACCCATCTATTGAAGCATCTAAAGGAGAGGAGTATACTTATAGCGCAGCTCAGGAGACTCCTGATCTAGAGCTACTCCATGCTCCTACGAGGTATGTCCAGTCGCGAGTTCTATGAATTCCAATACTTAACCAGAAAAAAAAAGCCCATGCTACGAAGGATTAACAAACAATGTAACAACACCCTTACTACGAACAACGCTCAATGCTTGGCCGGAAGGAACCGAGGATTTTGTAAACAACCAAGTCATCAAAGAGTATATTCAAGATACGTCAAGACATACAGGCGTAGAAGACTTGACAATCTATGGAGCTTCAGTGACAACACTAGAGAAGAAAGATTTGGAGTGGAATTTGACTTATCGGCTACTCAAGAAAGGTGACACCAAGGGAGAATACAGGTTTGAAGACAAAACTCTCGTAAGTGATTTGTCTTCTGCGGTCAGGAAACACGCCTTAATCCTCTACCAGACTTTCGATTTCGTTTCGATCGCTTCCGGACATTATCATGCTCCACGCGTCCCTGACATACCTGGCCTCAGTGAATGGAAGAAGCAATGGCCCAATCGTATTTCGCATAGCAAAGCCTATCGAAAACCAGACGGTTTCAAAGGAAAGGTAGACTAGCCCATCGCTGAGTTGTAATGAGTTGGCTACTAATGTTTGAGATGCAGAATGTACTGTTAATAGGAGCTGGTACATCCTCCACAGATATTGCTCGTGAAATTGGTGCACACGCGAATAAGGTATACCAAAGCGCTCGCGATGGACTTTTCGACCTTCCAACCAGTCTTCTACCTCCTAATGCCTCACGAATTGGCGAGATAGATTCGTTCTCGACAGCCAATCTTAAAACCGATGATGGGAAGAACAAACCAATACCTTCAACCATCAAACTAAAGTCTGGTCAATCCCTATGCAACATCGATGCAGTAGTTGTGTGCACAGGTTACCACATTACGCTTCCCTTCCTTCCGAACCTTCACTCCGACACAACGGATCCATCAGTCGCATCCGATACAATCTTAGTAACAGATGGAACTATGATTCACAATCTTCACAAAGACATATTCTACATCCCCGATCCCACCCTCGCTTTCGTCGGCGTCCCCTATTTCACCGCTACATTTACGTTATTCGAGTTCCAAGCGATGGCTGTGGCTGCGGCGTTCAGCGGCAGAGCGAAATTGCCAACACAGGAGGAGATGAGGAGAGAATACGTGGCACGAGTGGAGAGTAAGGGGCTTGGGAAGAAGTTCCATAACCTCCGAGGTAAAGATGCGGAATATGTGGATGAGCTGTTGGTGTGGGTTAATCAAGGAGAGGGCGAACGGATTGGTGGGCATACCGAGATCTGGCATAAGGCTAAAGCTGCGCAGGAGGAGCGATTTAAATTTCTCTTCGAAGCGTCAAAGTTGATTGAGAGTACACCGATCATTTTGCCTGCGTGCTAAGAGCAAACCAGACAGCATGTTGTTTTACTCCGCTTATTTTGGAGTACGATTCATTTATTGGAAGTTGTTTCGGTCTTATTTCGGTTTGCAGAATGCAGGAGGAAGGTTTTTTGCGTTCGGATATGTCGAGTACTTGATTTTGTAAGATTTATTCTTCGCTATTTACCAATTTGAGCCCATGCCCTGCCATACCATTGACACCTTAAGCGGAGTCCTGGCTTTTGAATTGGGAGAAAGCAGGATCATCAGCATTATGAAAATGGAAGACATGAGCACTTAGATATCAATTTGTCCCGACTTTCTTCACTCTCATGATCATTCCATCTCTCACCTGAGCACCTAACCCGATTTTCTGGAAACAAATGTCCCCAAAAGTCTCATCCAAATCTGACCATGCAACTTTCTGTTTCTCGTTCGGCTGCAAATTAACACATTCAAACTCGTAGTCTCTGATTGTCTCTAACAAGATGATTCTCAGTTCATCGACTGCAAGATTTTGACCTAGACAGGCCCGTGGGCCGCGATAGAAAGTCCACATGTTGTTTTTCGCATGCACAGCAGTAGCTGGATCTATAAATCTCTCTGGGTTGAAGGTCGAGGCTGACGGGAAATATTCGGGATCGTAATGAAGAGAGTGGGCGTTAGAAACCACGGCGATGCCATTGTCTATTGGATATTTGGTCGAGTTCCAGGCTACAGTCGCTCTACGAAACTATCAGTCTTCCTCAGTACCATCAAACACATATCATGTTGCTTACCCGTCCGCCGCTTGTCTTACGCCAAAACCTATGGGGAACAGTCGAAGAGTTTCTCGAATCACAGCTGTGGTATAATCCAGCTCATCGAGTTTTGATGGCTTCGTCTGAAGTATGTCGATTGTTTCGTTGAAGGAGGGGGCAAAGACGCGTGTGTGCTCCTCTCGGAGCTTTGCTACTACTTCTGGTGATTTTGAAAGAAGCATGTATATGTACTACTTCAAATTAGCAGATGCAGCACGTTCAGTAGGAAGAACAGAACATACGCAAAGAGTATCCGAGGTTGTGCCTTGGCCTCCGAGCAACAGCGCTTTGATACTATCAAGACATTAGCAAATATTAATTATGGAAAGCGCCATCCTCACTTGGTGATGAGTATTTTCATGTACTCCGGAGACAGTTCTGTTGAATTTTTCTTGTTTCCAACTAAATCTTCTTGTTCTAAGTGTTCTCTCAACATCAAGTCTAGAATCGAATGAGGATTCTTCCGGTGAGGAACGATTTGATCATCCGTCAAGACTTTCAGGCGTTGTTGAATTTGAGTGCTGACAGAGACTCCTAGCCGTCTATGAAGAGCTCTTCTTGAAAAAATCGCTTTGAATTTTGCGATTGGATTCCACGATAGCTGAACATGAGCAAGCTTGACCATACCCCTAAGATCTTCGAGGTCTTGACTGCCGGTTCCTTGCGCGTTCAGAGAGAAACTATAGACTATCCTAGCGATAACATCGAAAATGAGTTGCGATCCAACAGTTTCCATGGAGAAGGTCTTCTCTGTCTCGGCTAACATATCGAGACGTGATCGAAAAGTGTCACACTCATCAATCACGACCGCCGAGAGGTTTCTAATATGTGACCAAGAGAATGCTGGGGTTATACTATTGTGCACCAGTTTCCATACAGCTCCATTACTCGAAGCGATGTTGTCGGGTCCAACAATAGGCTTCATGAAATCTTCGGACATGGGATGCATTGGCAGAACTTGTGTGACTTGAACTTGAGTCATAACAGCGGGATCGATTAATACAACCATTGGAGTTGAAATTGGCCATAAGTCGATGTAGAAAACCCCTTTCAATTTGTACTTTTGCGCAATGCTCGTTAGGTAAACCTGAGGGTGACAGTCAGGGGGTGCTGCTGCAGCTGCTTCACCCATGATCTTCAAATGGCCCCAAAGGAAGCTGTGGGGCGGTTGAGGCTAGATTGAAGATCAGAATTTGGTATTTAAAATAAAGAGCTTCACCTACCAAACCTCTGAACCATCTTCGATGATTGTAGAAATTAACACAGAAGTTGAGAATGAATGCGATGGCTAATGCGGACAGAGCTCCCGCAACCATTCCGAGAACCATAACTGCGCAGTATTACCAAGAATGACACAGAAACAGAAGAGCGAAGTTCACAGATATTTTGTTTTTGGTAACGTCAGACGAAGTTGTGTCGTACCGGCTGAATGAGGATGCAGGATATTCGGGCAATGAGGCTCAGCACTAGCACTGTGCCCCGAAAGCACATGAAGTGGCTCGCTGTCCCTGTCAAATAGCCGACAGCTACCTGCTACGTCGTATAAATTAGAAATTGAGTGCTGGAGCAAGATGAATTTGACGTTATTATCGAGGTCTGTCCTCGTCACAAGCGCGAGAGGGCACCGATGGCCGCCAGTGAGGCAGAGTCGATTAAGGCGCTAAAGACCTTGTGCTCTGTTGCACGGCAGTGGTGTAAGAATTTTGACCCGTGCCCGTTATGCCCCTATTGAAGGCCAAGTCTTTTTTCCATAGAAGCAGTTGCCCGGGTCATAGAACCATCATTACAGTATGTACTACTCGATCAAGGAGAAGATAAGGGATTTCGGCCTTTACCTTCACATATCGTTCACAAAATCTATTCAACCACGAGAAACACCAGTATGTGATTTCTCAAGCTAGGCGGCCCACTAAAGCCGACCATGAACATTGTTGGTATTGATGCGTAGCCTGTTCAGTTTTAAAAAACCTTGGAATCTGCGAATTTCCACTGCATTTCTCTACAAGGATCTCAAGTTCTATAAGCTGCTGTCAGAGTTTTGGATTATCATGTAGCGTATAATTAGTCGCCATTTTCGTCGCCGGATCGCGTAGGATAACAGTAGGACGTATAGCAGGGACGAAGTGACAACACAGCTTAGGGTTTCAAGTTTTTCGCTGTCGTTTAGATTCGTGTGTGTAATAGGTTGACTTGGCATGGATTATCGCACACGAAACCATGCCGAGGTGTCGCTATATAAGGTTTAGCAAGCAGATGAGATTGCAATTGGAAGGAGGGAAAGATGAATGTGCAACTAGAAACACACACAAGCCAGCAGAACTTCGCGGGTTTGGAGTAAATTAGGAAATGTGTGTCTGGAACGAGGTCTTGAAGCAACAGTTCCCAGATGAAGTTTGGATGTGGAACGTGCATAAACCAGTCACGTGCAATGCCGATCGACTTTCCAACACCTCGCAGACAAGTCGACAACCACCACCATAGAGACGCTGTTGTTCGGCACTATCTCGATTAAAAGCCTATCGCCTTACTTACGAGATAATACTGGGTTGTGTTGATCGTCCGGCCTTAACATCGCGTATAAAAGAGTGCCACAAAGGCCCGAGTCTCGACGGATTGTGTTGCTGAAAAAAGCTTCATTTATTGCTATTTTCCAGTTCCACCGTGGGAACCTCCTAAACATAATCCGTGGTGGAACTTGCGTATTGAGCTCATTCCAAATACGTGAAGCGGTTGATGTATTTCATGGTTCATTTACTTGCTCATGTTTGATTCTTTGCCAGCAAACGATCATCAACTTAAACCCACCGAAAGCACATTATGTATGCTCCCCAAATTCGTCATGGCGGGTGGTAATCCTCAACTAATAAGTTTACGTTAGGTAGCTTTCAGTGAGAATAGTCTACTCTAGACATTCCTCAGTAGTCTCAGAAGGAGCTAGATTTTCTTCTTGGCTCTTCGAGTGTTTTGGAAACCAAAAGAACCCTTCGGCAGCATCGCTTATCGGCAACAATAAGATCTCTATCTTTGATCTCAGAAAACTTCTAAAGATCTCTGCACTGTCGGCATCAGCTAAGAATTGCCAAAGATGTCGTGCTCCGATAATGCCGACTGCGGGATGGAGATCCGTCATTTAGCGACATCCCACTTTCCTTGTGATACATCATGGTTTCTTTTGATAAAGTGCGTGTTGGACATACTTATATTGATCATTAGTTCTTGTGGTTTCGCTCATTTACTTTGTTCATTTGAATCTCGCCTTCTTCAATTAAAAAGAAATCGTTAGCGAATTTCAACGTAACTCCTGGAAATGGGCTCAATAGCTAGCGAAGGAGCTCCGAATGGGGCTTCCTCAAAGATATTCTCCTCGCTTCGTATTGCATATGGAGACATAGAACTCAAACATCGCGTCATTATGTCGCCAATGACCAGAAACCGTGGGGTTCCATTAGCCGAAAGTACACCGGAAAAACCAAACAGAATTTGGGTAGTAGACGAATTGGTAGCAAAATACTACAGCCAACGGGCTACGGAGGGTGGTCTTATAATCACCGAGAGTATATTGCCCAGTCAAGAGTCTGGTGCCATGCCTGGTGTTCCTGGAATGTGGCTTCCTGAGCACGTAGCAGCATGGAAGCTGGTAAGCGAGAATTCTTACATGAATAAAGTTGCCCTGTCTGAATATTATAGGTCACTGAAGCTGTTCACGCCAAGAAAGGTATCATATATGCCCAATTGACTCATCAAGGACGATGTTCAATCCCTCAAATGCAAGGTCTTCCCACAGTCTCCGCTTCAGCAACACCGTGGTCTACTGACGAAAAGTACCCCTATCCACCGCCAGGAGAGTCCTCGCGTGTGCTATATCGAGACTTTCCGCCTATCGAGCTCACTGTTGCGCACATCCAAAAGACGATTGCGGATCACGTTACCGCGGCGAAGCTATCAATTGAAAGTGGCTTCGATGGCGTCGAGCTCCATGGTGGCAACGGATATCTCATAGAGCAATTTCTGAATTCAAATGTAAATACAAGAACAGATGAATATGGAGGATCTCCTCAAAAGAGATGTAAGTTTGTACTTGAGCTATTACGGGCCGTCGCAAATGAGATTGGGGAGAACAATGTCGCGATCCGGCTAAGCCCATTTGGTATCTACAACGATATGAATGATGATAGTCGATGGGTGACTTGGAGCCATCTTTGTCGCGAGATTCGTTCGGATTTCTCAAAGATCAGTTATGTTCACTTTGTCGAAGCCCGAAACGACGAGCTGGTAGGCCATGAAGTATTCGAGAAGGGCTGGGGTGGGAGGAAGGTTGATATCAGTGGGTTTAAGGATATTCTTGGGGATATTCCAGTTATCAGTGCCGGTCTGTGGAATGCTGAGAGTGTTTGGGGTGCTGTAGAAAGCGGCAGGGTTGATGGTTGCGTATTTGCTAGGTGGTTCGTCAGTAACCCTGATTTGGTCGAAAGGTATGAAGCTTACTCTGCTTATTTCTACTTTTGCTGTACTAACTTTCGCAGATTAAAAAATGGTTGGCCATTGAGCGAATACAACCGAGCGAAGTTTTACGGACCAACAAGTAAACGAGAAGTGGGATACACTGACTATCCCACTTGGGAGGAGTTGAAGAAGAAAGAAGAAAAACCGTAGTATAATCCAAGCATTCAACTATTAAATCCTACAACTATTAAATCCTACATCCTTGATTTCAGATTCCTACTTGAGTACAAAGTATACCAACTGCAACAATAAATGTGTAAAAAAGGGGGTGGGAAAGGAAACGGATTAAAATCCTACAAGACTCTTCATGTGTAGTAATAACGAATTATGTGAATAAATCAGAGATGTTTATGAATCGATATCTCCCACACTAGGAACATGCACTCTGAGCCAGGCAACAGCTGCCGTGTTGCTCTAGCTCTCCTTACATTAGGGAGCTCGGTCGAGCTCCACGAAAGGATTTAACAAAATTGAAGCTTCATAAATCCTCTCAAATACCACGAGGCACATGGCCACAGGTCTACAGTACATGGGACAGTTCATCGTCGCAAGAAATTTGGAGATTGTCCGCCCAGATTTCGCGTCGCATTTCGCCGGCGTTGACCGAGTAGGTCGATCGTGACTCTCGAAGCAGGGAGAACTGCGAATAGTACCTCGTGGTCTGGCGAAACAACACGGAAATGCACGACATGTTTGCCATATGTTTCGCGGACCCAACATCACGATCCCTCGAGGCGTGAACCATCCAGCCCACCCTCGAAATTGAGAATATGCAGAAATATAGCAGTAAGAACATCGGCAAGTGAGAGGCGCGATGCATCTGGAAGACCTCTGACAAACACAACGTGTTGACGAGATATCGCTTTCCGGTCCATCAATTGGCCCAGAATGTTTGGCCCTACGTAAATTAACGCCTCACCCGCAGTTCCAAAATCCTGCACCGATCACCCGTTTCAGAACGCCAATTCCGTCTCGTCTTTTTTGCCGGAGAACGGATGGCAGTTCTTGGCCCACTCGAAACCTTGGTACTCTTGGACGGAGACCCATCCCCGCAAAACTTTAGTTGGCAGTTGAAAAAACGAAATTTCTTGCTCCTTTGCATTGGGCCTGTGTTGGTTCTTATATTTTTGCCATTCGAGATGTGAGCACAGTTTCGGGAGATTTTGAAAGATGTCTCCTCGAATGGCTATAACTCTAGAATAAACCAAGGGCTAGAACTACATTCATAAACCTGCTTCCGCTGCAATTCAACGGTTGTTGTCAAGCTTTGTAAGGCCAACGTAAGAGAGCGAGCCAAGATGCCAAAGCCAAGAGTTAAGCAGCTTAAGCTTATACGCCGCAACTGATCGATGCCAATATTTCTTGGGCACCATCACGGTTACAGAGTGACAGCAGAATTTTGAGACATCGAGACTGCAGCCAATCTTGCATAGGATATCTACATGGCGTTGTCTTGGTGTTGCTCCTTAGACTCTTGGAAATGCCAGAGATGCATATACATGATAGACGACAAGACCTTTAGATGGTGGCTTGACCCTAGCATTTTTATTCCAACTGTCGTTTGACGGGGGAACAATAGGCGTTTCCTGCTGGCTGGTCGACTACTGCTACGTCTCGATATTCTTGGCTTCCCCTATACTTTACGGTGCCGAGGGAGATCTGGCGTGATCTTCTATTGATATAAGAACTCCAGTGAGATTCTTCTTTATTTTGTTTCCCTCTTTTCATCAACAACTTCTTTCTCGGTTACTTTACATACTTTCTTCGGCAGGTCCACTCTTTTCGCTGGCAGGTCCTATACATTCTTTTCTTCGACCATTTCAACCAGCATCTATTCCAGAGCCTTGGCAGAGCCAGTTCGTTCTTTTTCACAACAAATATGCGTTTCTCAACCGTCGTCATGGGCACATTGCTCTCCGGTGCTCTTGCGCTTCCTACAACCACCCCCAATAGCTTCGAAAGACGGGAAATTGCCGAGCGCGACTTATCAGCATCTCTGACTGCGGTTCTCGAGCAAGCACTTTCGTTGTTAAAAGGCGGCGGGGCTGCAGCTAATGAGGGCGCAGTACAGGAGGGAGGAGTATGTTAAGAAAGGAATATTGAGTGTATGTTGGACTTAGCTAACGGTCGTTAAGGATGCCGCTGGAGCTGAAGAGGCCAAGAAAAAGCAGGAGGCCGCTCTACTCGCCGAGGAGGCGAAGAAAAAGGAAGAAGCTGCTTTACTCGCTGAAGAGGCGAAGAAGAAGGAGGAGGCTGCTTTACTCGCCGAGGAGGCAAAAAAGAAGGAAGAGGCCGCTGCTGGAGAGGTAAGCAAATTCTATGACCCGGTTGGATGAGGACTATACTGACATGTTTTTAGGGTGCTGCTGCTGAGGTTTGTAAATACTTAAAGAAAGTTGATAATGACACAAGTCTGACCGAAAATAGGGCGAAGTTGCCGTAGAGAACGAGGTCGAAATCGAAGGCGCATTCGATGTTGCAGTTGCCCTGAATGGTGATGACATCAAGACAGACGTTGTTTTCACCGCAGAAGCGACCGGGAAACTCGAGGTCGAATTCCAAGCTGCCACTGGTACCGATGTAACTGTCACCCAAAACGAGACCCCAGGGACAGCTCCAGCAGGATTTAAGGTGTGCAAAACAACGCCCGGTTCATTTTGAATGACACTCGCTGATGTGCCGTAATAGTTCCTTGATCCCAAATCATACAAAGTCGTGCTTACCGAAGGCGCTCAAGGCATCACCCTCCAGAAGATTGATTACATATTGGATATTACCAGTAAGCTTCGTAGTCAAAAGTCTCCATGGGCTATAACTGACACGCCGTCCAGACGCTGAAGTCATCGCTGCCGGCGATCTCTCCTTAGGTAGAATTGGAAAGCTCGAAGGTGAAGCTTTTGTTGTTGAGAACGTTGGCGAACTTGAGTTTGAGGTTGAAGAGAATGAGCTTTCTTTGACAGTCGCTGATCTCAACGGCGAGTTCGCTGTCTTCGTCCCAGATGGTAAGTCTCTACCCTAACCACATCTTTAAGTTTTAGAGTAGTGCTAATAAGAATTTCGCATTGAAGAAGCTGCTGTTGCCGCTGTAAGAATTTCCCGAACAGAAAGAGAGAATCAAAGCTAACACTTTCTTAGCCAGCTGAAGGAGTAAAATTGGCTGAAGAGGCAAAGTTAGCTGAAGAGGCAAAGTTGGCTGAAGAAGCAAAGGCTGAGCACGCAAAGGTGGCCGAGGAAGCCAAAGCTGAGCATGCCAAACCTGCCAAAGAAGCAAAGCCCGCTGAGGAAGCAAAGGTCGCTGAGGAAGCAAAGGTCGCTGAGGAAGCCAAAGCTGCACACCCAGCAAAAGCCGAGGTAAGCAATACCCTCAATCAGTAGAAACACCAAAGATGCTAACAAGTTTGAAGGGAGCTGTCGTCGAAACCCCGGTTGCAAATGCTACAGCACCAGCTGTTGAGGTCAAGAAGGAAGCCCCAAAAGCAGCCCACATGGCATAGTGCCGTGCTATCCTTGCGAAACTGTAGATAGAGTCAAGACTTGGGGAGATCTGGGTAGCAGATGATGAAGAACCTTTTTGTATCCATACTTATATTTATATTCAGTTCCCGAGAAGAACGTTGTCCAAAGAGCCAGAACCCCCAGCAAGTGTGCCAGTAAGCAAAACGTTGATAACGGTTGCATTTGGTAGTGCCTATCAAGAAGTTGAAAATATCATTACTAATCCAAGGAGTATGTATATGGGTAGGTGGTCGCTGTATTACAAACATGCACCTCAATTTCCGGACCAGCAATAATGAGCCGTAGGACTTTGTGGCAGCTCTTCGTTGGAAATACTGAATGAGGATGCATCCAGCCGTTTTGATGCCCCGCCCGGCGGTGCACAAAGTAAGTGTCAGTCACCTTTCCCACTAATCTTTTGACGGAATTATTACTTCGCAGATTTCAAATAGAGCCCAATAAGGCACTGTATACTTGAATATTACACGACATTAAGCCAATTTGATTAACCAAATCTCGTGTCTGAACTGCCACTTATCTAGTCCACAGCAACCTCATCTCATGAGACTTATTCGTGTGACCAATCTTTAATTCATACATCGTCGCCGTAAAAGATTATAAGCGTGATAACACACAACAATAAGACGGCTTGAAAGAATGGCAAGACTCTTGTTGTGAGTGATACTCGTTGCTCAGTTTAGTCGTACACAACTGACCACTGGTAGGATTGGGGCCACTGGCCATATCGGAGGAGCAGTACTTGAGCAAGTCACTCGCACGTTTCCCACGATCAAGATTTCAGCACTACTGCGTGATCAGAAGAAAGCAGATCGTCTTCAAACTCAGTATCCCAACGTGAAAACTTTGATTGGTAACCTCCATACTACGGATGTTGTCAAAAATGCAGCCAAAGAGGCAGATATAGTGATCAGTAAGGCAACAGACGAGAATGAAAGTATAGTTACACTGATTGGCGAACAAGTACACTAGTCCAGACATTTCACAGGAGAAAGGAATCAAAGCAATTCTTCAACGCCTTGGAGATAACGAAACAAAACGCCATTATATCCACACCTCAGGTACCGCATTGATTTGAGATGAACCAGACGGATCCTTCGCCGGGAAGTGAATCTGGGACGACATAGCTGACATCGACACAATCACCTCTATGCCAGACAATGTCCCACATAGGAATGAGGGCAACGTGCGCATATGCCGTACTTCACAAGTGACTTTACTCTAACAAGCATGCAGCTGGTATTCGCATCACATCCCAGAGTGAGCGTCGCAATCGTCTTGCCTGTTATGGTATACGGGCTCAGCCCTTCCGTTGAGCATCCCTTTCCGCTGACCTTCCCTGAGTACCTGAAAGGGATTCGTTCCTTAGGAAACGGGTTCACCATTTCGAATGGAGCTAATGTCATGGGCTACGTCCATGTCCGAGACCTGGCCCCTCTTTACTCGAAGCTCCTATCATATGCTCTCGATTCAATCTCCGCGGTTGAGGGCAATCAAATATAGGGTCCCAAGGCATATTACTTCGCCTCATCTCAAGAAATGTCGTTCCGCACTCTGACGAGTCAGATGGTAAATGTCTTGAAAGGGCTCGGGGTTCTCGAAAGCGACACCGTCACGATCATTGACGTTTCAGGAGCGGCCAAAGCAAGTGGCGCTATCGACAACGATGATCCACAGTCGTGGGCGAAGCATATAGCAGCTAGTTGTGGGGTAAACATGAGGGTGCGACCGAGTCGAGCATTAATGGTAGGCTGGGAGCCCAGAGAAGTCGAGTTCGTGGACACGATAGAGGAAGTATCCAGAAGATTCCTCGAAAATGAGAGGACGTCGTAGCTTGATAGTCCCATCATATCTCCGTGCACGGTTGGACTTAGGAAGAGAGTTTCCTCCCTACTCGTCGCCGAATGCAGCCCAGAACAGACTATGTCCTTTTCACGTATGTCCATCTATCATCTACCCGTTGCTCGTTGACCAAGACTTCTTTGATGATTCTCACGGCTCCCAACGGAACGATGAAATACCAAAGTCGATGCCTTGCCGCGATTCGTGAAGTATGTGTCGATCAAGTAGGGATTTGGGTTGATTGTGTGGTTTCGTCCGAGGGCAACTCGCGGTCATCTAGCTTTCGGTCGTCGCAACTGGCATTCCTGGCCTCTGATCCCAATCGCCCACCCCTTCCATAAGCTGCGAAATCATTTCTTTCTGACAGCAGCTCCTCAAAAAGGCCCAGGAAATACAAAGGCGTTGCGTGATGGGCGCTCCCAATACGATCGGCGATATGGCGGATGCGATTTTGATCGCATGCGAATGGCTATTTCGATAGAAAGGTAGCTGAAGGACTGCTCGCGAGGAGAGATAACACTGACGGCGAGACAATATACTCCGTGTTTGACTTTGACGCGTGGAAGTTCAGGTAATTGCGAGCGAAAGACTGGAAGAAAACGGGACGGCACCGGGGCTTCGGAGATCCCGGCCCGATCTGTACAGGTTTCAATCGAACTCCTCCAAGGCGAACTCCTTCTTTGCTTCTACAACACTACCTACCTAGGTAGGTATATTCTATACATATTGAGAATGCGCCCTTTATTTTTTAGTCGTCATAACAATGATCTCTGTCTCCTAGGTGCACTCTAGCCCTCGATGAGAGAGTCAGCGCTACCGTACAACAAGGAATTGCTCTACCAATATGAGAATCACTGTGGCCTTCAACGGGTGGACTCAATTGTGGTCTATAGTTCTTCAAGTGCCTAGGTCGATCTTAGTAGATCTTCGCTCGGTGATAGGTAGGCTACTGGCTTTGTTGCGCTCAATCGAACGTGTGAGAGAAGAAAGTTGTGTCGCGACGCGTCGTCGATGCAAACCTAAATTCTCGCAGCAGACGATAGGGTTGCAGAACAACAACTAGGCTGCTAAGTTGAGGCAATTAAACGGACCCTATTGATGCGATGGTTGAATAAGATATTTTTGCGAAGACTATTTCTGGCTCGCGGCGGAGGATACAAGTGTTAGTACACTTTTGACTGGTTTCTTGGTCAGAGTCCTCCATATTATGACTCTAGAAACTTTTGATCTGCTTAGATTTCAGAAGGAAGTCTACTTCATCTAATCCAGTCAAGTTTCTAGACAGAACGTGCGACGTTTTGTCAGTTAAATTGCGTATATATCATTTTCGACCGCTTGTTTTGTTCACCGCGAGTCTGGCTGATATTTCAGCCGACTTCACCTTCAAAACACTTCTGTCCTTGGAGTCGATCTGTACGTTCGATAGTCAACATTCATCCAATCACGAAACCCCTCCTATCCCACTCATTTTACTACGACGATGAATTCTTGCTGAAAATTCTACCGACTCCGTGCGGCGGTCATATCATGTCATCGGCAGCTTCCATGCATATCCTATATATGAAGAAATGCAAGTAGTGTTCAGAGTCTCAGCGATTGCAGAGCAGCTTCATGATGCCAACCGCAACTTCACGATCAATTGCGAACCCCATAGTAACTTCTCCAAGAAAAACAGCGAACGATACAACCATTCCCCAGTTCCTGCCACGGTACATACATGGCTGGAGTCTTGCACCATCAAAATCTACAACGACGGCAAAGGTGAAGCCCACACCAGAGCGAGAACGAGTGAGAGTGACACGCTAATCAGGGCCACCTAGACAACAGCGGTCGATTACTCGAGGAAGTTTTGGGTCTACAATTTCCTTCACGGGATCGAAAAGGACGAGGTTGATGTGCTAGCGGAGTCATCTACAACACGCCAGCGTCGAGTGATTCGCAACAAGCTTGACCGCATACCAGGGGGCGTTCTTCGCATTAGTGGTGCGAGCGGTACAGGGAAAACGACCTTGCTGATATCACTCATGATGCTGGCTTTAGGCCAAAGCTGTCGGATCCTAGCATTTTCCGACACTCAGATCGCCGCGGAAGCTTTAGCAGCACACTTCGAGAAGCGAAATGAGCATGGTGATATTCTAGCCATCAGATTCTGTGGGCAAGCAGAGGAGGCTAGTGAGCTATACCGATCTCTTGACGGAGCAGAAAGTCTGAAGACAGCTGAAGAATCTAAATGGCGGCCTAAAATCACCCCATCCTACTCGCTCGCGGCGGCAGTGTGGTTAGTCCTTGGTGAAGCGGAGCCCCAAAACGACAAGCTCTTCCGACTGTGGAAAACTTATCAAAATTCAGCCAGATTGATAAGAGATCTTTCCCACTTACAATCCCTCAAAAAACGGACTGAGGTGGTGCGGCGCGTCGCCAAAGATATTGTGAATCGGGCGGAGATTATTTTCACGAGCATCGGAGCATCCAGAGATTCCTTTCTATACGAGTATTCAACCAGTGCTGGTCATATCTTTCTTCAAAATGCATCCGAAGTTGACAGCATCCACGACTTCATCGATTACACTTCAAAGCCTATTGTATTCGCCAGCTGCAACAGCATAATTGAAGAAGATAGTCGGTTCGCGAAACTGCAGGACGGGCTGGAATGGACACTCACCCAACAAATTCAAGCCGACCCAGGGCTATTCGATGTCGCAAATAGTTTATTTCACTCAATTACGCTAGTTTATCCCAGAGATGCAAGGCTCTCTTCACTGGCTGGAGCATTCAATACATGCGCAAGTAGCTATGCGGATCTCCGTGGCACAACATTAACGCCACCCCCAGCTGGAAAAGCTTACCCTTTGTTGCTGGATCTGAGGAACTGCAATACCTACTACGGGCGTGATCAATCCGAGAAACGGACTCGCGAGTTCGTAAAATTCGGCCTACAATTCTTGCTTTATCTTCTGAAGCAGAACGACAGCATCACCGCTAAAGACATCATCGTTCTATCTCACACGGCAGGCCAATGCAATGACTGGCAGATTGCACTAGAAGACGAGCGGAATTCAGAACTGACTGGAATTGGGGTTTCAACTATTAAAGCTATGCGTGGCTGGGATTCCAAATTTGTTCTGTGGGACACTGCTGTTGGTGCTGGGATAAACCATCATCATGATTTTATGCCGGACCGGAAGGAAATCTATACGGCGATTACATCGCACTCAAAGGGTCTCGTCATTGTGGCAGATACTTCTCCTTCCAAATGTGGAAAGCGACAGGTGGTTGAAACCGGCAGTCGCGCAAAGATCTTGTATTGTGAAGAGTGCAAGAGCAGAGCAGATAGTGAAGGATCTGACCATCAAAAAACATTTCCCAAAGAAGACCCAACTATTCGGGCAGCATTTGACTGGATGGAAGGTCATGGCTGCACTATTCAAATTGATTCAAACAACAACTAGGTGGCACGAGGATTGGAGTAACATGATGGGTTTCGCTAATGTAATGGATGATAATCTGAAGGGGATGTTGTGGACTGCTTCGAGACTGCTTCAGACTGACGAGACAACTGTGTTCGCGAGATATGTTGCAGCCAGATATTCGTGTTTAAACCCCTTTTGAAGAAACAGTTAATGTCATGCTTCGCCATTGTATCTCTACACGCAAAGCACAAAATATATCTGTTTGGCTGAGCAAATAGGAGATAACCATTTAAGGTATATCCGAAAGCACGGGTGATGCGAGCCATGGCAAGCACGATTGAACCTTCTAGGTTCCCACCAAAACACCTTCGTAGCGGAGACACATTGTTCAATCTGTAGGTATTAAACATCTGAGGCCAGGCTTTGTTGAATACCTGCAGTCTTGTCACACTTTGATCGTGGTCTAGAGTCATATCGTTGCAAGACTGAGAGCAAACACCAGCAAACATCACAAGTAAGTCAAAAGCCATCTCGAGCGCGATAGACCTGCGCTCAGATACGCGTTTATACGCGTTCTTTCAATTTTCTACGTGTTCTGACTTCATTCTTAGGATCACTGTTCCTAAACACAACATGGCAGTTCTTGACATCGGGCTCCAAGTCCAGATACGTGTGGATGGCCAACCGTTAAAAGAATATCGACCAGAAGTCGACGAGGAGTCCAGCTCAGAGAAAAAATGTATTCAGTACGTTGAGTGTTTGACCGACAAGGAATTTGAAATCAACATGTCCGTGCTGGAATTGTACAAGTGGGACAGTCCTGCACTGAAGTGTCGTATATACTTGGATGGAGCTTATGTCGCATCTTCAACCCTCCTCCCACAAAGGAAAATCACGACTTGCGGAGGCTTTACAGAAGACGGGTTTGTCAAGACTTTTGTCTTCTCTAAGATCAATACAGGTAAGCCGATCGAAATTATCCTCGTGCCCGATGACATCCTGTTGGCCCTGTCATCGTAGTATCGGACGAGTCTTCCGCCTCAAATTTCGCCGACGACGTGCAGAGTCTTTCAAAGATTGAAGAAAACAAAGTCTTAATTGACCGGGTTTCTCGGGCTATTTCGAAGCCAGCTCCCAACCCAGCTGGCAAGAAAGATCTGGTGCGCAATGGTTCTTCTGGTAACGATTCTTTAATCCCTTCTGTTGTTCACGAAAAAGCAATGAAAGGAGAAGTTAAATCGCACGGTGTCACGTAAGTTGTCACAATAACTCAATTTACGTGTCTCTAAATGCAGAACTAGCTTTGCTTCTAAACCTGTCCCTGAGTCGAAATCGAAAGGCGCCAAGCAAAAACATGCAACATACAAGACAACATATTTGGATGATCCAAAATTCCCGCTAGGGGTTTTCAAGTTCAAGTACAGATCTAAAGGTAGGCTTTACTATACTACTTCGATGCAGACAACCTTTCGCTAAGTGGTCGTGCACAGAGTCGTTACAGCAACTTCTCGTGATACCACGTACGCCTGAACCGGAAGACGTAAGCGAGGTTCCAGACATCAAGCCAGTCGATCTTCAAGGTCTGAGTGCGGACGAACGAAAGGATGTCGAGGAACATATTCGACGATTGAAGGTACAGTGTGAATTCTTTCAACTGGGGTTGTTGTTGACTAACCTCGTAGACTTCGAATGATCGTGCCGCTCTTCCCGCATTACGAGTCAAACACGAGCGCGGTGAAGAAGAGAACCAGGGTGGTCTGAACAAGAGGGCAAAAGCATCTCAACGAGAGATTGAAGTTGTGGATTTAATTGATGATTGATGTCGATTGCTGGGGTGTGTTCAGTCTTTTGCCAAAAATATGGGATGAGAATTGGGAGTCCGGATATGGAAATGCAAGATGATACCCTGGCATGTTCTCAAATATGTCATTGCATTTTGCTGGGCCATGCAACAAGCACATTTCTTACTTCTATGCCGAGCGCTTTTTTTCTGATGAAAACTTGGTTGCTCTTTACTTGTAGGGTAAACTATTCATTCAAATACTACTATCATTGAAGGTCACCCTATGTTATTGACTGATTGGTCGCCTGAGACGAAATGCGGGGCGGACGCCTTTTTGTAACCACCCTAGCGGTTGACGTGGCACCAGATCTGGCACGTTTTCATCTCCAATCACTCATCAAATTTATCGGAAGAATCTCTTACACAATGCTGTGTGAACGCTGTCAGACACTCCAACATTTCAGAGACTTAGCAAGAGCGACCACGAGCCCTAGGCTTCCCGAATACATAGAAACCCTCACACTTCGCGCTGCAGCACTGGCTGGATGTGATCTTTGTGCAATCATATATAATGGCTTTAAATGGTACAGTTATGTTGATAGCCGCGATTTCCCCAACGCTATACAATGCTACCCTCCAATCGATGTTGACGAGCCATTTTTTGCTTGGGAAGATCCGCGTGGGACAGCAGAAGTTTTAGAATTTTATGCAGCTGATGGTAAGCTTCACTATCAAGGAATCGCGGTCATCATGGGCGAGCTTAATAAGATGAGATATAGGCGCAGAGAGAAAATATTCAGTGCTGAATCCTGGAAAAGCTGTCTACTCACATTCCGACTCTGAAGCATGCTACAAGCTGATTGAGAACTGGGTTCAAGAGTGCATACTAAGACATCCTTCCTGTGCTAGTACGGAAGAATCACGTCTTCCAACAAGAGTAATAGATGTCGGCAAAGCCGGCGACATTCCAAAGCTTTATATCACTCGCAAAGAGTACGCTCCCTACATTGCACTGAGTCATTGCTGGGGTAGCTTTCAAATCATAACAACAACGAAAGGCACCCTCGGGATCAGACAAGAAGGAATTGAGTGGGCTGATCTTTCGAAGACTTTCCAGGATGCTATCACCATAACGAGAAAACTTGGCGTCAGATACTTATGGATCGACTCTCTGTGCATAATCCAGGATGACTCGGAAGACTGGCAAGTTGAATCGTCGAGGATGGGCCCGATATATCGAGATTCGTATCTAACTGTTTGTGCCACACTGTCCGCTAATGGTAGAGGTGGATGCTTCTCAGAGAGAAGAGTCCAGAGTGGAAATCTTTCGGAACGCCTTGATGACCCAGATGGGAAATATCCATCAGGTGTTTATGTTCGTCGTAAGTTCGAAGGACAACACAATATCCTCGATCCTTTTGCTACTAGAGAAGTTGAGGCCTTCCCATTACATAGCCGAGCTTGGGCATTTCAAGAGCGATTGCTAGCCACGCGTGTTGTTCAGTATACGCGGGAAGAGTTGAGATGGGAGTGCAAAAGTGACACCAAGTGCGAATGTGGAGGGTTTGATTTGCAAAACACAACCGCACATGGAACTAGGAATTTCAAGAGTTACTACGATGATTCAAAAACGGCAGACAGTAAGACGCTTCGAGAGGCTTGGTCTCGAATTCTCGAATTATTCTCGGAAAGGCAGTTGACTTATGAGAGTGATCGTCTGCCAGCATTGTCGGCTATTGCGCAAGACGTCCAAAGCGACCTGACTGGTGAGTATCTTGCAGGATTGTGGGAAAAGTTTCTTCCAGAAGATCTTCTATGGGAGGTATTAGAGCCTAGGGTTTCAGCAAAAGGCTATCGAGCGCCGTCATGGTCATGGGCATCACTTGACTCGTCTAAGATGATGTGCTTCTCAAGTCGTACACAGTATGCTGATGAAGCCAAATATCCGCACAGAGTTCATGTGAGAGTACTGGAAGTGGGTTGTAAACCAGCTGGACGAAACCCAAAGGGTAACGTCCAAAGTGGCTACCTTAAGATTACCGGGCCATTACTAGAGTCGACAGAAATCGCTGCTTTTTATACCAGCGCCACAAGCACGCGGGATAACCACAGTGTTGCAGCTTTTCGATATCCCGACGAATTCGCTAGCGATACGAGCGACACGAAGCTGTTAAAACGACAGGATAAGTCTTTGCCTCGGAAGCGGGTGTTTTTCCTCAGATGCATCACCTTCACAACCAATCCCGACGGGAAGGCGAAAAAGGTTGCGTCGTTGGTTCTCGTTCCTTCTGACAGAGTTGCTAATGCATTCGAGAGAATTGGGAAATTGGTACATGATAAGTTAGGAGATGCTGAGGAATTCTATCGTGAATCGAAGGAGACCACTATTACTATTGTCTAAATAGGGAATTGAAAGCTGGGGTGTACTTTTCATGCTCTTGTTTTTTTTTCTTTTGAATTGGATTAGACAACATCGCTTTCCTGGGAAGTAATTAGGGTTACGACGTTCTTCGTTTGGACCATGGTAGACTCCAAATCAGAATAGTGCCGAGTATGCTACGAGTTATCATAGGCTGTACTGCATCGATTGAATTTCCATTATTTGTATGGGTACACTTTACACTTCAATGGGGTAGTTGAAGAGGTTTACGATCGTTGGCAGAATACGAACAGTGAGCATATGACGGATGAGGAGGCTTGGCTCTCATATACGCAGTCCCTCTAAGCGAGTGGCTCGCATTCATTGACACTGCCTATGATCTGTATTGCTAGCGGTAGGCTGATCAATCATATATAATTGGAAAGGCAAAATCTAGGTAGATAAACCCACCTGAGTCCGGGCAGTATAAATAATACTTCCGTCAGAAGCGTACGCAGCATCAACTCCAGCTTGGATCAGGGGTTCCTCCGCTGGCTCGTAACCGTCGATACCAAACCATAAGGAAACAGCAGATCCCGGCGAATTAATGCTCCTGTCGACTGTTGATTTGGGAGCGACCAAAGCTATACTTAATCTTAGTATACAGTGATGTTCTTTCTTTACCATGCGCATTTTTCAGATGTTAAGGTTTAATTAAGAATAACAGCGGAGCCAAGAGGTGTAGAACTAGAACTAAAATAATCACTACCAACTACAGTCACAAAACCCCCCTGAATCTACCGGAGGTGCCGCTATTGCAACTTCTGCTCAGTTATCCAATTGATGATTTCTTTTGTAGGACGCTTGTTCGGCAATGCCAACGTGTTACTTGCGAAAAGGGTCAGAGTGAGAAATGAATCAAAACCATATTGATTATAAAGAGCGAAGTTTTCAAGGAGGTATGTCTTTATAGAAATCTGACTTCTTGTATGATGTTTGGTATTGAGATTCGGTTTAGAAATTTCGGCATACGTATACCTTTTTGTTCTGCTAGTATCGACGCTGACATTTCTATGTTTCTAGTTAGTCTCTAGTACTCTATGCCTGTAAGTGGCCATTAACTGCGAAATAAAGTTCATTCAAATTAGATAGAGAAAGATCTTCAACAGCCCAACAATTCTACTGTCACTAAAAAGATATTGAGCGGACTTAGCGGTCAAGAATTCGACAAACTCGTGATATGTTAGCAAGGTGGCATTGATCCGTGTCTGCCAATAACTGAACATCCATATCACATATCTCATGCTTCCTTCAATTGATTGAACTGATTATGTCTGGATTGTCAATATTCGCATAGCACCGGAGGCGAAGATCATCACCGAATTGTTACCTGTAACACAATTTCTCGTATTGTTTAATAATGACTTGATGAGAAATTAGGTTCTCATAGTAGAAAGAAGAACAAGGAATCGAAGTGAATATAGACAAGCTACGAGGATTTTGTGAGCATAAGCACTTCAAGCGGGCCGAGGACCTCCTGGCCCGAGATCCTCTCATGCCGTATGAGGACGAGGAAGCCCAGGTTTTGATGATCAGATCGAACATGTAGCTTTCATTTTAGCCGGACTGGAAAATTTGAGAAGTCTGGGGAAATCTGGGGAAATCTGGCGGAGAAACTCGTCTCTCTGCAAGTCATGTTCTGGGGTGCTTCTCACCCAACAAAAACACTGCCCCCAAGGCTTATGTACATCATGTACCCCTCACAAAAATGCAGTTTAGGGAAAATGGTGACCATATGATCATATCTGCATGATTCTGTGAGCAATTCAATAAACAGATGTTCCGATGGCTTTCAGGCTTCGCGCTCGACTAGGGGTATTACCACAATTTGGAGAATTCTTTAAGAGCTACTCACACTGATGTTTGTATCCATATAATCCGCGGTGAATATGGTAAGTAAGTCAAAAGATTGATTTCTCTGTGGCTCGTAATACTTCTTCGCTTTGAAAATACACTACTATTTCAACGGTCTCGTTTTTGTGTTTGACGATAGTTAGCGAGAAGCCCAATAAAAGCAGTGTGAGTTTCCATGAATCCATCATCCAAATAAGCTTGCCAAGTTGGTTGTCTCCACGCAGCTACTGAAAGCCATAAAAGGTCCAATTAAAGAGGTCTCAGAACTTTAAACTAATTTCATTTGTTCGAAATGGTTATCCTCGCTTATGTAAAGGGGTATTGGTCTAGCGCCTTGGAACAATCAATGTGAATCCTTTGAAACAATTGGACGCAAAAAAGTGGCTCCGTCTTGGCCACGCAAAGACCCTGGTACTCGTAGCCAAGAACGTTTTGATCTACAAACCATCTGAAAACGGAAGAATCTCAGTCTTAACAACTGACAAGTACAATGCCGAGCCTTAGCACCCGTTCGGAATTTAGTATCCTCGTATTTTGAGCACGGCCAATTAATTTCCCATTCTCACGACAGTCATGTCAGGTGGACCAAACCATCACGTATCTGAGATGAGGGGATCATGAAGGAGTTGAGATGCTCAATATTCTCCGGAGATATCGAATAGTACCTGTCAAGATATTTAAGAAGAGTCTTTTCCGCCATGTTAGTAACTTTCTTTCACCAGCATTCGCACATTCATTCTCTCATTCAATTCTTATACAAATTTTCACCATCGTCTCAAGCTAGTCTTTGAGTTTCACACAATTATCCTCACCTCTACATCAACACTTGAACAATTAAGCTCACCAATCTCAAAATGAAATCCCAAATTCTCGTCGCTGCTCTGGGACTCATCTCCTCAGCTTCTGCTGCTCCTTCTTCTTCAATCGAGGCACGTGTTGCAGGAGCTCCCATCGGATACGGAGCAGCAACAACTGGAGGTGCTGGAGGAATAACAACCACTGTCACTACTTGTGCCGCTCTTATCACTGCTGTTGACAAGAAGTCTGTAGCTAAGAGAATCGTTTACATTGATGGCCTACTCACCGGCTGCGGCATTGTTGATGTCGGCAGCAATGTTTCCATCTTTGGAAAGGGTGCTAAATCTGGTATCAAAGACGCCGGTTTCCGCGTTCGCAAGAACACCAATGTCATCTTCCAGAACTTGTCTCTGGGCCCTGCCCCTCCAAAGGGTGATGTTCTGGCCATTGACGAGTCAACAAAAATCTGGATTGATCACAATGACTTCATCTCTCATGGTCTTACCGGTGGCAAGGATGACTACGATGGTTAGTACAGATTCTCATGACTATCATAGTTCCGCATATACTGACTCCTTTATCAGGACTTCTAGATGTTTCCCACGCCGCTGATGATGTTACCATCTCATGGAACAAGTTTGGCGGACACTGGAAGGGCTCCCTAGTCGGTCACTCCGACAACAACGCCGCACAGGATACCGGCAAACTTCACGTCACCTACCACCACAACCAGTGGTCTCAAGTCAACTCCCGTCTCCCATCTGTTCGATTTGGAACCGTCCATGTCTACAACTCCCACTACCTTGGCACTGATACTTCTGGTGTCAACTCCCGCATGGGTGCTCAAGTGTACGTTGAGGCCAACGTCTTCGACAACACCAACCTCGCAATGGTCACCGACCTCGATTCCAAGCTTCCAGGTTCTATCTGTGACGTCAACAACATCCTCACTGGCACATCCACCAAACGTATCACCCAAACCTGTACACTCAAGATCCCATACGCATACACTGCCGAGAAGGCCAGCACTGTTGCTGTTTCGGTTGCCAGCGGCGCTGGTGTCGGAAAGGTTTCTCCATAAATGGAGGACATCTACGCCGAGCTGAGGTTAAAAAAAAAGGGAAAACATTTTTTTTCGAGAGGGGTTGAAAGAAACCCATGGCTGGTTCATGTATATACTTTTCTATTCTTCTACTTGCACATATCGCAGACAGCACAAATTTATATATTGTCAACACATTAAAGTAACCTAGTCTTCAAGAAAAGATGTTTTCTCTCGGGCGAGGAAAACTGGCTGATAAATCCACGACATAATCACGACGGAAAAATGGTGAGGAGCTTACGCGAGAATGTCAGGCAGGAAGCGAACAACATACCAGATATGAAAACAGGAGCTGGAGCTCTAGGCAAGATCTTGCTGTGCGGGGCCATTCGTTCCGACTGCCCCGAAATAGTTCTACTCGTAAGTGAGAAGCCGTGGATCTAAGTCGCCTCAGTTTGAAATTCCAAGCCACAGCGCTTTGCTGCAACCTTCCTCAGCCTCTCAATACTGTCATGAGATTTCGGGTTCTACCTCCTTACACAGCCTGTTTTCCAAACTGGAAGTTATTTGTCCTCGGTTATCACATCAGGTGCATGTGGAATTTAATGTGGGTAAGTTCCATGAACAAAAAAATATGCTAACATTGTGAGTCTATCGGGTTTTAACTTCCCGTTGAATTCCAACGCTGTTTCTAGATGCATCCCCCTCTTTTCTGACTTCAATCCTAATGTCTAGATGCAATAATTGGGTAACAAAGAAAAATCTGTGGGTTTGAATTTCTTCCAGTGTGAATTTTGCGTCACTTTCTAAGACGTGGGATTTCCACAGAAGACGCCTACCTTTGAAACGAATTATTATTGTTAAGTTTTATCGTATCTTTTACCGCGTGAGTTAATGGTAGCCTCTCCGCAAGCTTCCAACAACAACTTTAATCATTAAGTCACATGGTAGCGTTTGCAGAGGACGCACAATGTTTACGATTGGTCGAGTTAAACGAATTGCCCAATGCTCTCATCATTGGTCAGCCGATCATGTTCTGACTAATGGAATGGATAAATTCATTGCGTCCACAATTGGTGGATAAAAGAATGCACGTCTCACTTCAGAATTTGGGAATTGGAGAAGGGAGTCAAGTCATCAGATCACAGCAGCCACAATGCCAGGCGTTGAATTCGACAGGTTCAAAATGTGCATGTCGCCAGTCCAGCGTACTTATGCAGTGGCCACAAGTTATGTGATTAAAATCCACATCTTTTTTGAAATCTTTGAAGAAGACTTTATAAGAGGTCTAAAGTTATCTATGTAATTGTAAACTTGGGGTATTTTATTTTACTTCACCAGGATAGGTGACTATCTTTTGGTTTGAAGATGTAACAATGACTAGATCTAGTTATGGCATAGGAGTAGATTGAAAAGTGTTTTTCCTGACTTTGTTAAAAACAAAGAGTGATTTGAAATGATTGTGTGGCTGTCAGATTTAAGCGATTTTTGTTTTGAATTTCAAATTGCTTCAGAGGAAAGGTGAATAAGGATTGGAACGCATAACGATATAATCCAGTGAATTAATTACTGAAAACTATGATGCGATCTTGATCAATATAGCCTGCTGGGTGGTGAGAATGAAACGTTCCTTCCCTATTTCTCATTTAGCCAAGACCTCGTACCTTTTACCCCAGATTCCGGCACTTAAGATCCTGGAATCTGGGGTCACGCGAAAGCTTGTTTCTTTCCGGCTTTAGCATCATTGCAGAAATCCACGTTTTTTATATTAATCTACAATGTTACTCAAGTTCATTTACCCAGTGCAGCAGGCCAAACATGCATATAAAGAGGTCCTTCTTGGCACCTAGTGTTCGATAAGAACTTGGCAAAGCTTGTATAGTTTAATTCAATCCTTCAAAATCAAGCCGCCACCATGGTTTCATTCACACATCTGCTTATTGCTTCGTCAACAGTCTTAGGGATATTCGCCGCTCCTGCAATTGACAAAGTCGAGCGCGACTCCGCCGCTGAAAGTCTTCCAGATTTCGAAATCGGTGGGGCCAACCTTGCTCGTCGTCAAGATTACACTCAGAACTACAAGACTGGCGGTAATGTCAACTTTCAGTCAACAAACAATGGCTACTCTGTGACCTTCTCTGGGGCTCAAGACTTTGTTGTCGGAAGAGGATGGAAAACTGGAACTTCAAGGTAGATAATCAGCTCTTACAGCCAGCAACCCTGCATCATCACATCGCTGACTATTTATGATTAGAAACATCACGTTCAGCGGCACCACCACTGCTTCTTCTGGAACAGTACTTCTATCCGTGTATGGCTGGTCAACCAATCCGCTCGTTGAATACTACATTCAGGAATATAGCAACAGTAACGGCGCCGCACAAGGTACTAAAATCGGTACACTCGAAAGCGATGGATCTACATATGATATTTGGAAGCATCAACAAGTCAATCAGCCCTCCATCTCTGGCACAACCACGTTCTGGCAGTACATTTCTGTGCGACAACAGAAGAGAACTACCGGCGGAACCATCACTACCGCCAATCATTTCGCTGCTTGGGCTAAGCAAGGAATGAAGTTGGGGGCCATGAATTACCAGGTCCTCGCTACAGAAGGGTGGGGAAGCGCTGGTGGAAAATCGAACAATGTCATAAGCAGCTCGTAAAAGCCGGCGGGCTGATCTATCTGACAAAAGATGGGCAAGTTGGAGAAAATATGGTGGGGGCAGGAAAAGTTCTAGGATCAGGTTATCGATGTTGAGTGAAAATTTGAGTGATCATTGCTTCAAAACTAAGCAGATAATGACATCAAGTAAAATATAACAGTTGTGTTGCAAAGTTAACTGCTGAAACGATCAAACTGACGTATAATTGAGCTGTGCAAAATAGTGTCATGAGATCAACGTTCCCAAACATTCTACGCTTTTCAATTAAGCCTAATTAATTTTAATTGGCAATATATGACAAGTGTATACAAACACCCATAAATCTTTAGCCTGTCAAGAACCCTCATGACAGCATCTATATTTTGAAACATTCCCAACAGATATTTCAATATTCTCTCCATAGATCCCTTAGACATAAATTCAAATCCATCGAAACATTAAACTCGTCTCATGACCGCGTCATCCACGAAACCACTCAAAGCTTAAAGAGATCCAAGTTGTCATCGCCAATCTCTTCTACTTCATCATCTTCACCGTTATAGAACGCTGTTTCTAACAGTTTTCTGTCGCCTTCATGCAGGCTTTTCCAGTCTTTTTGGTCTTGCTTTTTACCAATTTTCACAACGTTTCCAATCTCTGCTTGAGTTCTTTTCGACATCGTACTCGCATGTTCATGTTTTCTTTTCAACAATCTGTACGCGGCGAGTAACTTCGTGTCTTCTCTTATCGACTTGTCATTTTGAAGCGCGGCGTAGTAACAGCTGAGTCCATTGGCGAACGAAATTCTCGTCTGATTGAAGTCGTTATATGATTTGGTGCCAGGGTGGTACCAGACGTTGATGTCAGACCACCAGTTCGTGACATCTATCAACATGCTTTGACTTTTGTGGTCCATTTTTCGGATGTAATGAGGCGTAAATCCACAATACAGACTTGAAAATTCTTCGTCGATTTGTTCGCATGGAACGTTCGACCGATTCACAAATATGAGAGAGTCTGCGATTACATCGGCGGCGTAGCAGGCTTTGCTGCCTGCCTCGATGATCTTCAGCTCCGGGCCAACCTGATTATTTTCCGCGCGTTGTCTCTCAATTCTTGCTGCTCTTACCTTGTACCCGATGTGAAAGAGTGGTTTTAATTCATCAACGCGGTTTTTTAAGATCGCAAATTCCTCCTGCGAACGAGTGAGAAGATGGTCTCGGTTCTGCAGAAGCATCTTAGCATCGCCGAGAAGTTCTTTGTATTTTATTTCTATTCTTTCAAATTCAGCTCCTTGCTCTGCAAGTTTGTCATGCATCTCTTGGCGAGAATCTTTAAGCTGGCGTTTGAGTGATAAAACCTTGGTCTCGTGTTCTGCCGAGACCCTTTGCGCTTCAAAGTAACTATGCTCCATGTGCTTTTTGAAAAAGTCATATCTCAGACTGTCGAGCGACCTTGAACCTCTTTGTGCATTGCTCTCCGTGCAAGATGTCGGCGGTTCTGCTTGAGGCAGGTCATCTGCCAAACTCATCATCGCCACAACTTTGTGGAGAAGCACGCTGATTGCGCACTCGATCAGATTTCTCATGCCGTCAGCGGATACGACCTCTATTGGTAACACTTTTGATTTGGTGTCCAGCAGAATTGAGTTTTGGGTATTAGCCATTTCAGCTTTCACCACATCCATTTTTTCTTGTTCCGCTTTGATTTTGGCTTTCCTGTCCCTGATCTCAAGGAGAAGTCGGGAAGATTCTATCATATCATGAAAAAATGCCTCTTTGCTCTTGATAAGCTCAATTGCCTCATTGCAATGGTTTATGGCATGGACTGGATCGTAGGAAACAGTCCAAGACTCCAGATTCCGTTGGATTCTCTCTTCTTGAGTGTTTATTTTTGGCTTATTTGAACTGATCAATCTTGCCAACGCTTTTCGTGCTTTCTGAAAACTTTGAATTTCTTCTGTCGCCGTATTGATCGCCGATGCACATCGGTGGAGTTCAAGGTTTCCGGAAGCTATATCTTGTTCCAGAAGCTGCATTTGAATCTCCTCCTGAATGTTGCTCAGACACGATTGATATCGTGCCCTCAAAGTCAGAATACTTTGGTCATAACTTCCAGGTGATACCGGTTGTATCTCCTTTTCCACCATGATTTCGGCTGGAGTTATCGCTCGCTTGGGATCATCTAAGGTGTTTGATTGACTAGGAAGAACGGAGCGAGTAATGCCCTGCTCATCGACGAGTGAGTGTTGGGTAGGAATAATCTGAGCTTCCATTTCAACTGCCGGCTGGGTGGTGCTACTGTAACTTATGAGATCCCTTGTCGAGTGTGGTGAATTGACGCTGGTCTGCTTTGACCAAAACGCTCACTTGCACATATATGAAGCAGCTTATATGTTTTTTCGGCATATGAGTTCTGAGTGTCGATACTGAATTTTTCAAATGGCATAAATTGTTTGAAGATACCTGGTTGTTGAGAAAGAGCTGTGTTGTGTGATTGAGGTCATGTTTGTAAAACCAACAGGAATTTCGGAGGCTAACTCGATATCTCCACAGAGCAGAATGCGCTTGTATGTTGAAAACTTCCTAGGCTAAGTGCACAACTATTGTACTTTCCGAAATTATCTGAGCAGTATACCTTACTGATAATAACAGCAGCTCAGCTTTATGCATCAAAAAGGCTACATTTTACACCACAATGCGAGTTTGAGAAATTTTGGACAATACCAAGTGTAGAAGTAAAAATAAAAGTGAATGATGATCAGAAAGTTTGAGCGAACTTCATTTATATTTATTAAACTGAATCTACTCAAGTATAAGTCTGCTTCATAGTTAAGCAAACAATTAATAGCTTATTTGACAGCGCGACTGGCAACTCAACTGACGATACACTTGTGACTATCATGATGTAGTATCTTTAAATATCCCAAAGTAGCATGGTGCTAACAATCGTTCAACGCAAAATTCCTATCTCAACCAATTCACCAGCTCTCTTGGCGTCTCTCAGAACCATTAATTCATGTGAGCAATGGTCTAGTTTCGTGAGCTAGAAGCTTTGATTTCAGCATAAGCAGCGTCGTATGCCACTTTCAAATTCAGATATTCCACTGTCTCCATGACTTGTTTTGGGGAAAAAGGAGTAATCAGAGCCCCTTTTGAATCCTTAAGCTTGTTGGAAAACTTGCCATGGGCAATATCAAAAGCTTGAGTAGTAGCTCGAGTGAGCCGAATATAGCTAATTAGCTTCCAACTGGACATATCGGCTTGCCAGTTGACCATGTCGATATAAGGTGAATGCCGTCGGAGCGTCCAAATATAGTCTGGTGATGTACCGTACATCTCAGAAAAAGTACTGATGTTGTCTTTTCGTTCTTTTCTACCTCGCAAAGTAAGACAGGTGGCAGCAGCTACGATCGCGTTTGCCCCATGCGCCGCTTTGTTTCCAGCCTCGACGAGGTCTACGTCTTTCGGTCTCGTTTTTCTGTAGGCGTTGTCAATCGCCATTCTTCTCAGTCGTACTTCCATCGCTAATTTGCAAACAGGGAGCATCTGATGTACTTCATTTCTCAAGTGCCCAATAGTGACGGAATTCTCAGCTACTTGGGCTTGTAAACCTTCAATCGTCTGCTTTAGAACAGATTCTTTAGCTTCAAACTTCTGCTCCAATCCCCAAACTGAATCCTTCATATCACACACAAGCTCACTAACCGAGTAGATCCTTGGTTCGACGGATATTGGTTCGTCGGATACCATTGATGCATTCCGACCTGGATTATTCCTGTATTCACCGCACAGGACTTCCAGTGCACTAATTCTTTCTCGAAGGTCCTGAATCTCATTGTCAAGTTTCCTCAAATTTGAGACCTGATTTCGGGTTTGGTTCCCTTTGTTGTAAATGTCTTTTAAACTTTCATAATTTACGTCCTTTTTAAAGCCTGCCTTATCAAGATCCCCTTCCTTATTCCTCATAGTTGGCATCACTTTCTTGTGCAAGAGATCAAAAGCACTAAACATGTCTTCATTTGTCAAACCTTGATAAGTCCATGAAGTCATATTCGCTTTCCAATTAATTATGTTGATAAACTCGCCGAACTCGCGGTTCTCCCATACTTCATCGGCGTTCACAGAATACAGGTCGCGAAATTTCGTGATTGTCCAGCTCTTACCTAAAAGTACTCGGCAAGTTTCCCACACTGCTGCATCCGCGACAGCATGAGCATAGCGTGCCATAGAATTTCCCGCGTCGAAAATGTGGGAATCTGGTTTAGTCCTCTGTATGCTAGCAAATTCTTGTGCCATTCTATGTGCACGAACCCTCTTTCCAACCCCAGCTAACCACACATTTCCGTCGCAATAATTTTCCAAACTTTTGATCTTCGATAATGCCGCTTCTAACTTTTGTTCTGTCGATCCAACCTTGTGGTCCAAAAGGAAGCCAACAATCTTATTTTGCTCTGCAGTCTTGCTGACGATTTTATGTTCCCTTCCAGCTTCTGATATGCGTTCCATCGAATTCATCCCACAACTAGAATCAGCGGTAACAGTCGCGCTTTTCCCACTTGTAGCGTCAGCAACTTGAAATGTGCATACGATCTGCTCAACAAAGGCTGTTACATCTCGAAGCTCTTCAAGCAGGAAGTTGATTCTGCAACCAATAACCTTGTTGCTGCTCGAGCTGTCTGTAACTGCAGGATGGGGAACGTCCGAACTTTTCTTGCCGTTAATGAGCGTTGCTTCTAGTTGTTGAATGCTTGCCTCGCAAGTTTGTATCTCTAATTCTTCGTCGGCGAGAGAGCCTTGAGACGCAGACTGCCTGTTTTGCAGATATTGGAGTTGTGTGTCGAGCTTCCGCAGTCTCATGTCACCTACAACTGACGGAAAAAATCTGGTTCTTGTGATCTCGGTCTGTCTATCAGATTCGGCAACTTTGGCAGCTTCCATTTCCTCGATTGAACGATCTAACTCCGCGAGCTCGAGCTTGGTATTTTCGCCATTTTTCTGGAGAGTTGCCAGGTTTGCCGTAAGTCTGTCGATCTGTGCTCGAACGGAAAGAAGTTGAATTGCATCCACGATTTCGTTGTATCTAGCCTCAATGTTTTCCTCGATCTCCCCTCCGCCTGCTTTCGAATGAAGTACCATAGCCATAATTGCTCCACCTCTTTTACTTTGAACCAAGTTGAGAGGCCCAAATTGCAAACGCGTAAGGGTGGTGAGAATAGATGGTGCTACCAAGCCGGCTAGCTGTAATCGTGGACGTGTAATGCGTTGACACTGGATAGTGTGAGGAAAATGAGAAGCGATTTAGATAGCTCGCGTTCGGGAAAAAAAAGCGTTATACGGCAAGTTTGAAATTTCGATATTGTGCAAGTTCGGTGAATATCTTGGCAACTTCTGCTGTAGCGCAAATTAAACTTAGCGTAATATTGTTTGACACTCTGTGGTAGCTCATCCATCTCAACTTTGGGTGTATCAGTCGGTTTGGTATCGATCCAGCAGACTTTAAAGAATCATTTGAGTCTTAGCCGAGCGTTTGGTAGATATTTGTTTATCCGGGAAGAAAGGTACGTTGCACAAGGCCAGGAGAAAATGGTTAAAGCTTTTGCTGGGTCATTATATCAGATTTGTGCTGATACTTTCCACTGGTAGCTTAAACGTCGAGTTTTAACAATAATAATTTCATCTAGCAGGCATTTACGTCGATGTAGCTAGATGTATAAGTAATTGAAAGACATAAAATTCGAAATATACAAGAATTCTCACGGATCTTAGTGACTACCCTGAATTTTGATTTTTAATGTTTTAATTTAATACAACAACCGTGCATAATACTTTCTAAACTAATTCTTTAGTCCAATTGTCACAACAAAAATCCAACCCTACCAAATTGACATCCTCACAGTCTTACCATTCCCAAATTCTAAGCGGAGGGTTCGACATTCTTTCTTTAACCGCGTAGTACGTTTCGAGGAGGCTAAGATATCCAGTCTCGTCTGGACTCTTTTCGTTATAAGCCTTCTGATCAATAGCCCCGTTGCTATCCTTCAATTCTTCCAAGAACTTGTTGAAATCAAAATCAAACTTCTCTCTATCACCAGGTGTCACATGTCCCTTCTTTTCCCACTCCGCCATACCACCTTTCCACCCCAGAATATTTATCAAAGTCAAATTTTCGCGATTTTCCCAGATCACATCTTCGGATACACCGTAGATCTTTTCCATATCAATCTTATTGGCGCTGTTCCCGAGCGAACTTCTGTAGAACTTGCATAATGCGGCGTCAGCTAGAACACTTCCTTCATGTGCGCTTCTGTTGCCACTGAGCTTGACTTTATTGTTTCTGTCTTGGTCGTCGAGATCCATCACTAGTTTACGTGCTCTGACTTCTTTCCCTATGTGGAATAGATACCTACTTTGTTCAACGCGCTCTCTCAATTGTCGAGCTTCGTCGTGTCCATATGCGGAATAAGCAGGTGCTGACTGACCAGTTGCCATTTGCATCGTCGGCTGTGCCAGTGGGGTGACCGGCAGCTTTTGTGGAGGATCTGTACTTGGGTTTTGTGGATTCCCGACCAAAGCTTGAATCGAGCGTGTTATATCTTGGAGTGTTTCAAGCATGGAAGTCATTTCATGTTCGATGCTATCCGGGCTGGTGTGCTTTGTGTTCAGGACGTTCATTGCGGGTTGGCATGAATTATCATTGCCTTGGGGCAATGTAGCCTTGAGCTGGAGTATTTTCGAATGACAGGCCTCGATCTCCACGGCATTATTGTCCAACGACTTTTGAACTGCCAAACTCTTGATCTTCAAGTCGAAAACTTCGATTCGCCACTGTCCCACTTTGACTTTTTCTTCGTAGAGGGCGTTTTGTATGTGAAATCGATCCACCCAAGCTTTGCATGCCTCAAGCTCGTCAACCAGGTCGTTCGATCTCGCTGCCAAGTCTCGTTTTGTCTTCAAAGTTGCTGAATTTGTAGCTAACGCCAACTTCAAAGAGCCGCAAGGTTTCTTCGCGCTTTTATGGCAATTCTCAGTCTCCTTAATCATTCTATCATACTTTCTAATCTCAAGTTTACACTCCTCATCTCTCTTGTGGATATTGTCGATAATTTTCGTGAGCCGGTGGATTTGTACCTGAACTGAAAGATGATGAAGCTTGTCGATGATCTGATCGTATTTCTCGGCCATCTCTTCTGGTTCTTTCTCTGCTACATCGTTGGTTTTTGGTACTCGAAGAATCGCCGTATTGTTCGTCTCCCCCGCTTCGTCTTTGGCAGCCATTGCCGCAGCAGTCATCTATTCGGCCCGCCCTATCGTGTATGAAAAACTGGAGTATTTGTAGCAGTGGACGTGCGTGGGATGCAGGCGTGAGAACTATAGTAGATAGGATTGATCGTGATCTGGATAGTTTCGCAATCCGATAATCGTGAGAAATGAGATTCTCTGTGAGGAGTGTGGAGTGTTGCCTCAAAGATAGATCGAGAAATATCTGCGCAAAAGCCACGAAGGGTTAGCGCGTCCACGAAGGTGAAGTCCATATTCCATAAGTTTGGAGACAGGGTGACCTCTACCACACCTGCAGAACTCAGATATTGCTGTAAGCATTTCGACAAGTTCTTTCTACCCGATGTACAATGCAAGATGTATCCAAGCTGCTCGTCAGGTGATTGATGCAACCGTTAGAAGATTCGAGGGTGGAAAGAGACTTGTCAAATAAATGATAGTCCACACTCCTCGAGCAAATTTAGAATTATGGAAAACGTTCCACCACTTGTAACGCCCTTTAGATCGTATATAACATTATTCCAAAATAAACGCGTGACCAAATTGCCCCGCTCATACCAAAAACGCCAAACATACCAACCGTCCATAGCAACACAAACATCCTCAAATTCTGATCATTAAAACAACTCCAGAAATCATCATCCAACATCCTTCACCACTCTACTCCGCCTTAAAACTCCCACTCTTACTCCTCGGTCTCTGCGCCGCCTTAAACGCCTCCAACCCGGCCTTCCTCTCCGACTCAACCATACGATACGCATCCACCAACGCCTGATCCTTCACAAACACCTCATTACTATTGACTTTGAACTCCGGATAGATGGTCCCCATAATCTTATTGTAGAAGGGCCAGAAATTGTCGCAGGAGTAGTAGCGTTGGAAGATGGCCATGTCGCTGCCCCAGTTGACGACGTCGATGAACATGGTGAAGTGCCGGTGCTCCCAGACGTGGTGCACGGGGATGTCGTAGAGGGTTTGGAAGGTGGTCATGTAGTCTTCGTTTTGGTCTTCGAAGTCTTCGTCCATGGTTGCTGGAGGGGGTTAGTGGTTGCATCGTTGGGGATGTGATTGGGACTTACCATCGGCTTTGGCGTTGGCTTCGTTCTGGGCGGTCCAGTATGCTGCGGCGAGTACTGGGTCGCCCTTCTTGCCAGCCTTCTCCGAGCGTAGCTTTTCCATTCTCCAAGCGCGAGTATGATGGCCGACCCAGTACAGTGGTACCATCTCCTCGACCTTGTTCTGCACCTCTCCTAGCTCCTTGCTGAGTGCGGCACGCGTCTTTCTTTGCGGTAGCTTCCGGCGTTTCTCAGCAGTGTTAGCTTGTCGATCAAGAGTAGTAGTACTAGCATTGATTTTCTTGTTCTCAGCCTCCGTGACCGTCTCCAGGAGCGACTCCGCCTTTTCCAAGCTCTCAAGGAGCATTGAGACCATGTTCTCGACTGACATTCGGATATTGCCCAGACTTTGCTCAGTGTTTGGAGGCAGTCGCTCAGAAAAGCTTGGAACATATTCGACAGTACGCTTTTCAACTTCATGGAGAATGGCGCGATCGTTTTCGGTTCCCACTTTCAAGGCCTCGATCTTGGCTTCGGCGGTGGCCGATCTTTGCTTTTTCTCATGGATAACCATCTCAAGCTCATCAATCGCGATGCTTTGCCGGAGAATGGAGGGACGCGTCTCTGCGACTTCAAGTTCCGCTCTACGCGCCTTGATTCTTTCCGCTGGATTTTGGCTTTGATCGGCTGCTGCAAACAATTGTCGCGCAAGTTGCTCAAGGTCATGGATTTTTTGAGTGTCTTGATCGTAGCTAGATTTTAGTTTCGCAAGCTCGGCTTCTAGCTCTGGAAGACCATCCGAGGCGGCAGTTGAGTCTTGTTCCAGAGAGCATATTTCTGATTGCTTGGTATATATATCACCAGCGACTTTTCGGCTTTGAATACGATGGGAAAGAACTTCAAGCGATTCCATCTGTTCAATATACTCTTTTTCGAGCCTCGATATCTCGGATACAGGCATTGTGAGTGTTCCAGACGATGTTGTCGCTCGTCTCATCGTGCTGTCTTCTCTTTGATCTGTCTGAAGGTCAGCTTCGTGAAAAAATGGGAACAAATCAGTCAATGGTGAATACTGTGTACTCACATGATGGTGGCCGATTCATTTCTGCATTTTTCTTGTCGAGCAACTGCTTGATTTTGAAGGGCAGGATGGGAAGCCGGCGCGAAGCCTTTTCGTTCGGTTCTTGAACGGTCATTGTCGAGATCGGGTGACTAAAAAAGCTTCTCGACGCGGTGTTGATGGAATCGGACGCGGTCACGATAAGTTCCGTGTTGCAACAAAATCCAGGTGGGCGTGAATTTCAGATTGTCTGGTCGAAAGGTGAGCAGAGCGTCGGCCGGGTCGGGTAGTCGCGTGAAGAACGAGGTCAACTTCAATGTGCATGCAACTATTCCGACTTTGCTTACAAGATATCTACGCACGAGAACCCACGCATGACATGCGTGCCCTGTGGCTTATTATATGTGAATGTAAACACAGTCTGGCATGAGGATTTTGTTGGCGGTTCATTAGCGTCAGACACTTGCTGCACGTACTAAGAATATGCACCACTTTATTGCCACGCTTGTGCAATATGGAGCAAGCCGCAATTCCGCAAATAAAGAGACGCGAACGGTCGTAATGTTTTAGATGGTCCCTTTGAGTAGAATATGGCTGTGCGTTATGGATGGTCCACAATACTAGTAACAGCAAGTCGTGTTTTTGAATCGGCTTGGCACCGCTACGCTGGTGCGAATAGATCGTTCCGCAGCTATTTAAATCCGGGGTTGGATAACTGTCACAGCTTCGAAATGGATGACGAGCAATTCAAAAGTACATCTTAATACCATTCCTACCTAGCTACCGGTTTGCAGCGGGAGACTAATGCGAGCACTCCAAGAATACGGTTGCGTTTTCCTCTACATCTATCTCCCCAACGACACTGAAAACTCTAATAGAGTAACCCGCATACCAACCTCCTTCGCTCACAACGGATTTCATACGTGTACGAAGATCGTTGTGGAACCCTATGTGTGCGCCATTTCCAATGTCTGTATGCCCAACCTCTCGAATTCCGGGTAGCGCACGCAATGATCCGTTGGCCTGCATCGTTCAGACGAACCATCGCATTTGAGGATCGGATCGCAACGGAGTGCTGTAACAAGAGGTTGGTTCCTTTGTTTTCGATAGCTGATCGCAATTTCAAGTTTTCGAGTCGAGTGTACCGGAGCAGATGGTTTCGTAGAGTTTGCTCCGCCTCGAGTCCGCGTTGTTGATTTTAACTTTCGGGTTGCTTAGTCAACTGTGTCCGATGTTTCCCCGAGCCATGGATCCACATCTCGACGCGACTTCGTCAAAAACACTTCAACCACACCTCATCCCCATCAAGACTTAAAGATGCTTGTTTTCATACTTTGGCTTTCGATTGCACGCTTTACAATTTACCCACTTCATTCAATTCATATCCTTTCGAAGGGTAATGCTACCAATATCCTCACAGAAATCGTAAGGGATTTGACTGTCGGCTCTTAAGTCTTGACTGATGCAAACACTTCGATGATTTCAAACATCGCCAGAGTCATGGCTGACGCCAATTCATGTTTTCAGATCATAGTCACACTTTTTAATGTGAAGTGAATTTGATCAAGCCAGTCAAAACAATAATAGTAGCAAATTCAAGACTGAAGCTAGCTTTTTGCCCAGATGCTGCTACTATTCCTCACGCCAGACACACAAACCCAATACAGGACCATCAAATTTTAGGACAAGCAGCTTCATATTTGCTATCACGCAATTAGCCTCCGAGCAATCCTGCATATAATATAAGCGTCAGCATCTCCCTCATCCGGAGTAGCAAAGCTCATATATCAATTTCGGACCTTTGTTAAAAAAGTCCCACGTTCTTTGAGAGGATCCAACATACATTATCAGACAATCAAGATGTCTGCTTCCAGAAGGTCTAGTCCAATTCCGTCCATCCCATCTACTCCTATTACATCTCCTCCCCATCTATCTACTCCAATCCCTTCTCCTCCAATTTCATCCACTCCCAATTTCTCACCCCTCGATCAGTCTTCCCCTGGTCATTCTCCTTCAAACGACTCTTACTCCGACGATCCCGCTTACGTTGTGCGATGGCCGTACGTCGACATATTACTTTTGATCCACAGGAACAGGGCTTTTTACGATACACCCGGCCTTCCAGCGATCGATCATGCCACGGCATTTGCAAGTCCACTTGAAAGGCAATTCTATCAACTGATTTTGAGCTACCCGGAGACAGAAATTGACAGGCAGATTGATGCAATGGTTCGGCAACTCCTGTACGTGCGGAGACAAGGTAGATTTGATGCCACAGAGAACCAGGATTTTGTTATACTTAAAAGAACGTTAGAAACGCTCGCTAACAGCGTCGCTGAAACTGTGGTATCGCGAAACACAGTAGAGTGAGTCTTTATAGGGCGTCTTGTTTAGGGGGCAGGGGTAGGATTGTATTAAGAAGAAGTTCGCATACCTAACTTTTGCTTAACTTTGATTATTTTGGAAGCGATAGACTTGGCAAATTTCCATCAATTATGACAAAAATATTCCTATCCTATCAATAGAGAGGCTTCTTGAAAAGTAGTTTCCAAGATGTAAATTAAAGTTTTATTGGTAACAAAATGCTGACATCTTTTCGGCTTTACAAACTTATATATCCTTTGGGTCTTGTGGAAAGTCATTGAATTTCGACTTGGTGCTGATTGCGTCGCATCAAAACTGTCGGACCGTTTACAATTGTCCTTGTATAGAACTCCAAAGGAAAGTCGATAGTGCAATTCTTGGGTTTGCTTGCGCTCGGAACAGCACATTGTCACATTAAATCAGATCTCTGAGTCAAAGCAGCACATCGTGTTCTCTGATTCACCGCCAACAATTGTTTGTTTGCATGCGCGACAGCAACGCTCCAATAATATCGTATATGTATTAATCCAACTGCTTCTCCATGTCAGAAACTGCGAGATTATCCAAAATTTTGAATTTCCAGAAAATTACTGTTGTCTAAACGACTTGTGGCTGGGTTTCATTGATTCTTTTTAATTTGTGATTATATTCGGCGGAATCTCAAACACTATTCACACATTCCTGAACATCACACAAGACATCAATTACAGAGAGCAGCAATGCCGCTTTTTGGTCGCTCAGTTCCTACTATACCCACTCAGAATGAGCGATGGCCGCTAATCGATACACTTCTTTTCGTCCAACGATACAGAGGAATTTACAATGATTTTTCACTTCCGGCCATCGAGACCAGGCTTCCGCAGTTTATCGATTTAGAAGAAGGCCATTATTACGATCGTTTGATGAGTTCTACTACAGCACGGCAAGGCCAAATCGACGATATGATTGCGAAACTGTTGGTTATGTGGAGAAGGAGCGCGGTTGTTGAAATGGACGAGCTGAATTTTCGGTTTCTTGGAAGATTGATCAATACTATTATGAGGGAAATGTCTCCTGCACCAGAAAGATAGGCTTGAAAGCGATCGACTGAGTGTATGAATTTTGAACGGTATATCACTAGGGAGGTTGTAATTCATAAAAACACTTGTTATTCGCATCTAAATGACAACTCTTATGTTCGGGAGGAATAGATGAAGAGTTTTCAATCATAGGAATCCCCGTATCAGTAAATGGGTCGTCCCTAAGAAAGTTGTTGTTAAGTGTGGCTTGACAGATGTGTTTGGCTGCAACTTTGGCATTTGATTACGAATTTAGTTTGAAATTTTGGCCGTGAATTAGTTAGGTTTCATGATAATGTCCAAAATTCAAATAAAAGCTGTATCATCTCTATTCAACCTTTTGAGCTTCTGAATAAACTATGCTGAAAATACCTAACTCTAATAATCGTTAGTGGAGGTTTTTGGTGACATTATTCATCCTCATCCATTCACTCAATCTCCGGCTATTCCAATTGATTTAGCTACCCTTTTGTTAAAGCATACATAACACTTTTCACTACTACCTTTTCTCACCATCTGAATTTCCAACACAGCAGGTAGTCCAGGATTCCAATTTAATATGTCCTACCCCCACACGCACCACTCCTGGCAAGGAAACGGCAGCAACCAAAGCCCATTCAACCACGGCTACAACCTGCAGCCCTCTCTCTTAAATTCTCCCGCGGATACCTAAGGCAAAGACAATTCTCCTTCCACCAATCCCGGCTTGGACAACATATCATGGGTGGAGTATTTCCACAACGCCCATACTACCCGCCGGGAGATCACATGATTCAGGATTACGACAGTCAACAGCGAGCTACTTATCAACGGTTCATGGCTGATGAAGCGAGGATTCATCATTAGAGGACGAGAGAGCTGGAAGCGGCGCATGCGATGATGGAGTTGCGATATGGTCGTCGGTAAGTAAGCCTGTGAAGAAGAGAGGATTGGTATGTTTATCGTTCATGCGCTTTGGTTGGGTTTAGTATATAAAAAAGAAAGTGGACCGGAACCGTTGAGTTTATATAAGACTATTTACATCCTGGGCGAAGACCCAAGATTTAGATGTCTATATTCTGTTCTATTTCTCCTCGTTTTGGTAAGTTCAACGAAAAGTCAAACGCGCAAAAGAAATCATTATTAGAAAATAGCTTTCATAGAAGTTGACTTCAATCGTCTCAACATTAATCTGTTTAATCTGATTGATAAATCACAGCATGTTCTGAGGTGATTAGAAACTACTTTATATCCAGCTTTAATCAGATTGGTGACAACTAATTCAAAGAAGTGGAACTAGCTAGTGAATCGAGGGTCAACAGTAAACTACTAAATTTAATTATAGTACCAGTCATAACCATAAAATACTGCTTACGAATTCTAATGAATGCCTATCAGTTATACAAAGTAGTATTTGCTTAATAGTCTGTTTGATTTCTTTCAATTATCTATCATCCCATCATCATTTTACATCAGGACTCGTCCGCAAATTACAGAAAAGGCTACACCACCACAACTCATCCTACGTGATAACCGAAATGTCACAAATCAAGACAAACCCGTACCGCTTTTGGCAAGGAACAGACACGAATCTAGGCGTCTTTAGTCCCGGCGAAAAAGCTCAATCAGCTTCTAACAATCCGCCAAACAATCCACGGCAGCCATCCTCACATGTAAATCGCCATAACCGACCGCCAGAACAACACCAGAAATGTTCTACAGGTAACAAGCAGACATTACTTGAAGAAAGACTAAATAAATTAGACGTGGTGGAGTGGATGATGATGATGAGTTATGAACGCGGATAGACTCATAAGTCAACTACTATCTGACAAGTATTGAGATCGTTTGTTTACCTCACGCTTTATGAAATACATAGACAAAGTATACTAAAGTCACACAAACGAGCGTATCAATACTCATAAATTAAACACTCAAATCCTTTTACTCGTTTTCTCATGCGCATAATCTTGTAATATTCGAGCTCAAGTGTTTTGTCGGCAATGTCATACGTAAACCCCGGCCTTCAAACCACATCATGATACTGAAGTAATGAACTTTCTGAAAACTAATCTAACAAAAAGCCCATACATAGACAAGACAATGGACGTATCAAAGCTCATATTGAGTATCAATAAGAATAAATCCTTGGAGATATACCACTGGCACCTCCTTGTTCAGTGATCCACGGGTGTTCTTGATTTTAATTCTATCCCCCAAGATTCTTCATGGAAATAAACCCATGTGTTGGTGGTAATCCATTATTCTTTCAGCTTAGTCCGTAGCTCGATACAGAATGCTCATCTAGCAAAGTTTTGACGATAGTGTGGCGAAGTATATGTTTAAGTGCGAGTGATAGAATGATTACCCTGGGATCAGATTGTGTAGGTGAATGTTCATTATAACACCCATTGGAACGATTAAGAAGACAAACAAGCAATATTTTGGAGCATCTGATTGCATTTATTTGTAATTTTAATGGTCTTCTGATTGAATAAATATTAAACACTCACAAGTGCTTTATACCTGATCTATATGACCACTTCACACTTTAAAATGTGACATTGGCAATAGGAAAATTGTGTTTCGTCTGCTCATCAAAGCACGGTGAAAGCAATTTTTAATTTGCTGAAGGGGCTGCCACACTATCCGCAACAATGACCTTCTGCAGCCGTGTCCTCACTCTCCTTCCTCCGCCGCAACTTTATCATAATCTGATGCCATTCCAGCGCAAATAACGCAACCTCACTCCCCAGATTCAACTCTTCAAACCCCCACGAACACCACGGCACAACTTCAATGTTATATCGAGAGATGCAACTCAGCTTTCGCACATCGTCAACGTGTTTTGATATCGCAAAAAAGCAAGCACGAAATAAAAGCCACCAAAAACGCGCATATGCAACGCGATAGTGCTCAATGACGCGATCAGATCTCAATTCCTTCCCGTGCCGTGCTGGCGGATTGCGGCGTGGTATCGATGCAGTTAAGTTTGAATTGAGAAAGCCGCACAGATTTATTAAACGGTTGATTGTCCGGCAGTTTTGGATTTAGCGAGGTGTGGTGGACCCCCCTTTTTCACAGCCGTGAATAATGAAATATGTGGGGCTTCCGGATGTTATCTTTTTTGAATTTCCGTTATCGCATTTTGAACGGCCAACTATTTGCGTAACTGTTGAGACAGCATTGCTTTCGTGTCAAAGTTTAATTCGTCTTTACTAACTTCTCTCGCAGCTTATCAGAAGATAAGAAGCGTTGTGGAAGGATTCATGCGGATCGTGCATTATTGATTTAGGATCTCTACAGTCTAAAATCTCGTGAACCTAGAAAAGCTAAGTTGCGCACTTATTACAAAGCGCTGAAGGTTTATAATGAGGCTGTAAATAATATTTTCACTGCAAATTGCGCCAATTGGTAAACACATGCAGTCAGATGATTTGACATCTTAGCAGTTGACAAAGTGGTCTGTCGGCTACATCATTCAAATTTACAGGATGAAAATAATTTTAACCCACTAAGACACCGTGAAAGACAATCTATCCGAACTCAAAGCGATTTGCACGGAGATGAAATCGTCCAGCTTGAAAGCTTGGAAGTACACTCCCTCGTCTCGCAATGAAAAGTGCCAATGAAGCTATTCTACTTCTGGGATCTCTTGGTTGAACAATCACCTTGGAACAAATGGCCAAGAAATACTGTTCACATACAAGTAACTCAATTACAGAAACTGTGGCAACTTACGCTTCACAAATGTAGTGAACACCCAAAGAGCTTCACCAAAATTGTAAGATTGATTAAATTAGATATACATGTGCCTTCAAAGTGGCAAGCTTGCGCGAATTAAATAACCCGAAATCGCCATTTTACGAATACAATCGCTTTTCGTTTTCCACAACCCGAGCTTTTCAGTCCAAATACCGTCAACGGAAGATGTTTTCAAGGGATACCCCGAGCTGGTCCGTCTGAAAAAATGTTATATGTGGTCATTTGACCTTTGCCAATAAGCCTACCCGGAAGAAAATTTACTTCTTGCTCTTAGAGTCTTGCCATACCGGAAGAATATATATCTGAACAATGTGAGCTTAAAATCAGTATGTAGAAAAATGTAAAAGGGATACTCACGGGAATGGTAGCATAGCTAAGGTCAAAAATGCAATTAGGGTCGAAGCCCACTGGTAGCCCAAATCATCAAACACTAGGTGAAATTAGCTTCTCCGTCCTCTTTAATCTATGAATCCGCTTACTCTGAACTGTGAACAATGGGAAAGCAGCTGCGAAAAGACAGCGTGTAGTTGTATTGACAGCCATAGCGCTCGCGGCATACTTAGGATAGGCAGCCATTAAGAATGTCCAAAGACCTTGAAAAACAAAGAAGAGTCTATTCGAGACGATAATGTCAGCTAGCTTGTAGAATGCAGGAAATTGAGCAAAGATATCGTACCCTATGCTGAAGAATATAGTTGCGATGATTGGCACAATCCAATGTACAGAAGGATAAGTCGTCCAAGCAAACCAAAACAACGACACAGTGACCATTGCCGATCCTATCATCGCAGGAGGTAATCTCAATTCGGGCTCAGGCTTATATTCGGGGCCGTGCTTCGCTTTCATCTTGGCAATGAGTCCCATCCAGTTTTTATGCCAGTAAGGATTGAATAAACAAGCGACCAAGTTACCGATCAAGAGACCCAAGAATGTAAGACCTACTTGCCAGAGATTAAAGCCATGGTTGTTGACGAATACTAACGGAAAAGCTCCGAAGAAAAGATACAAGATGCCTTGAAGGAGGGAGGTGTAGGTGCTGAGAGCTAGAACCATAGGGTCGAGGAACAAAAGTTGAAAAGGGACATAGAGTGACGTAGCGAGAGCTTTGGAGAGAGATTTTGAGGCGCGAGCTTTGTCAGAGGCAGAATGATATTGCCTTTTTGTGCTTTTACGAAGCGCGGCGGCCTTTTTGCTAAGTAGGATAGGATGATATGTCTCTGGCACAAGGAGGACACATGCTAGCATGACCCCTGTCCAAATAAGAAGGACATAGAACGACCATCGCCTTTTAGTTTAATTAGCAGATGCCAGTATACGATCCTATGGAAGTTTGACAGTGAACTAACCAATTAGCGAAGGAGTTGATGAAACCACCAATCAGAGGTCCGGCGACTGGTCCGATGAAAGCAGTGCCAGTGAAGATGGTCATGGGAAGTAGTAATTGCTGAGGAATAAACAAGTCTACTATAGAGCCACCAGCGACGGCAAGGAATGCACTTCCTGATAATCCGTTGAAAAAACGTGCGATCAGAAGCGTTTCTATGTTTTGCGCGACGGCACACGGGATCAACCAAATCAAGAAGAACACAATCGAAGTTATGTATATTGGCCTTCTTCCGTAGAACTAGAGTCCGAAGTTCAGTCAGAGAATCACCACAGAATGGGCGAGCAGTAATTGCTGCACAAGCATACCTCGGAAAAAGGGCTGAAAAGCAGAGGTCCCAAACCTAGGCCAAGGACGTAGAGTGACAGTCCAAGGTTCGCAATCTCCTGAGAGATGCCAAAGCGTGAGATAATCTGTGCATAGCATGCGACGTATAGTGACGAAGTGGCGGTTCTAAACATGCACTTCACGTCAATTCTCGGTTCAGATAAAAATAAACGCCAGACATTTTGGATACTCACACCAATAAAGAGCCCGTAGAGACTACAGCAACGTAGAACCACTTCCTCGAGGATGAGAAAGTTCGCGGGTCTAGAGGATCGCTGTCACCATCCCATTCCACGAGAATCGAGTGTCCAATCTTATTATCTTGCTGTTTCTCGGGGTCGCCAGTAACATTTTCTGGATTTGTAGTAGTGTCCAATGACTCGGCCTCAGCTGCCTTCGAACCACGTTCATTATCGTCGCTCGACATTGTAGAAGAACGAAATGATCGAATGACATCCGTCCTTGTCAGGCCAAGTGCGAAGGCGCTGCTGCAATGAAGTGTTTATACCTGTACAAGTTTGCACTGGATTATTTCCATGGATAAGAAGTCATCCCGGGAGAACCGACACGAAGAAGATTCTACAGCTTAATTTCCATCGTAATTGGAGCACCGCCGACTCGGACTGGTCCTCGCATCCAATGGCTGATCATAGACGAGAGTCCTCCGTGCTGACAAACCCTCTAAGTCGTTCGACCGCCGCTCACGTGATGATGTTCGCTTGAAAGTCGAGCTTCACCCGCAGGCATCTTTGTTCTCCGCCGGCCATCATCATCATCATTTGGACAACCAACATTCATAGCACTCATCCGGTCCCGGTTGTTATTTGTTGTGTGCTGTTACATATTGTTGTTATGTCGTCTCCGTCGTCTCCACGTGCACGAACAATGCCGTCCGACTACGTTTATTCGGAGGCTAAGCGGAGGAAGTTGCGCAAGGGTACGCATAGCTGCTGGGAATGTAAACGGCGGAAGATGAGGTGCATTTTCGATGCTCGAGACAATGTCATTTGTAATGGCTGTCGACGAAGGGGTGCTCGGTGCATCAGTCAGGAATTCCCTGAGGACCTCGGTTTTGCTGATACTGACACCACTGGGAATGGCCATGGTGGAGGGACACCAAATACCCCCAGTGAAGACGGTAGGAGAAGAGGTGCTAGCCATGAGATCCCAACTCCAGTGTCCATGATATCGGAGTCATCGCAGTTCTTTGCCTTTTATTCGGCTTCGGAGGCGCGTAATCTAAACGTCAATATTCTGATGTTTATTGACTGACTTTTGTCCCTAGCACCGCACCTTTGAAGATAACAATCATCCATCCATTAGGAATTCATCAGACTCAAACAGGAAACATGAGAAGCTTTCGCAGTTTTTGCACGCATCACTCCCTTCGCAAGAAGATACGATGAAGATATATGCGGCGGCCCGACATTCTCCCATTCTAGCTCACGAGATAATCACCATGCCATACGATCTTCTTGATAAGAAAGACGTAACAGCTGGCGAAGGTCGGGTAGATATCCCCGGGCCGACCCAACATCCAGTCCTCATATCGAGACATATGCTTTTGCTTGCTACATTCCTGCAGCATCTCCACCCGGATCTTCACGAAGAGATCAAGTCACTGTCGGAGGCGCCGCGGACTGTGATGGAAAGGTTGGCAGATCTTGTTGTAAGTCTGGTTACGACAAATGACGACCTTCTCGGGACTATCGAAGGCCTGGAGTGTGTCATTATCGAGAGTGTCTATCAGGCTAACATTGGCAATCTTCGGCGCAGCTGGATGTCGTGTCGTAGAGCTATGAACATTGCGCAGCTAATGGGCCTCAACCGACATGATAATCAGGCACAGTACAAAGTGCTTGACCCCACTAAGGAATATCATCCACACGTGATGTGGTTTCGGATTGTTTTCTTAGACCGCTATCTCTGTCTTATGCTAGGGCTTTCCCAAGGTTGCCTGGATCGTAGTATGGCCTCTGATACGATGCTCGCGAAAGGTAGGTGTTTTATAGAACGCCCCTGCTGTAACGGTCTCGATGTATCATCACGCTTTCACCTGCTTTCCTTCGTTGATCTTGCTCTCAGTTAAGAAAAACGTTAACCCGATACTGGACAGATACCCCAACTGGCCGCCTGGAACGAATCCATTGTGTTATTGCTTCACAGATTTTAGAGCGTAATGCAAACCAATCAAACTCACATGACTTTGAGCTGACCCGGACCCTCGACATGGAGCTTCAAAGAGCGGCTAGAAGCCTGCCCGGGAAGTGGTGGATAGTACCGAATTTAATTGTTGTACCGACTGACTCCCAGGCTCTATTTTGGAACACTCGGCGGCTCTTCGCACAGATTATCCACTATAATCTTCTCAATCAGCTTCATCTCCCATACATGCTTCGGTCGTCATCGGCAGAACAAAAACATAAATACTCCCTCGTCGCTTGCGTCAACGCATCAAGAGAGATGATCTTGCGCTTCATTACACTACGAAGCTTCAACGGGGTTGCCTATAGTTGCCGTACGGTTGATTTTCTTGCCCTCATGGCTGCCATGACCTTGCTTTTAGCACACCTAGACAGCCCCGTCTCAGAGACAGAGAATTTACTAGCCCACCAATACCACACTGATCGTGCGATGATTGAACAGGTGCAGGAGAACATGGAAGAGGTCAACCGTGTTAATTCAGATGCACTCAGTGCAAAGAGCGCCGAGTTACTGCGCCAATTGTTAGCTATTGACGTCGATGCAACGAATGGTTCTTCTCTTGGTGCAAAGGGAGTAACCGTTCTGGAAACAGGGAGTGAAACAGCCATTCCTGACCATGAAGATGGCGCCGTAAGCGTGCATGTGCCTTATTTTGGCATAGTCAAAATTGCCCTCAAAAGTAGTAGCAAGGCGATCTCCAGACCAGAAATGACCTCAACAACGCACCACCCAGTTCATCGAGCAAATTTGTCTGGCGCGGGAGACGTTCACGGCGACATGCAGATAGGAACGCACTCCATTACTGAAACCGCAGACTCTTCTGATATGGCTGCTCTATCACAGGCCATGTCAAGCGACATAGCGATTGAGACATCTTCGATAATGTCGGGGGTCCATGGAGGCTTTGAGCTTCAGTTGCAGAACGACTTTTGCAACCCCATGCTTGATGATAGAGCGTATCCAGGACTGGCAGCGGGAGCAGGTAAGTGTTTGCTCCGACAGAAAAATATAAAACAGCAGGTGCTGACGAGCCCTACAGATGAGTGGGCGTTCCAAGGCGTCGACTTGGCTTTCTTCGACAGTTTGATGGGGAACACCGGCGACGAGGGTAACGTTGTCAGATGAGTCATTTCATACACATACGAACGTGGGAGGGTTTCTAAATAGGTGTCAAAACACTTACGACCCCTTTAATCGGTGCATCGATTCATCTTCCCTCTTCAATGCCGTGCATAGATACGTGTAGACTCTGCAGGGTCATTGGGGGTAAAACTTATATGAAGAGGTAAGATTGGTTCATATGGGCCAATTCCCAACGATAGGAGAATGGAAACTAGATTAGGCTCTAGACAGGCTGGAGACATATAAAGATACATGTTGTCATAGTGGTTGCCGATGGAAATTTATTTGAGCATCGAGTCGATGAAATAAAAACCAAGAACACCGAACTTGGAAATCAATTGAGTCACGTGACCGCACTAAAGTAGACGCGCTTTTCCAAATTATTCTAATGCCTGAGGCATCAAATTTCTCGTTGGCGTCGCGTCACTGCCAACAACACGACCATAATCCTCCCACGACATCGACATGACGAAGCAATATCATTTCCCATCACTGAGATGTTCCCCAACCTGCATCTGCTTTTCAAATTGTACTCCAGGCTAAAGATACAGCTATTGTACTCAGATCCAACACCCTTTCAGGCTTGACACTCAGGATACTTCACGACCACAGCGAAGTTTCTACAAGTTTCCCAATCCTCGAGACTACGTATACCAACGCAATGGATTTATAATATGTACATTGATCCGACGGCGACTTCTACAACAGCCACGCTCTCGCCCTATTACGTGTCTTCCCGGCCACGCTTTCTATGAATTATATTTTTTATTCTTTTCACGTTATAGCCATTACATTCCTCTTACTCGACCATTACTTAGCATGACGTCAAGGTTCTTTTCATGCTCAGTGCCAGGATGCACACGGCCAAACGTCAGATCCGCTGGTGGATGCGACAAGTGTAACAACTATCTTTGTTTTATTCACATATCCCCGGCTCACCACAAATGCAGCAAAGTGAGTGGGAGAGTCTTTTGTTCGGCCCTCTCTTGTTTTCGCTCGTCCTGGTATCCTTCCATACCCCAAATACTAAGTATTTTTGGCCGAAAAGATTATAGACGATACAGCCTATGCACTACAGACTGCAGCTGAAATTGAACGTCTCCGCTTCCGGATCAACGACGAGGCAGTCTGCAAGCATGCTTCAAGTCTGAATGGTGGCCGGAATTGCCACATCGAATATATCTTCGCAGTTGGCCCCGGCGATCTTATGGGAAGCGCTAACTATCACGCCCGTATTTGTTTCCACGACGGGTCTCCTTCATGGTTACTTAGGGTTCCACGTGTTGCTAGCTTTGCTGTTGGCCTTCCGTCTTTGCTGGTTGAATATCTTGTACTCAGCGAATATGCAACCTTGAAATTTCTCGAAACCACTGCGGTACCGGCTCCTCGAGCATTCAGTTATGGTATATGTGGCACTGAAACGGACCATGGTATCGGCGTCAGCTTTATCATCATGGAAGAACTACAGGGAAAACCATGGGCGGGCCAAGGTATCTTCAGCAGCAGAGCCACTGAGAACGATAAGGCAACGGTCTGGAGGGGTCTTGCGAACATTCTGGTAAAGTTAGAAAAATACCCCTTCCCCAAGGCTGGTTCACTGTGCTTGCAATCATCTGAGATTGAAGTATCGGCCATGGCGAGCGACAGGTTCCTTGTCCTTACCCCCAGAGGACCATTTGCCACATCTATCGCCTATTATACAGCATTTGCTGAGCAGTACTTGGAGCTCATTGCGGATGGCCAGCTCTATACCGATTATCCTGTCGATGCTTATCTGGCGTACCGTTTTCTGAAGGATAATGCAGTCCAATTGGCCTCGCTAGAGGGACACCAGTCGCGAGAGAGCTTCTACTTGAAACATGTCGACGACAGAGGGGATCACATACTCGTTGATGATCAACTGAATATTACCGGCATTATTGACTGGCAAATGGCATGTACTGTACCACGACACGAAGCCTTTGGGCCATCCCTTGTGACAGCAGATATGAACGCTTTCTGTGACGGGGAAGTTCAATTGAGCCACAATGATCTTGTCCTGGCTGATATGCTGCGTGCAAGAGGGTTCTCTGATCTGGACAGCAATACGGCTGATGAGAAAGTCCGAAGGTTCTTCTGGGGCCTGGCCTTAGAGCCAGAATGGGCTTGCGCCCTGCCGTTGGCCAATGCGATATTGAAGACGTTCGGGGTGGTGCAAGAGTGGCTACATTGGAAAGAGAGTGCGCTGGAAGAATACGGGTCTGATGAGCGCCTAACGGGTCTGATTGGTCGTTCTTCACAAATGAAATGAAAACGCGTCTAGCACACCAATGGGCGCTCTGGGACAAGGAAGCATAAGAATATTTACCTTCGCCCGTGATGGAAAGTCACTGATGTTCACCTGAAAATCACATCGAGGTTGGCAACAGAACCTGAATTTCAATAGTTGGAATTCTGGAAGCTACCTCGTTCTAGTGGAGACGAATATACAATGGGATGCATTCGTTGACGCCCCTGACGATATAGTTATTGAATCAGCCTTGTCTCTGCTCGAGTCGTATATTTCGTCATCTCAGTCTAAAACAGCTCCGTATCTAATTGCGGTCAAAGTGAGCGAACGCTTCCTCTAGCTGCTCATGAAGTAAATGCACATGTTCAGGCATCGGCAGGTCAAGATGATCTGCATTTACAGACAACGTGAGAACATCTCCAACAAACTTGTCCCAGCCGTTGGGTCCCAAATCGTTAGGGGTTTTATCCGGTACAAGACATGCCATGGGGGAAAGTCTTGGGTCTTCCATATAGCCTGGATACGCCTCGGTTGGAATCCCTTCATCTGCTAGCATTTTCATCAACTTAGGGTTAGAAGCAATGCGGCCTACAAGACCCTTTTTGGCCCAAATGACCGATGTTCGACCGGGCCGCTCGCTAGTTGTCATGGGTCGCGGGTTGTATAACCTCATTGCTACGAAGTATGCACGCAAATGATCTTCTTGGGCAGACGAAGAACTCCACAATCCATCTTGGGCTACAGCTGCCCCAAAGACGGCCACACCCGTCTTCGCTTCTTCTTTGACTGCATTTTCATCCAGCAACGTGGGCCGCGGAGAGCACAAATCGATTATCACAAGCCCATCTACCCTGCGACCCGCACCAGCCAACTGTTTCGAAACCTCATATGCAACCATACAGCCAGCGCTGAAACCGCCGACGAAGAAAGATCCCTTAGGTTGAGCCTTTATCATTGCGTCGACAATGAGCTTGGCTACTCCTTCAATTCCTACTTGCCTGGTCAATCTTGACGGGCAACGTATGAAGGGCGAATCAATTCCATAGACTGGCATCTTGGACTTGAAAACTGGGAGATGGATATACGTGGCTATAGATCCAGTTCCATCAGCCATCAAGTATAGAGGAGTCCTTTCAGTCTTTGTACGGCCCTGAAGCAAGGTGATTCGGACAGTTGGGGCGGGTGATGTGTCTTGTTCCTTATTCGCTGGTGTTACGATTTCTTCTTCGACGCGAACCACACTAGACCCTAAGGAAGAGATTGATTCAGGCGCGGGCGTTGGGCTTCTAGGTCTTGATCCGCCTTCGCTTGAAGATGTCGAATTTGACTTGGCACCTGGGGAGTCTTTGATTGTTGGCTTTGGTTTCCCTCCAAAAGCACGGCGAAGATCACCAATGGTGGGGTATTCGAAGACAAACGAGGCAGGCAAATCGAGATCCGACTCGGTTTTCACGGAGGCGACAATCTCGATAGCCATAATAGAGTCAACACCAAGCTCGGCTATCTCAGTATCGTCGGTGAACTCTGCTCGATCACTTCCTGTGGATTTAGAAATGCTATCCAGGATCAGATCAAATTCTCCAGAGGCTGGCGCCTCCTCTTCCTGGGATCTAGCATCTTCTTGCTTTGTTTGTCCGTTATCAGCGGAAGTAGAGAATCTCATGGACTCCCCGGTGATTTCTTTAGATACGCTTTGTGAGGCGGCTCGAACAGGGGCGCCAGACTTGGTTTTTGCATGTGCACCTGAGAGAATATGTCGCCAGGTCGTTCTGGGGAGCCTTTGATACCGCAGGCCGATCACTTGCATGACCATCTTTGAAGATTGACGATCGAAAACGAAAGCATCGCAAAAGGCTGTGTCGGTTTCCCATTTCACGATTCGGGTGTACGTCATGTATTCCTTTCCAGGCTCAAAAGCGACTGTCTGCTTCACACTTTCGAAGCCCATGACAATAAACGTCACGTCTGGTGACTTATTAGGGTTGCCGTTCACCATGAAGCCTGCCAAATGAGCGAGAGCTTCACTCCAATAAGGCGAAAAGGTAAAACGACTATTAGCAGGGTCGTTCTTCAGTACAACCAACGCTGCTGCCTCCTCAAAATCATTGGATATGTAACCTTCCTGAAGACCTTTGAAACTAGGGGCGAACTCTACCGCATTTGCGAACAGCGCATAGAAAACATCTGGTTGCATTCTGTGCCCGGAATTTTCTTTGGATCCTTTGATCCTTTGATCCATCTTTGCTCTGATGAAATAAGACATTCGATCCCATTCAATCTGAGTCTCATCGGGGTTGTGAATGTTGATTCTGATAGTGCCTAAATTGTGCGACGATTCTGTTGAAGTAGCCTAGAAAGGGAGAGTATTGGAGTTAGCAGGGTCATCATAACCCAGGGATCTGTCTAAGAATGCTAGAAACTGATGGTGGTGGTTCTTACCTTGAATGAGACAAGCACAGTACTTGAAGAAGCGCTATCGAGGACCGCTGTCGTCACAAGCTCTCCATCACTACCCAGGAGGCTCTTTGTCAATGGTGCCAGGAGCACAGGGTCGTGTATCGTCAAACTGCGGTCAGTGACTCCTTTTCTGCCACTATACTCAAGAGCATACTTTGCTGTTGTCAATGCTGCATCGCAGAATACGCTCCCAGAAGCAAGTCCGATCTGCTGCATTTTGTGGCCTTCTATTAGCGCTAGGAATCCTGGGTCAGAAACGGACGCTCGGAAAGTGACTTGGATCTTTGGTGAAGATGACTTGTTGACTAGATACTGTGCACAAGTGGCAAGATATGGCTCAGATATAGGCTTTGCTGTTTCTTGTGCGACTCCTTCTCTGCTCTTTTCGGTCCAGGTCACCCAGTAATCCTTCATTGTCCAAGCATAGGCAGGCAGAGTCAGCAACTCCAGGTTATCCTCGTAGGGTCTATGTAATGCCAGCCAGTCAACGTCGATACTGTTGACGTATGCTGTTGACAGGCTCCTGGAAATGGATGTCCAATTACTGACATTTGCCTCGATGGTTTGCATGATCTTGTTGGGAGCAGGTGCAAGAGTAGCACGCACAAAAGATGTGCAAACCGGTGCTGGGCCTACTTCAAGCCAAATTGGATCTTTAATTCTGGAGTTGACCGCGTTGAGTGCGCCTACGAAATCAACCGCCTGGCGTGTCTGCTGAGCGAGGTATTCTTGGTCGAAGATCCCCGGTGTTTCTACGACAGATGCGAGCAGGGTAGATGCAACAGGAATCTTAGGCGCTCCAAATTCGACGCCTCCTGCAAGGGAGATGTAATCCTGCAGTATTGGATCAACCTGGAATGAATGGAATGCAAATGGGACTGAGAGCTTTGTCGCTCGGACTTTGCTATCCTGAGCTGTTACGCTAGCTTGCAGCTGTTCCAGGTCCTCTGTCGTTCCGCTGATAACAGTTGCATTGGGTCCGTTGATGCATGCTACTTCACAGGAGGATGATTTGATGAGTCTATCATTTATCTTCGCTACGGAAGTCGAAAGTGCAAGCATGGCACACGATCCAGGCTCGCAGCGTTCCAGGAGCAGCAGAGCGCGGCTGCCAACAAGATACAAAGTATCTGCCAGTGACAGTACTCCGGCAGCATGTAAAGCGGCGTATTCTCCGAGACTATGGCCCATCACGGCGGCAGGCTGTATCCCAGCAGATCGCCAAAAGGCTGTGAGAGCTATTTCCAACGTGATGACTGCCAATTGGATTTGCACAGTATTCTTTTCTCCAACGTCGGTGTCCTTGGTGGTTATTATCTCGATGAAGGATGGGAACTCGTTGTTTTCGCAGATCGCGGCGCACAAATCTACCGTCTCGCGAAAGACAGGATTTGTTCTGTACAGCTCGGAGCCCATGCCTGCATAGTGCGATCCTTGCCCTGTGAATACGAAAATAACTGGCGAAGATGGCGACGGTGCTGTTGATAATGAAGCTGGATCCAGCGCCTCTATTCTGCTTATCAAGTCCTGAGTGGACGTTGCGGTATAGGCAACTCTAAAGGGGTGATGCATTCTTCGTGCCGTAGTCGAGTAGGCTACGTCTTCGATCCTGGCTGTTGGATTTGCTCGCAGCCATTTCAAAAGGTTGGCGCTGTTTGCCTTGTGCGAATCCTTTGTTCGAGCAGAAGTTGTGATCACGTGACTTGATCGAGGATCTTTCGCTCTCTGTTTCGAGAACACAAAATCTTCAAGAACTAGCGAAGCATTTCCCTTATAAAAGAGTATTAGTTAGGTTAACTTACCAGGGTTCATAATACTTACCCCTGCTGCGTCGAAATTATTCAGGAGGATCCGTCTGGGTTTTTCAGCCTGTCTAACGAATGGGTGAGGTTCCGAAAGGATCTGAATGTTGAGATCTGCAAGTGGAGGAAATTTTGGGTTGAGCGCGTGAGGCATTCCTCCTTGTGGTGGGATAATGTCTTTCTTGAACATCATGATACATTTCAACAATTCTGCCATGCCAGCGGCTGCTTCTCCGTGGCCAATGTTTGCCTTGACTCCTCCGACGGTTAATGGTCCATTGTTACGGCGCCTGTGCTTGAACGTGTTGGCAACAGCGCCCATTTCGGCCGGGTCACCTGTTTGAGTACTAAATATTCGTGCAATTAGCGTTTGTGTTTTTGAGAAACGAAAGGACGGAAGCAGAGAGACCCCGTGTGTTTGAACATACCCTGTACCGTGCATTTCAACATACGAAACGTCATCCGGAGAGATTTGTGCATTGCGAAGCACTTTTCGAAAGAGGCGTTCCTGAGCACCGGCATCACTTGTCGTGATTGAAGTGGCGTTTCCAGAATGGTTTCTGCCAGACGCAGCAACTACCGCTAGGATATTATCATTGTGAGCGACGGCATCCTCGAGACGTTTCAAAACTACAGCACCGACGAAATCGCCCCGACAGTAGCCATCGGCATCATCGCGAAATGTCTTGCAATTTCCCGTGTCGGACAACACGCCAGAGTCGCTGAGGCAAGTGAACGAGTGCGGCCAACTCAAGATATTGGCGGCTCCAGCAACAGCCATGTCAATGTCTTTAGATAGCAGACTCATACTCGCCAAATGGATGCCCGCAGTACTGCCTGCACATGCGGAATCAAGGGAATAAGTTGGGCCCTCCCACTTGAATTGCCAAGCAAGTCTTCCAGAGCCAAATGCACGTTGGATTCCCTGCAAGGTGTATGCGTCACATCCTAGAGTAGGATGGCTGTGTTCAAGCCAGTCATCGGTACATCTGTAGTAAAAGTTTCACAGTCAGTGTTGTAACCCGAGGAAACCCATAAGTGATCAAAGAGAAGGATGAAAGAAAGATAACATCTACGAAGACTGCAAAAGAGTCCCAGTTGTCTTGTATGGTTCGAGGATGATACTCATCAAAAGTGGCCAAAGAGCAGCCAAGGAAGACAGGAGGGCTGGAAAAATAGATTACTTACTGGCCAAAGAAAGCCGCGATACGCGTTGGATCTGTTGATCTCGTCTGGCCGTCTGAGTACCCGGCCGACTCAAGGGCTTCATAGGTGCTCATCAAAAACTGTCTATGAGCGGGGTCCATCAGTATTGCTTCCCTCGGCGAAATGTGGAAGAATCGAGAATCGAAGTGGCCCGGATTATTCATGAAGCAGCCGTATTTGGTGGTCATTTTACATTTTTGGTCGCCACGATCATGTGCTTCGCAGTAGAACTCATCTATGTCAAATCGATCTTTGGGAACCTCCGTACAAAGATCTTGTTTGGACATGATGACATCCCAGAACTCATCGACGTTGTCGCTTCCCGGGCCGCGACCAGCCATTCCTACTATGGCAATACGACCAGCCATAAGCGACGCAGCGCCATCATCTGTTTGCAAGAGAGCATGTTGGCCTTGGATAGATACTTGTCTGTCCTGCGTTTTCAAAACGCTGGCTAAGTAAGGCGCATGGCTGCTGGATCCTACTTGAATGACCCGCACAGAGCTGATCCCATCTAGTTTTGAGTTGATCTTGTCTATAACTTCGGTAAGGTTAAGTGGACGAGCCAAGACTTGCCAGCAGATAGTTCTCAGTAAGTCTCCCCAGTTATCATATGTTGCTGAATGGTCGTCCACACCCCAGATACTCTGATTCGAGATCAGTCTTTTGTTTAGAAACTCTGTGTTTTTTCCTATCATATATTCGATTTCCGCACTTGATATGTTAAGTGTGTGCTGCAGGGCTTTGATTTCCAGGGGATTTTTGGCAACACTTCTTATAGCAGAGCATTGCTCGACAATAAGGCTCAGAACCGATGGAGGACCGATGATAGTGCTCCATCCGGCTCCTGTCACACCTACTTTCGCTCTTTTGGTGGGTGGGATACCCGCGTTTTCTTGAAATTGCTCCATGGCTTTGCGAAGATCATCTGCTGAGATACCCAGCACTGCCCAACCCCAAACACCGGGTTTATCTTCCACGGCTCTGGATCTCACGGACGCGAGTTTGCTCACCCTAAAAACCAAGCGGCCCACCTCCAGACATGCTTCGTACAAAGCATCGAAGTCCCCAGCAATGGCCAGAGCCGATAGAGTCAGCAGTCCTCCGGAAATCCCTAACCACTCAGTATGGGATGTTGGGTCAATGAGGTGCGGCTCTCGTTTCACCCATTGCAGTAAGTTACCGGCCCTGACGGTATGGAGGAGAAGCGAACGCACCACACCAAGGTCGTCGGTACTGTTGCGATATCTCTCACCCAGTTCTTGGAGACTTGAGAAATGACCCAAGCTGGTTTGCAAGGCACGGTCTAACGTGGTAATCTTAAGTTCCGCTTTTATGGCATCGTATAACTTGTCCAAAAACAACTTTAGCCATGGAGTTGAGGCCGCTTGTTTGTAAAGCTGGTCGATGCCGTCGACCCATGAATCCGTCTGATCTCCAAAGAGAAGAGTCGTCGCTGCCGGCACGTCGATTGATGTTGTGCTAGACTTCATTATCTCTTATGGTGTGATATTTGTGAGTTGAGAACAAGTATGATCGTCTTCTGACGTTGTCGAGAGTGTGGTGTGATATCAATTTTGTCTTTTTATTCAACAAACTGACATAATAGAATTCAAAATGGAGATATTGAGTTTGGATATGCTCGGTTTAAAAGGCTAGTCGACGAGAGGTCTTGCTCAGAAAAGAGCTATAGCCCGGCTGTTTATACACCAGTTTCTTATATCTCATTGATCAAGGGTTCTTATTCAAAGCCTAACAGTTCTAACGTCAATCTTGGCAAATATCAACCAAGTCCACGCCCAAAGGATTTTCACACAGAATATCTTATCGCCTATACGGCTTTCGCTTACCTATCATCATCAATCATCTGAAAATAACGCAGGCCGTCAGCAAGTAATGATGGGAAAATATCTCCCCGATAGGATGCTTCGTGTCCGTTCTGGAGATCAGGCGGATATGTTTCCTGGATTGATTTCAAATTGTATACCTACAAGGGCTTGCCAGTGATGAGTTGTTCGTCATATCGCGAGAACGGTAGATCAAACGAACTCAACCCTTGCCCTCTCTGCCACAACGTTTCCTACCGTAGTGGTCGAGATAAGGTTTAGCCGCCAAGAAGCCCCACAGTTCGCATTCAATGATATGGCTATTTTCCGATTGGCCGTTTTTAGGGGGTGATATGGGCGTTTCGGTCTTCGGTCTTTTCTCGAAGTCAAGAAGTAATGGTAGGGAATACATGATTGACGAAAGGGAATACGCAGCTGTAAGGATCAAAGTCGCATTCTGCTTACGACTTACGACGGCGGAGGAAAGAAAAGCAACGGCGGAGCAAAAAGAATTAACGGCGGAGGAAAATGAAATGTGAAGATTGCTCTCGAGAGTTTATGCCAGTGAGAACGATTCTAATTCAGTTTATAATCCTTACCCGGGGACGCCACAAATGCTTCGTGGGCTCTTCGTTCGGCCAGCCAATTCGGAGCTACCAACATATCTATAACCTGTCAGCCTTATGCTATCACTCGCCCAGGATTGGCTTTGAAGCCTGCAGGTGGCTATCACTTCTCTATCAAGCAATCCATGTAGTGTCAAAACCCAAGATAGCCAAACGCCAAGGTTCTCACCATATACCAGCCGTCAACGAAATGGCGCCATATCCGTGAAAACCAACAAACCATGGACGCGGCAGCGCCCATATCGCTTATTTTCGGGACGGGCCACCTCACGCATGGAAGATCTGTATTTTACCTGCCAGATCTAGGCCGTTGGCTGATGTATGCATCAGCATTGCGTGGGGGAATTCATAACACGGCCGGTAAGACAACCCACAGTTACTTTTCAATTCGGTGGAATACACACTGATTACGCCCGTGAACATAGTCTAATATTCTGACAGACATGGGTACATTCAGCTTCATGTGGAAGTTATTCGGAGATAGACCATACTGGGCAGGGTCTTGAGATATAAAAGCCTCCATGCATTACACATTAACCGAGTTTTGTCATCATGGTCAATTCGCCAATTCGCCGGATCGCGTCATACACCATGCCCTTACGCCATGCAATGTAAGGGCGGAACATTTTTCAAAGGATTGTCACCCTGTATGCAGGTTGTGTCGGTTGTCGGCTTTGGCTGTCTAGTAGCTAGCATAATTTGCTGTTAGGTATGTTTACGCGTAAATCTTTTGACGACTAATAAGGGAATTGTTTTATCGTAACTTGTGCAATAGCAAGAGGAAGAGGAGTATATTGATATAATATTTACGTGTCATCCGCTGATGGGTCACAACTGAATTGTAACTCAGAATGCAATTTTAAACACGAGGTAGGCCGTCTCGTCTTTCTCGATTCAGCCATTTATCTCGTCCCACTGACAGAAAACAGCTCTCTATCTGACAGCCTACACTCCTTCACTCTGCCTCAATTGTTCTTTGGACTTCAACTTCATACTCAGTCTCAAACTATCTTACGGCTTTCTTGTGGAATAACCTGGGATGAGAAGCTTGTGTTAATCAAATTGACAATTGTTTAAAATGTCAAGTAAAGAAAGAAATACGTCTGGCGACGCTGTTGCCATTATTGGTTTATCATGTCGCTTTCCTGGGAAAGCAACAAATCCTTCCAAGTTCTGGGACTTGTTGAAAGAGGGAAGGCATGGCTTTTCAACTTCGACGGACAGATACAATGCAGAGGCGTTTCAGCATCCAGTGGGTAATGGCAAACGACAGAATGTTATTCCGACTAAGGGTGGATACTTCTTGGAACAAGATCCTTATGTGTTTGACGCTGCCTTTTTCAACATTACGGCTGCAGAGGCAATGGCTCTTGATCCAAGACAGCGTATTGCGATGGAAGTCGCCTATGAAGCTTTCGAAAACGCCGGCATGCCTCTTCAAAAGGTTGCAGGAAGCCAAACTGCCTGCTACATGGGAGCTTCGATGAGCGATTATCGGGACGGTGTAGCTCGAGACTTCGCGAACTTTCCCAAATATCATATTCTCGGAGTTAGTGACGAAATGATTTCCAATCGCATTTCCCACTTTTTAGATATCCATGGTCCAAGCGCAACTATACAGACAGCATGTTCTTCCAGTCTTGTGGCAACCCATCTTGCTTGTCAAAGCTTACGTTCTGGAGAATCTGAAATGGCATTAGCCGGTGGCGTTGGCCTCATTCTGAGTACAGACGGCACAATGCATTTGAGCAATTTAGGATTTCTCAATCCAACTGGGCATTCTAGATCGTTCGACAAAGATGCAGGAGGATACGGTCGAGGTGAGGGGTGTGGAGTTCTTGTCTTGAAAATGCTAGATAATGCTGTTCGAGATGGTGATAACATTCGTGCTGTCATTCGTGGTTCTGGTGTCAATTCTGATGGTTGGACACAAGGAGTTACAATGCCTTCGCTGGAGGCGCAGGCAAACCTTATAGATTATGTCTATAAATCAAACGGTCTGGACTACACCTCAATTCAATACGTAGACTGTCACGGAACCGGCACCAAAGTGGGCGACCCAATTGAAGCAGAAGCTATTCATCGGACAATTGGCCAAAAGATGTCATCATCTCGCAAAAAGCTCTATGTTGGAAGTGTCAAGCCAAACATTGGCCACCTCGAAGCGGCTGCCGGCGTGGCAAGTATTATCAAAGGAGTGCTGGCTTTAGAACGAGGACTTATTCCGCCTAATCTGAATTTCACCACTCCAAATCCTTCCATCCCACTAGATGAGTGGAATATGGTGGTACCGACAAAGTTGACTGCCTGGCCTGCAGCGGCAGTGAAACGCATGAGCGTCAGTGGCTTTGGGATGGGAGGGACGAACGCACATATTGTTATGGAAGGATTCAAGCAATCTGCTGTAAGTAGTATTTCTTCTGAGAGATTGAACGCTGTCATCAATTACTCTTCAATATTCTCATGCCATATCACGTGACGGACAATATAAGTCCAATCAGCAAACCGATTTCAGTTGGTCAACTTGACATACCACCTTATATTTGGTCAGTTAATTCAAATAAACGATGATTAGCTAAGTTCGACGACCGACTTACGTTGAGACCTAATAAGTTTAATTGCAACTATCTGATCTGGATATTGGGTATCAGATTACCGACACTCATCTTGTCCACCGCGACACTATTTTTGTGTATCTCCGTTCTTTGCGTTTTTTTCATGGATCTTCTTGAAAAACATTGCTAATTTGTAAATCTTGAATATTCAGGCAATTCGAAATCCCAATGGCATAACAATTTCTACCAAGAAAATATCAAAGAGGCTGTTTGTCTTCAGCAGTCACGATAAAGCTGGTTTCAGACGTATCAGCCAAGCAATCCTCGCATTCTTGGACACTCTCGGCCCTGCCACATCAAGTTCAGGATATCTTGCGAACTTGGCGCACACTTTGGCCGTTGCTCGTTCAGGTCTCTCCTGGAAAACATCAATCGTTGCAGAGAACACTGCAGATCTGCGCGAGCAGCTTTCAACAATGGTCGGAGATGATGCGACACGTTCACCTACCAAGGCCCCACGCATTGGATTCGTATTCACGGGCCAAGGTGCCCAGTGGGCTCGGATGGGCGTCGAATTGCTTGAGCGACATGTTTTTGCAGAGTCTGTAGCAAAGTCAACTCAATTTCTAAGAGAAATGGGAGCAAATTGGGATCCTATTGCAGAGCTCATCAAAGAACAAAAAGAGTCCAGGCTTGGCCTACCTCAGATCAGTCAACCTATCTGCACAGTGCTTCAGATCGCTCTTGTCGAAGAACTGAGATCTTGTGGAATTAAACCTTCCAAAGTGGTTGGACACAGTTCTGGTGAGATTGCAGCAGCTTACACTATTGGCGCCTTGTCCCATCGTGATGCGATTGCAATTGCTTACTTCAGGGGCACCGCGTCCGCTGGACTGAGCGCCAAGCAGCTTGATGGTGGAATGATGGCTGTTGGCTGTTCCAGAGCAGAAGCACAGAAGCTCATGAAAAACTCCAAAATCCAAGCAACGGTCGCTTGTGTTAATTCTCCGTCGAATGTCACGTTATCGGGTGATGTCGTTGCATTGGAAGCGCTTCGCATCATCTTCGATGGGCTCGGCATATTCGCTCGGCGCCTCAAGGTAGATGTTGCATATCACTCATCTCACATGCATCTCTGCTCAGCAGAATACTACGCTTCGATTACAGACATAGAACACTATCAAGAAGATTCAGCCCAGGAAAACCAGATCGTGATGGTATCAAGTGTCACAGGTACCGAGATAGATCATGAGCTTTTACTACCTTATTATTGGATTCGTAACTTGGTGTCTCCAGTTCTGTTCACAGATGCGGTCAAAGAATTGGTGTCGCCTGGCGATGGTGATGGCGAAAAAGAACTTGATCTACTCCTCGAGGTTGGTCCACACAGCGCCCTTGGTGGGCCAATAGAGCAAATACTATCGAGCCATGGAATCGAAAACGTGCATTACAAGTCGGTACTCGTGCGAGGCAAGAATGCTCTGAACACTGTACTTACTCTCGCAGATGAGCTTTTCCGTCAAGGCGTGGCTGTAAATATATCCAAGGCAAATGGTGACACAAATTGTCGCCTTTTGGCGGATCTTCCCCCTTATTCTTGGAATCATACCGAAAGCTTCCGTGCAGATTCTCGTCTGCAACGCGAGGTTGTTACTCAGCAGTTTCCAACACAAAGCCTTCTGGGTGCCATGATGCCGACTTTGGAAGAGAACGAGCGGATCTGGCGTAGTTTCATTCGTCTTAATGACGAACCATGGTTACGAAGTCACGTTGTAGGCACGACGGTGTTATTTCCAGGCGCAGGTATGATCAGTATCGTGCTTGAGGCGGCGCAACAAATCAAAGAAATCAGTAAGTAAATTATGATCTCCAAAGCAGTCTTTCGGCCAGTAGGATCTTCAAAATTACTGACCTTGCGTTTCTTTCCAGATAAATCTGCTCTTGCCTACAAATTGCGCGACATCTCTTTCTTGGCTGGTTTGGTTCTTACCGAGGATGTTGCAACTGAGATTACCGTCCACTTACGGCCTCACTTGATGGCCACTTCTGGCTCTACCCAACCAGTCTGGTGGGAATTCACCGTCTCCTCGTGTTCTGGACCGACAGGAAAACTCCGAAACAATTGCCGTGGTCTGTTGAGTATTATCTACGAGGAAACTAGCAGTCCGCAAATGTTAGAAGAAGAATCCAAAGTTGAAGCAAATCGCATTGCGAAATATCAGAGTACATTGATCGAGCTGCCACAAACTTGTACCAAGAAATTCTTCTACGAACGCTTCGCCAAGTCGGCTCTGCCATATGGTGAAGTCTTTCAAGGCGTAGAAAATTGTCGTCCGGGACCCGGAAAGACCTGTTACGACGTGAAGCTTATTGATATAGGCGAGACATTCTCCAAAGGCAAACTAGCCCGCCCTTTTCTTATAAGTCCGGCAACCTTAGATGCAGTTCTTCAAGGCTGGCTTGGAAGTACTTGCTATGATTCTGCAGACAAGGAAAACAACGGTAATTTTGGTTTCGGCAAGCCAATGGTTCCTACTTCCATCCGCGGGCTAGAGATATCCGTCAATATATCCGCAGATGCGGGTCATACAATGCCTAGTGTATGTACCTCACATCCACACGGCTTTAATGAGTATTCAGCAAACATCGACATTTTTGATGAGAACTTATCACAAGTTCTTTTATCAGTTAATGACTTTCGGTTATCCCCTTTGGAGATAGACGATGGTGATGAAGCATCAAAAGAAGAGGGTCTCTCGAATGTTGATGCTGCCGCTATCTCATCTCAAGTCCGTTGGGACTACGCACTAGATGGTTTAGATGCCGATGGAATGAAACAAATTGTGCTAGAAGACGAGACCGTCAATATTGAGGAAAAAGCCACTAGGTTCTTGCAGATAGTCCTACACCAGCGTCCGGCACTCAATATTGTTGAAGTAGTAAGAAAGCTCGGCGACGCGTCTAACACGATCATATCACGCTTACCCAGCGGTTCAATTCTTACAAGTCAAGCACGTTACGCAGTTGTTGATGATTTTGGGGACGATTTTAGCAACAACGACGACAACGGTCTCAGGTCTTTCAAACTTGATGCGTCCGTCAGTGTTTCCGAAACAGATTCTTCGGTAAACCTATTTATATTTTCCTGCAATGCCGAGAACGGGCTTCTTGGGGATATCGACAGCATAGTAAAACGTCTAGTGACTTTAGCAACCCCTGACGCGGCTTTCATCATTGCGACCTCTGCTTCTATCCCCAATACCGACATCAAAGAGCCTCCATCACTTCCCGCACTCAACTCTAAAGGTTTCAATCTTGTTGCCAGCATTTCTGACGACGTCGGGCAGCTCTTTTATTACCGGAGCAACAATAATATTCAAGATCTACCCAAAAAGCTTACCAACGGCACGCATCCACAGGAAGTACATATTCTAGAGCCAATATTCGTATCACATCAATCCGAAATAGTTTCAAAAGAGCTGCGAGATAATTTGGTGGATCAGGGTTTTGTTGTCACCACCAGCAAGGGCCTAGGAACGATCAAAACAAACGTGAACGATGTCAACAAACAAATATATATTGCCCTACTCGAATTGGAAAGCCCAGTTCTGGAAGATCTTTCTGAGTCAGAGTTCCAGAACATCAAAAAGCTATTCCTTAGTAGCGAGAGACTCCTCTGGATTACCCGTGGCGATAACCCATCATTTGGAATCGTCGACGGCGTTGCAAGATGTGTCAACAACGAGATTGCGAGCACCAGGTTTCAAGTCTTGCATCTCAGTAAAGAAGGAATAAACCATGGTCCTAGGCTTGCAATACGTGTGCTCAAACATTTAGAAGCGACGGCAGATAACGAGTTTCGAGAGAGAAATGGCTGTCTTCAAGTTCAGCGTATTTACAAGGGCCACAACGAGGACGAGCATATACGCAACCATCTGGAAGATTCTACTCGTGTCTCGAGCATTAACGATGCGAATGCTTTGTTCAGTCTCACTATCGGAAAACCTGGCCTTTTGGATACGCTGCACTTTATCCGAGAGGAAAATTACCTCGACTTGCCACTTGCCAAAACCGAGATTGAGGTGGAAGTAAAGGCTACCGGTCTTAACTTTAGGGATATTATGGCTTCTATGGGTCTTGTTCCCGTCACAGGCCTTGGTCAAGAAGCTTGTGGTATTGTCCTTAGAGCCGGTACATTGGCAGCCGAGTCTTTTAAGATTGGTGATCGTGTCAGCACCCTATCAATTGGGGGAGTCCACGCAACCAAGGCCATATGCGACTTTCGCGTTACTGCGAAGATACCCGAAAAATTGTCTTTTGAAGAAGGAGCAGCATCGTCGATGGCACATATTACCGCTTACTACGCTCTCGTCAAGCTTGCTAGATTGCGTCGCGGCCAGTCTGTCCTGATTCATGCCGCGGCAGGAGGAGTAGGACAAGCAGCTGTACAACTAGCAAAGCATCTGGGGCTGGTGGTTTACGTTACTGTGGGCTCAGAGGACAAGCGCCGGTTTATGACCGAGCATTTTGGTATCGTCCCGGAACACATTTTCAATTCGCGAGACAGCAGTTTTGCAAAAGGTATCCACCGTGTGACAGCAGGACGCGGCGTGGATTGCGTTCTCAATTCTCTTTCAGGCGAGCTCCTTCGTATCTCATGGAATTGCCTTGCTACCTTCGGTACATTTGTGGAAATTGGTCTTCGTGATATCACAGATAACATGCGTCTCGATATGCGTCCTTTTAGCAAAAGCGCTACCTTCACCTACTTGGATATTCCGACTCTTATCAAAGAAGATCCTACTGCTATAGGAGAAGCTCTTGCCGAAGTATTCAAGCTCTTACAGAAGGATATTCTCCAAGTTCCCTCTCCACTGACCACATACCCTGTTGGCAAGGTGGAAGATGCCTTTCGCATTATGCAGCAAGGAAAGCATCGCGGCAAAATCGTCTTGACTTTTCAAGAGGAAGATAAGAAGAATGCTCGTGTGCTGTGCAAAGCAAAAGATTCGCTCAAACTTGATCCAACTGGAACTTATCTCTTCGTCGGCGGGCTAGGAGGCCTAGGGCGCAGTCTGGCTAAAGAGTTTGTTGCTTCCGGTGCACGAAACATTGCGCTCATTTCAAGATCAGGAACCAGCAAAGCAGAGAGCAAAGCTGTTGTAGACGAGTTGATTGCGCTAGGAGTACAAGTCAAGGTATTTAGAGCTGATATTGCAAATCAGTCGTCCTTTTTGTCTGCCATGGAGGATTGCTCACAGCAACTCCCACCAGTGAAAGGAGTGATTCAAATGGCGATGATACTTCGCGATGGCGTGATTGAGAATATGACATACGAAGACTGGACAATTCCGCTACGAACGAAAGTCCAAGGAACGTGGAATCTCCATCAATATTTCAACCACGACCGACCGCTTGATTTTATGATATTCTGCTCCTCCATTTCCGGTATCTGTGGCAATCCAGGTCAAGCCCAGTACGACGCCGGAAACTCATATCAAGATGCTTTGGCCCATTATCGCCACTCTCAAGGCCTGAAAGCAGTCTCGGTTAATCTGGGAATCATGCTCGATGTTGGTGTCATTGCTGAATCGGTCACTCATAACTTCAAAACTTGGGAGCAGGTACTTGGTATTAGAGAGCCCACATTCCATGCTTTGATGAAGACTATTATCAATAGCCAGCAAAACAGTCAAGGTGGAGATTGGTCGCCTCAAATTTGTGTTGGTCTGGGAACCGCCAACATCATGGCCGCCAATAACCTTCCCAACCCTCCTTGGTTAGAAGACCCTCGATTTGGACCTCTCGCTGTTTCAGATAAGACCTTATCGAGCAGTGCAGATAGCGAAGGGTCGACCACAATATCTCTTGCCTCCAAACTTTCAGACGCTGGGAATAACAAAGACCTATCGCTAGCAGCCAATATCATCACCGTCGCTCTGGTGGCCAAAATAGCCGAGATCCTGCGCATCCCATCGTCTGAAGTTGATCCAAGTCGTCCGATGTATCAATACGGTGTCGACTCGCTTGTTGCTCTTGAAGTGAGAAATTGGATTACGCGAGAACTGAAAGCCAATATGGCACTTTTGGATATTGTGGCGGCTACGCCGATGGAAACTTTTGCGGCTCAAATTTCTCAGAAGAGTAAGCTTGTGATGGGTGTTTCTTGATGGGTTTGTGGGGCGATAGTTGTAATGTTGATTCCTATCTCACGCGAGGAATACTGGAGTTGTACGTACAGTGCGCTGGTGTTTTCAAAGAGAAAGGTACAGTTTATTCTTCACAGATAAATTTATGAGTATGCCAACTCTGATAGTTTGCTGTGCGTATGAGAAAACAATTGAGATGGTGGCCCAATTCGACAGAAGTATGACAAGACAATTTCCAGTTTCAATAGTCCCGAGCAGTTCCAGTGTAGATCAGGCAGTTAGATGTCAGATAATCGCATAGAACAAAGCTCATCAAAAATTCCGTCCGCGAAGTGTTGACCAGTGATATATCGGGCAGTGAATTAATGGAATACTCAAACTACTAAAACTGTTCATGGATAACTTGAGTTGAGTTGAGTTAAGTTTGAGTAGTAGACCCCCTTGAGTTGAGTTGAGTAGTAAATCTCACTACTCATAATTAGTTTGAGTAGTTTAAGTAGCGCCACACACCTGACCTCTAGCCAATTAGATAGCTCAGAATCTCGGGTTAGCCCCTTGATTACTAGCTAATATACCCTATAAATCTAGCCGCCGCCTATCTACGGAGGTGTTAGGGGTAATATTTTCTACACCGCCTTATAAAAATTCTACTATATAGGCGGTGTGAAAAACATCACCCCTTACACCTCCGTAGAGGGTAATATTAGGAGGCTTACTAATACTAACCGAGCTACTCAAACTAATCATGAATAACTTGAGTTAAGTTTGAGTTGAGCTTGACTAGGTTATAATTATCTTGAGTTGAGTTGAGTAGTAGCCACTGCTCAACTCAACTCATTTAATACACTGATATCGGGTGATTTGTTTTAGTATATTTCGAGCCTTAATCGATCTCTAAAAAAAAGTTTGATATCTCTACCGTCCAAAAAGAATCTTAAAAAAGATGATACGTCCGGGTACTCGCCTCAAAACCAAAGAAAAAAACAGAGAAAAGCAAAATATATATCGCATACAGCTCCTACTCTCTGACGTGTAGTAGGTACCCGTGGTTTCCTGCTCTCTGGCGCGTAGTAGGATATTAGCGTGGTTGTAGTCTCATAAGTTCTGCTCGTGGACAGATACTCATGAAGTTTTAACCATAACCATTTCGCTCGGGGATCTGATTCCAGCTGTGCTATTGGTGTGAAATGCTATTGATTTCATATTTAAATAAGAGTTTTAGTGAAAAGCCGACGGAGGGCCGAGGAAAGGGGGATGGTGGTGAATAGAAATGGTGGATGGGCGGGTAGAAATCATTTTCTACGGATCACTATTCACTTCTATGATCTGAATTTCAAAATTCTACTTCCTTGGCACTTTACCGTTCCTCAAAACATCTTTCTACAAAAACGGGCCGCCTTGACTCTTAAAACGCCCTTAGAGAGTGTGTTTGTGCAAACACTATTTAGCCATTCGGGACAAATTCTATATTAGTTATGATGAATATATCAAATTAAGTGCCTAGTAAGGTTGCAGTTATTCGTAATATTTGATAAAAACTAACACTTTTGATGAAAACTAACATTCGATGTCATTCACTCACTGTAATACTGTGATATTTGAGTGAACAAAGAGCATCTCAACATATTCACCTGACCATTGTTTGTTTAAAGGCCCGACTTACGCATATTCAAGCTCAAATTCAGAATCTAGCAGTGATGAATTCTAGTAGTTATAGATTCTAGTAGGCTGAATGCACAAAGAATAACGAAGTTGGGATAGAGTTTTCTGAATGATATCTGAACGGAGTCTGAATACACAGAACCGAGGCGCCCTAAAACTAGCAATTTAATGACGCTTCTATCCAAGAGTAATCATTTCCCGGACAGTCTAAATATCTATCCCATCATAACACTATGCTTTCTATCCAAAAATTTCCCTGCTATTCATAATATGCTAAACCTCCCCTTCAAAGTATTGAAGATCATCGTAGAGTGGTTTCTTTACAACAAAGAAAACGACAACGACGAAATGGAATCCTTCGGCGAGATGGATTTAACCGATTACGGAGCAGATTCCGACACGTCGGCGCCATGGTGGTCATCCCGATCCATTCACAAGAAATCATTCGAAATATACGAAGACGCCGGTAACGAGTCCGAGGCTGCCACAGTCCTTATGGATCTCGACGACAAAGAAGGAACGCATTTCGGTGATCGATTATCCGACCACTACCAACGAAAGTCATATGCGAAAACACCCTTTCCTCTCGTCCTAGACATGGCGTCCGGTTCACCACTCCTTCTAAACCTCCAACAATTATACAAGTACATGCACCATTTAGACACGCGTCATCCAGTGTTGGCGACACTCGCGCAATCCACCAGATATAGAGTCGAGGAAGTCGACCTCATCGTCGAGAAATGGGATAGTCATAGGGTATGGAAGCAACACTACAGACAGGCAATTTGCGAACGGGAAGACAACTTGGAAGCACTTGATTTCACAACCGACGAGGTCGCCAAGAGAGTTGAAGAGATCATCCGTTGCAAGACGATTGAGGCTATGAGGGAGTTTAGTATCCGCAGCGAGAAAGAGCTTGTTCTTGCTGCACTTGATATTTATCAAGCTGATCCGCAACCCGCGAGCGGTCGTAGTGTTGGCGCGCACTTGTTGGATGTTTTGGGTATGAGGAAAGGAAAGGGTTATGATAGGACGGAGCAAGCCGACTGGACAGAGCCGAAGATCGATCTGGCGACTTTCAGCACCACGGGGGATTTGCTTGTACGGGAGTGTAAGAATCATTTGTGGAATAGTTACTTGGAGGGGTGGGAACTTGATCCAGGGATTTTTGAGATTCTTGACGAGGCGAAGGGCGAGATTTTAGACGCTGAAGGTTGGGATCTGGAATCTACGCAGATCGAGGAGGTTGAAAATGATGGGATCTGTGAAGATTCGGCTCTTGATTGAAGCTGGGGTACAGACAGAGTGCGTATGAGACAGATGTTCGCTTCACAGGCTTCGTCAACTAAAAGCAGAAGAGAAGAGCTGGTGGTCCGAATCTGAAAACAGTTGGATTCTACCAGTCATGAAATAGTGAGCAATTGCCAGACCATATTACACGACGAGTTGGCCAGGCTATGAACTAAATTAAATATTTCATAGAAACCAATTTAACAAGTATGCAGACAAGGCCTATAAGCATGAAATTCAGAAACAGCAAATCACTCGCATAGAGATGCATGTACAACCAGGGTTCAATATTGCCCACTTCCTGGCTTTTAATGACGAAATTAATCGCAACAACGTGTGAATATGGTTGCTAAGGCTGGGATGATTCACACAATAGGATACCTAATGCAGGAACCCCATAGAAACCGAAAGGCTTGCAACAGAGAGCCTTCCAAAGCAACAGCCAACATAATTGGATAAATCAGAGCAGAAGAGTATAACATAATGTTATCGTGCACACAAAACTAGGTCTTATGAATCATGACAGCCTATGGTTTCCACATGAGGTGGATTGACCCCTTCAAATGCCAACAATATCCTCCTCCTGCTTAGGGTACCTTACTACCCAATTACATATTCAACCGTTCTATGGCCGCATCGAATAGCCTCAAAGCCCTAATTCTGGAATCCAGTCGTTTTCTGGCTCGCCTCCAGAGCCGTTGAAATACTTGCTCGGTATGGGATGTAACGTCTGGTTGCTTAGATGCTCGACTAGAGAGTGCCACCCAGCGCCTCCTCCCATATCATCCTCTCGACATGTGTTTTTAATGCTTCACCAAAAGAGCGTCGACGGTGGATTCGCGTATCATACGCGTGATGTGCTATAACGCTCGACGTGATTGGGGTTGTCCTCAATAGCCGAACCGTCGGAAGAGTGGAGATATATTCGAAAAAGTCCGTCCAAGAGACCATCTTCTTCGCAACTTATGTTTCAAATGCGCATCTTGTGCATAATTCCACCCAGTCCATACAAGAAAGCGTCCCATAGCTCATAGACTTCGAAACCTATGGCGTGGAAGACGCCGCCGCATGCGTAGCTCCGATCCTTAGATCCGTTTCTATGGTGGTGCTTGCTATGGTGATGGTGATGATGATTCTGGTGGCGGGGATAAGGTTGAATCTCGTAAGAATCATCTTCTCGTCGAGCTACTGTTTGATTGTGGTGGTGATGGTGGCGATGTCTTCGCTCACTGATATCTGAATAGCTTCCCATATTTGCGTAGGTATGATTTGATATGGAAAGATTGTCTTTATTGAATTTTCACAATATTGCTGTTATAACTTACTATTTTCCCTTTGAAATGAGGCACTCGTCAAACAATATACTTTCCTCAAGTAGGCTGTGAATCATACTCGAAAAGGCTGTGACATCCCATGCTAACCTCATTTTGATGATGTTATCAGGAAAAGGGATTTCGGTCAGGATACCAAGCCATGTGATGCATATAGTGCTTATTCCTACCATACATTCACTTCGGGCCGTCAACATCTGATTTGCCATGCACTCAAGGCTGCCTGCTGAGCAAGTGATGAACTGACGTCTGAATCAACTTGGCTGCGGGAGGCGGAGTGGCTTGGCAAACGACGTTAAGAGTATCACGTGACTATGTCGGATTAACGTGAAACCGACAAGTGCCGACGCCGGATTAAATACTACACACGGCTTCAGCCTCGCAACGAACAAGCTGTCCTCAAAGATATATTTCTCTGCTACAAAACCACCACCTCAATTGTCACATCAACCTTAACAAAACTCTACCCCGAATAATAATTACACCGCGACAATGGAGGACCCCGAGACGTTCACCCTCTTGGACCTCCACATGGACCCAACATCCAAAGCAATCACATCCTCCAGCAACTCGCGCACCCTCCAAGAAGAACTCAAAGCCCTCAACCACCTCCACAAATCCCTCTTGAACCTCGAATCCCCCGTCCCCCCGCCACCAATCCCCGTAAACCCAAAGCGGTCCGCAAACATCACCAAGCTGCGCGAATCCGGCAACGGCGAATTCCGCAAAGGCAAGCACGCGGAAGCTATAAAATTCTACACGTTGGGGCTGCAAATGGCACTGACACGACCGCCCTGGGAGCCAAGTGGGTTAATCAGAGATGAGGTGTCCGGATTGTATGCGAATAGAGCGCAGGCGCACATGGCGATGTCGAATTGGGTAGAGGGGTCTGTGGATGCAGAAGCCAGTGTGGAGGCGAAGAAGGTGGGGAATGCGAAGGCGTGGTGGAGGAAGGGGAAGTGTTTGATGGAGATGGGGAGGTTGGAGGAGGCGAAGGAGTGGGTTGGACGGGGACTGGAGATGGAGGGGAATGAGGCGGATTTGGTGGGGTTGTTGAAGGATATTGAGGGGAAGAGTGGTAAGGCTTGAAGAATGTCATATGGGGCGTCATTTGAGGTCTATTTACTGCGGTACTTCTGGGGTTTTTCGTTCATGGGTCTTGGAGTCTGGAGTCTAGACAGATACCGCATTTTCATCAGAGTCCTGCATTTACAAAAGCCGTTTGGCATTCTCCTAGTGGATAAAATATATGGCACCTGAAACTCGAAATTTAATCAACCAGTCTGAGTGGTATCATATAAATTGTTTAATCTGTTAAGATGTTCAATTGTTATCTCGAATTTGTTAAGATAATCGACATCTCTGACAGTCTCTCAACCAATCAGGTAGTAATATGTCACCAACATGTATTCTCCCCACCACACGGTACTTGGCTCACTACTCAACGGCTGATACTACAGATAAACCATTGATTTGGGGTAAGTCAGCAGTAGCAAGCATTGCTCGACACTCTAAGCCCACCGTGTACTGTTCGGACCGCGAACGAATGTAACATCTTCGTCTTCATCCGCATCAGCAAACCGTTCGTCGTCGTCAACGCTATCGTCGTCATCCGAAGCTAAATACGAGTATTCACCATCTTCATTTTCATCCACCTCAGAAGAAAGATCCTCGTCCCTATGCACGCCTGCAAAATACAGGTCATCGTCCTCATCATCCTCTACATCTGCTTCCTCGTCCACCCTTTCCATCCCATCATTCACTAATCGTTCTTCTCTGATCAGTCGTTCCAGTCGATCCATTCGAAGTTCTTGCGACGTGAAGCTGGCTTCGCTCGGCAATCGCCCTGCCTCGACGTGTTCAGAAATCGCGGTCCAGTTCTCGAACACCAAAGTCATCCGATTCAAGGAGCTTTGTTCGTCATGGAACAGAGGATCCAAACGGTGCAGCTCGGGCTCAGGGAGACCACTTTGGTAGATGACTGATCGTCGAAAATTTCGACGCACATCCCATGTCAGTGGTTGATCGTTAGCTAACGGAAACTGGTGACAGATTCGAGTTTTGCGGCGCAGGATGTATCGGATCTCCTTTCTACATCTTCGACTTGGTATCCAATGTGCCCACCCTCGTCGTAACGCAGCCCAGAACATCATGTATCGAGGGTGTAGGGAGCCAGGAACATAAGGAACTATATCTCCCCAGTTACGAATGAAACAAGTCCATTCATTGATGAAAGCAGTTGCTTCTCTTCGATTGAGACCATCGTATACTGCAATTCGCAAAATGGTCTGAAAGACTAGTGCCAAAGTGTCACTCGTCACGAGGTATGTTCCGATCTCATCATCTTCGGGGTGTAAGTCGCTTATCTCGTTCAATAAACTGAACCGAGCGTGATGATCTGTGAAGATATCTCCAGTGCCGGATGGAGGTGGTGATTCTTGGGACGGGGTGCCACCTGCATGAAGATATTCTAAAAATCGGTATGTGTAATCTGCACTGTTCACTCTTAAGGGATCCGTCGGTCTAGGCGGAACACCTAGATCTTGGTGCGTGTCTTCGGGATTTTTTAGCTGTCTGAGTCTGAACTGGCGTCAGTGACCATAGATTAGCATTTTAAGGTTCTAATTAAGAACTTCACTGCATTAGACAGGACTTTGTGGATTTAAGAAATTACCAATAGTACTGTGTATCGACGGAGTCGTAAGTGAGAAGGTTGATCTTACCTGGACGGATCTCTGAGCCTTGACCTACCGACAATAGGCCCAGCGGGAACTATAGCGTTTCTCCTTCGGCGGACATTTCGAGTAGAGTCTCTCCCTTGCGCTGAATCTGGGCGATCCCTTTTCGGTATTCGTAGTTGCGTTAAAGCCCTCGGGTCGCGCGCACCTAGTCCAAAATCTCGTTCTCTTCGGGCATCGTAGCGGCCCATATCTTCTTGCATCTGCCTCATCATGGCGGCCCGTCGTGCCTGCGTAAAATAGCCAAGATATTCGTCTTTTGCCGCCCCAGGATCATCTGCACTTCTGGTGGATGTGTTTGGAGAGCTGGATCTAGATGTGTCGTCTTCTGCACTGGCCCTGTTTCCACTGATCCAAGTGGTTCTAGTTGTATCGTCATCGAGCCCCTCAGACATCGAAGTATCTGTACCAGGAAAAGAAAAATGTGTGTCGTCCGTACCGTCGCTATCCTGTGCTTGCGTTAGCTGCATTACATTTTCACGCTGACTGGATGATGGGTCCGTCGACGCGTTGCTCTGCGATCCAAATGATATGTCCATTCCACTTGGAGGTCCCCAAACCTGATTCTGTCTCTCTCTGAGGTTTCGTGTGGAGACAAGAATGAATTCCAATTCCTCGACAGTTGCTGTAGAAGTTTCTTCTTCGTCCAAGTTGGTATTTTGCTCTGGCGTGCTCATGTCCTAAGTGTGTTCCAGGAGGACCCAATTCCTTTGCGTAAGAAGTTTGTGGTGTATCAAAGAAATACTGAGATAGTAGAGGTACGGGATCAGATATATATACATAAGAGAGATCGTGCATGATGGATGACTTTCAGCCAACTGGAATTGATATGAATCTCTTGTATCGAAAAAGGTAATCATGAGTTCTTCGGACTCTGTGGTTGAAGAATGAATGATTTGCTGTGTCCGTGTAGAATCACAACCTTCATCACAAAGAAATGTCGCAGTCATGTCAGACATATCATTAGTGCTGTTTATCTAATCACCCTTAGTTGTTTTCGGAATTATGAGACCGTGGCATGAATCTTTGCAGCGTATATCGTAGTCAGCATCGTGGTACGTGACTATCTGGTCGGCTTTGTCGACTCCTGGACGCAATATTTCCACTACTTGTCTTGCACATCCCATCTGGGCTAACCGTCGCGTGACTATCAAAATGCATACTTCGAAGATTCTGCTCATGAATTTATCAGACCAACGAGCGTACCGAGTGTGAATCAAAGATGTGCTCCTCGCGAAAGCCCAAACGCGATTGACTCATATTGTCTTGATACATGCTCTTGTCGATCTGACAACCTCGCGAGGACCATTTGCGCAAGCTCTTTATCACTTTTCGCCTCTCTGTGTAGAATAGCTTGCTCAAACCCAGGAGGATACGCACCCGCCAGCCCCCAGTCAATCATCCACACCTTGCCCTGCACGTCGAGAATATTATTTCTTGGCGCAATATCTTGATGCGTGAATACCAGCTGCTCGAATTTGAATCTGGGAGAGTCTGAAGGTATATCTTTGAACAATATAGAAATGTCGACTTTGTGATTACACCAGTCTTCTAGATCTTTTAAAGTTGGAAATGGACCGGCACCATCTTCAGTGAACCATGGACCTTCAAAACATAAATCTCCTGTCGCACCAACAGGTCCTGACGGTAAATCAAGAGGCCTGGATTGCATAGTGTTGACCATGCTGGCGACCTGATCAGCTGCTGATTGTCGTTGATGCACATCGAGGGACTCCCAACACTCCTGAACTGTCGGTCCAGATATATAGTCCATGACAATAAAATGACCTGTTACTAACCCCTCATCAAACGGTCCGGGGACATCAGCAGCAAAGTCTCGGTAGACCTTTGGTGCAGAGAGTGACAAGTTTTCGGTGACGAACTTCATATTTCGTGCCTCGCTTGGGGCAACGCCTCGACCACCTTTTAGAGCAAGAGTTTTGGACAATCTGACAATCTTGACAGCACCATAGTGGTGGATTATCGGTGCGGTCGAGAACAATTCTGCGAGCTGCTCATCGGACACCGATGAAAGCTCCAAATTATCTAACAGGAATGAAAAGCTATCGTCTCTTGCTTCTGGCTACATTGGTAGGACGCATCAGTTCAGGAGATGTATTAACGGAAATCTTTAGGATTTGGCATACATCCTTGCGGGGTGCTTCTCAAGCATCGGAGAACTCTACTTCTGGTACCGAGCATTGTGCATCTGGTTCAACTTCTTGTTGCGATGTGGTGACTGTTTTCGCGTTCGGAACTTTCGAAGAAGATGAACCCATGTTTTCGAGGTTGACATTCGACACTTATTTTGTGATTGCCACGGGAAGGATCACCCATCGGACTCACAGCCGTGCCATCGAGACGCTGACATTCTTTTGGCTGTGTCTGGTAATGTTCGTGTTCAATGAGGTTTGGCAGCTACGGAGAGTACGTGAAGTGACAGGCTCGAAAATGATCATGCCACGTGATGTGTCACATGACCTGACAGCTTCGATACATTTGTGCATCATTAAATAGAAACGCACAGAATAATTCAAAATCAGGCAAACAATTTAGTGATTCTCGAGTTGTTGTCTTGTGGACACAGCTTAGCATTCAAGGTTGGTAGTTTCGCGAGTAGTGGTAAGAACATGCATGAATACAACCACCCTTCGCACCCCAAGGAGACTTATGGTCTGCGGGTGGGTCTATTGTTTGAGAAATTATCTTGGCCAGATCTGGCCACGACCATCTGTGCGCTTGCACAGCAGTTTATTCAAATTGTGTTGAACGGTGGTTGTGTTGGTTATCGGTTATGCTATGCTGCTGATAGGCTACTGATTGACAAGCCAACAATTAGGACAACGTCAGCTCATGGAAATCAATAGCAGTAGACTATACGCCCTGCGAAGATTATGTTTGCCTAACAAATGTCTCTTTCTTTTATGTTCAGCGTTTATGAGCATGAAAATAAGCGACTGATTTGAGAAGTGACTCTTCCAGTCTTCGCAACGAATTGTCCGATTCGCTATTTTTGTTCGGAATTATGCAGACTCTCTCTTAGACCTTCTGGACTTAAGCGCTTTGAAGATGATATCGACGAAGCGAAAGCTATGAGTAGTAATACAAATTCAATGACTTCCGGCGTTTAAGTCGAAGTCTTCTAGTATAAGATAGCCGTTAGGATCTCTCAACCGACTTGAAGATCATTTACTCACTCCATAACATAACGCTAAGTTACTTATCAGCATTCATCTTAAGCCATTTGTTGCATTTACAAATGCTTAATTTTTCGTATTCAAAGAATTATTTTTTCTATATTTATTATCCTCAACTTCACGATGGGTAGCTGCTTCAGTAGCGAGGGAGACAATAATTCGGGCGGCGGAAAGAGCATTTCTCCAGAACCAAATTTCAATCCGGTCACATACTCCCCCAGCCAGGAGCTTATTCGGTCTGCAAATCGAGTTGTCATTGCTGTTCGCTTCGTTGCTCAAACCGTATTACAAAATGGAAGCAATCACTGGGTCATTTTCCTACAAACTGGTCAAGAAGAGGCGGTTCGCATCAACATGGATCCCTCGCTCACACTTGGAGCACAAACTCCAGGCCATGGTTATCGGGGCGCAATGACAATTACACATCGCAATCATGCTGTTACAAGAAATCATGAATTGATGATAAGCATTCCAACAGGCCGCCAGCATACGGTGGCTCAATTCATCGACACGATTGTTGGGGCGCGTCATCATGAGTATGACTTCACAACTGAAGGTAGAGGCTGTACCGGATGGATTCTAGATCAATATCATCTCTTCCTTCGTCAAGGCCTAATCCCGCCAAAGTTTGATGCGATCGAGAGTGCTATCAATATGGAATGGAGACAAGGAAAGCCAAGTGGTGGACGGCAAGCCACTCGTGGCTTTTATATGAAAGATACTCGAGGTGGTGGGTGGAGCAGAGATGGTGCTGTTGCACGTCGATAGAATGATGTTTGAAGCTTGTAATTGTATTGTCCGGGCCTTGGTACTCGGTGTACTCGAGTCAATGGAGATATCAGTCAACTTTGTCATGTAGATTTCTTGGATTTTGTTAGGCGATAATATTTGGTAGTATTACTTATCTAATTAATCGAAATATCGATCGCGATTCTAATAAATGAATGTGTGCTTGTTGCGTCATTAACTCGTCCACTTCCGCCCAGCCCAATTTGCCTACCCACGCTCAGACGAGCATATCAAGACTGACCTAGCGGACTCTCTCTAAATAAATCTTCACAGCTAACTCTCGAAGTTAAGCACCAACACAAACCCAATACCCATCCCAAGCAACTGGGTTGGTTTTATCAATATAAGCGTTCCAGCTCAAAAAGCCATCCATCGTAATGCCGTTCTGCTGCACAATAGCATCAACCCTCAAGCCGTTTCCAGCGAGTTCAAAGGTCGTGCAGTTAGATGTAATTGATGGCATGACTGGGACTGGGATTTTCTCTGCACTCTCGACGGTACCGACATCCGCTTGAACCGGTGGCACGAATGTGTACCATGGTGTGCTGATGCAAACAGGAACGTAGGCTCTGAGTCCAAAGCAGGTTTGTCCGATATCACTGTCTGAAATTAGTACTGAAAATCGATGACATGGATTGGTTTCAAGGACTAACGGGTTCCAGTAGTAGAATTGGGTGAGTGTGAAGCTATTGTAGAGTGCAGCGATGGACTGGCAAGTATCGCCTGATTGCACAAGGTAGGTTTCTGAACACTATGCATTTCTCGTTAGTTGCAAGCTGATTTTTGGGGTTGATGGGAATTTACATCAGATGGTGTATGGTAGCAAACTGTCCCAGCTGCGACACTGGAGTATGTTGTGCAATTATCTCGCGCCACTAAAGACGAAGAGAGATCGACAGGCGTGGCGACAGCAGCACCGAGAAAAGCAGCAGCGACGGAGAGGAGCTGGAATTGCATCTTGAATTAGATGATTGGACGAAGATTGATCAAAAGGTATTGAGATGGTAGTGGAAAATTATCTCAAAGGGATGCACTGGTATTTGTACTCATCTGACGATCGCACAAACCACTTTTCATCTACATTAGTGCTTCTCTCCTGCCTTGAGCCAGTAAACGCCGGGTCATGGTTACGAGGTTTATGCTGATCTTTTACGAGATTTCGCTTTGTTTGCCTACTAATTGTGTATCTCGGTACGCATGTTTGCCTACGGCGGGGACTGCATGCCTTGAGTTCTCCTAAAACTCATCATTTCGATCGGCTGCCTGCAGGATGAGAACAAGTTTGCTAGCTTCCTTTTAATTCGACAAGGCGAGATTAAGCTTTCAGGGGCAGACTTTTCTCCGGGCAACTTCCCCGATTATTCCCCTGAATTTGACTACGGCGGTCAGGTGGCACTTGCGGTTGACATCGTGACGAGTCCCGGTCAATACAAACAATCAATATCTACCTCTAATCAATTGAATGCGAACCCAGAAATACTCAACTTCGTCATCTACCGATATTAGATTGAACCTCCAGGCCAACGCTCGCAGCTTTCACTCAGTGATAGTTGGGGCTCCTTCCATAAAAGCATCAGCACTGCATACGACGCAATAGCTTCAGTTCTATACTTTCTTATCGAGAAGGGACGGTTAATCAAATCGACCAGCACTTAAGAGAGCTTTCGGTAGCATTGAAGCTGAAGGGAAACGGCCAGTGCTACTTCGTACATGACTGAAATAACCAAGCCCTCCACATCTGTGCACTCCTCTGAAATAGTGTAAAACTAGAAATATCTAGCGAATCATTGTCTAAGATTGAATGAGACTTTTATCTTATTTGGTAAAGTTGCTGCATAGGGCGGCGGCGGCGAAATCTGGTTATTTCAGTCATGCACGAAAGGTACGAAGTACAATCAGTTCGAAAAGGCCGTGAAGCCAAAAGCCTGCACGTTGAGAGCAAAAGATCCCGAATCCAAGTTGCATTCAATCCGTCGCTGGGTTTCAAGTCCCTCTTTAAAGGACTTCAGCAAGAATGAGCAAGTGAATATGAAAGCTCCAAGTGTTGAAAGACTAAGAACTGACGAGACTGGGTGTAGCAGCCTGCGGAAATTATGATCGTGGTGTTAACTGCCCCGCCGTACAGCGCTTTTGCGATCAGGTCCGAGAACTTATCCGACTCCGATATCATCCCGGCCAATAGCATCCGGCCACCGGGATTGGATCGAGCTGGTGCCTCAACCAACGTTCACTGCTATGTCCCTCTCAAAAAATTGGTAGCATGCTGCCCCCATCGTCACTTATTCTGTTCAATTCTAATTAGAATCGAATATGGCAACGCGAGGTCCCTCACCTGAATATTCCTCCTCGTCTGACGAAGCTAGCCAACAGCCCGATTCCACCTCTGTTGAGAATCACGGTCACACTGACCAGCATTTCCATTCAGAGCATATTGCTAGATTTCGAACCGGAGATACTGTCTGGCTCAAGTCAGGAAAAGCAGAAGATCTTCAGCTTGTCATTACTGCGATAGGTCAAAATGAAGCAAGAAAAGGATTCGAATATCAACTGTTACAGGATGGTAACCCTTATAACAGCGGAGAATGGGTCAAGCAGGCAGAACTGGATACGCTTTTTGACCAGACTGGCACTTCCGCGGGGAGCCGTCTGTCAATGCAGGACACACCGTTCTCGCAAACACCAGTTGAAATTTTAGCATCAGCAGACATTCAGGATCCGCACTCAACCTCAACTCCCGGCAACTCTCTGCCGTCTTTTATCTTGGACATTGAGTCTGAGAAGCCGCACAGTGCGGAGCATTTCTCTGCCCTCGATTTAGTTTCGCGCGGTACGGACGATGTTACACTTGAGGATAGTGAGCTTGAGTCTTCAGTCAATCTTTCAAAAAACGTCAGTGACTCGCCACCTCCGCCGCTTCGACCGCCAACTGGTCACATTACTGGATCGTCTTTTGGGCATGAAGGCAGTATCTATCGTAATTCTAGTGATTCGAATCACGTCCCTTCGTGGGAACGCGCCAGATTGAGCATGCGTGAGGGCGGGTTTGAGGCCAATAGCCGAACAGAACCTATTACGACAACTCAGGAAAACATTCCACAACGACAAGTTGCTAGTGATATATGCACAAATAATTTCAGGAACGAACGACATGATAGTTCTTCAGTCAACTCTGATGTTTCTGAAGACAGTGTGGACACGGCTGCCGTGAAACCAAGCTACGAAGGCTTTATAGCACATATTCGACGGTTGCATCCCAACATGAACTCTCAACATGACGGGCTCGTCAGTCGAATTGCTCGCCAACAAGTGATACGATATAATAATCTGTTGAATTTGCAAGTTCAGCATCGCGAAGCTGTTTTGAATTGCAGCTGTCTTTCTGGGGAGTACTGCGTTTCAGCAAACAGCAACACAGTAACTCCAAGCACAAAATACAGACAAGGAGAGCTTGATCATGTCCAATCGGCCGTTCACATCACCTCGAATGTTGTCAACGAGAATCCTGACTCGAAGCGAGGGATGGTGTTCCAGGGCGCGCTTCCTTTCGGCATCCTTCTACCGCGTAGTCGTAGCTTACCAGCCGAGGTTGAATGTCAGTTCTGCTTTAAAGTAAACAGGTTGCAAAGGGCATCTGACTGGACTAAGCATGTCCATGACGATCTTCAGCCATTCACTTGTAGTTGGGAGAATTGTGATGATACGAAAGCATTCAAACGAAAGACGGACTGGATTCGCCATGAAAACGAGAAGCACAGGCAATTGGAGTGGTGGACATGTTCCTTTGAAGATTGCAAGCACATAAGCTACCGAGAAGACAACTTTCTACAGCATCTTCTTAGAAAGCATGAGTTTTGTGAATCCGACAAACCGAAAATTCCTAGTGGGAGTGGTCATCTTACAGATCCCACCTGGGCTACGGTGGAGGCTTGTCACCACGAAACGACAGCGAGTACTAAAGGTATGTCTACTTTCCTGAAAATGATCACGCCCACCCAGGGAATCTATGTACAGTTTCGTGCTCCTGGTTTTCTTAAGTGTCCATTTTTGAGTGATTCCTATGAAGTCCAATCTCCCTCGCTCAACTGACGTGGTAGCCGGGAAATCATTCCTCGTAAATAATGTCAGAAGTGGTTAAGAGTTATAAGCTGACTGTTGTTTGTCGCGCGTCCAGATGAGCCTTGCAAGTTCTGCGGAATTGTTCTCTCAACTTCGAAAAAGCTAAGCACTCATCTTGCAAACCATATGGAGCGGATAGCTATTTATGCTCTTCAGCTCTTGCAAATGGCGAATATCGACACAAAACCCATAGGCGATCCGACTGTTCGGACTCGATATGAAGGCTCTGTTTTTGGAAGCGCATTGAAAGCGTCAATCGGTCTTACTCCTGGCATTGAGATTCCTCGAGCTCCAACAACTATCAGCGATGTGCGTCTCCCGAAGCATGCACGTTCCTATCCTGGAGAGGCGGGACCTTTATCTTATGGGCGTCATTTAGAATCGGCTAGCGGCGATCACTCGTTCAATCCAAGGCAGCTTGAAGCATCCACAATCCCCGTTTCACAGCCTGGAAATCCCTCTTTTCCCCCTGAATCATACCAGCCCTTTGATCCTTCTCGGGATCCCGCTCCAGATAGTAGTGTTTCTTCTTCGACCAGTTTGTTAGAACAGGAATTCAACACTGTCGCTGGACTAGAACAGAATCCTGCTCGTTCTAGTCTTGATGATAGTGCAACGCAACAAGATCTGAAATCGACATTCTCAGACTTCATACCTAAGCCAACATCATCGCGATCAACCTTAGTAAAAGGGGCTGCCTTTGATTTTGAAAATTCAAATTTATTGTCAGACCAATACCGTGATTCGCCGTCAACTTCTTTCGGGTATCCAGAATTTTCGTCGACGAAAGGCAGTAGAGCGCCGTTAACTGGAAATGCAAAGTGGGATGCGAAGAAATATAGGAAAGTAAGATCGGTATGCGACAAACATCGAAAATCAAGGACGAAGGTAGGATCAGAATCACAAACACTGATTGATTGAGTAGTGAGTGCTAATTGCGACAAGTGTGATCCAGAAAAATGTCCAGATAACGCTTTCTACGTCGCTCAGAAATCCGATTTCACTCTCGACACGAGTGAACTTTCCAATCATTCTCCCGACAAGATGAGCTCATCAGTTACCGATACCGACGTCATTGAATCTGTTTTCACCAAAGATAGTCAATCTGAGATGGCAAACAGTAACGGGTCGGATTTTAGTGACGCAAAAACAAATGATGCTGCTATCATCAGCGAAACCAACAATGAGAACCGCGAGGTAATGGATGCAAATGCCGGAATTTCTAGTATAACCGTTCAGGAAGACAGTGACTTTGATGAGGAGGAGCCTCGACTGGCAAATCCACGAGCATATTTCGAAAATCTGAAAAGTCTAGAGTCGGAAATCTATCAGAACTCATACTTCTGGTGGGGTTGTAAGCTTGAGAAGTCCTTTGGAGAATGGGGTCATTTAATCAAAGAAACAAGTTCAGCGACTCTGCTACCGCTAGTGGAATCATACACCATCATTCTAAAGGCCTTCGAAAATATCAAGCGGCTACAGCAAAATGGATACTGTGAGGAGCAGATTGAGTTCCTATGTCAAGACAATTCGCGTCTATACGTAGCCAGAATTGTTAGTATCGAGATCTCTGCCATAGCGGAACTGGTTTCGACATATAAGGAGACCCTTGACCACATAGCGAGCATCCTGCGGAGAGGTGAAACTTTGAGTTTAGCTGAACTCATCGACCAGGAGATATTGGACTCGACTAGGTTAACAGCAAAATGCCGCACAGTTGTTTTAGACAGAACTCGATGGACAGTGACCAGTAATACCCCTATTTCCACAATTGATCTCTGGAAGAGTGTCGCGGAACTTCTAGATCTGGTAGTTGTCTCTTATGCTGGAGCGCATATTACAGAACTTAAAATTTCCGTTAAAATTTCTGGAAGGAGCGAATTTCGAATACCTAGGCCTTATGTATATTCCGATCGGGGCATCCGGTCTTTGGCCCTAGCCCCCTGTCTGACGATGTTCCGAGCTGTGCGGACTCACCTGCGATGCCTAGATTCGTTTCTCGGCGGACTATCAGTGTTAGTGTTCGCGGAGAGTGACTATCTTACGGGCACCAACCGCCTTTGCTTGTCAACCACCATAGCAGACTTAGCAAACCTGTGGGGGCCGTGTTGGAAAATAATGAGAGATTCGCAACCTGGGGAAATACAACATTTTGAGATCGGAAATGGCTTGATCCTACCGTGGTCACTTAGAGATAGCTCGGTACAACTGAGCAGCTCAGAATTGTTTGCGCATTGGGTATCATCTAGGTCATATAACGCCGAAATCGTGGAAAATGGTCAGAGGGACCTTGCTAGGAAATATTTCCTTGACTCGGACGTAATTCTCATAGGAGCAGATGTCAAGACTCAAAGCTTCGTCGTCAACCCTCAATGCGCACCTTCTATACAAAAGCTCCGACAGATTAAGGATAAACTTAGACAGCATAAGGCACTTCGAGAGCTTGGTACTGACAGACCCAGAAGGTACCATGATTCTCATGCTGTCCAGATCACTGCAAGTATTATGGGAATGGTAAGTATTGCAGATACATTGACATATAAACGCCGCGCAGGTCAATCAATGAAAGATGTCCTCGTTGAACGGTGGAGAAACGGCTTGCGAAACATATCTGATCTAGAGACTTATGGCGGTGTCGAGGTATCATTGTGTACCCGTAATGCTCGTAGAAGGAAAATCCGACAGATTCTGGCGTCGCAAACAATGCGTAAATATCTGAGAGGCAGCTCCTTCCAGTGGCTATCTGATGATGTTGAAACAAGGTTCTACGAATCTCTCAAGAGTAAAGAGGCTCAAAGGGCGTTGTGGAAATCTGATCCTAGTGTCCGAAAAAATGTTGGAGACGCTATTTCAAGATGTTTAGAGACACTGGAAACCACGGGTGTTGACAATGATACAAAAGAGCTGAATGCACTGTGGGTAGAAACATTCGACGATGTGGATGATGCGGACGAAGATTCTGACGAGGAATTTGGACCTGGCTGTCAAGTTGAGCCAAATGGTCAATTAAATGGCACCAATGGTACGAATGGGATATTACAATCGTCCCCTGCGGAAGCCGACGCCCCTGTTGAGGAGTGGATTGTTACACTTTTTCGTAGCGAGCACACATGGTCGGGGTTTCTCCAAGATTCAGAAGAAATCATGACAATGGCTATCTTCGACACGACTTGTCTAGACTTCAGCGGTACGGATTACGGTCGGGGTTGTCCCTCCCTACATCATCGATGCAACCAAAAGTGTACCGAACCATGCTCGTTCCACATGTGTCCTCGTCCATCCTCTGGATTTCCGGTCCTCAAAACATCTCTCTGGATCAATGAAGCCATCCTCGATAGCAAGTGCCTCACGCGCTCTGAGGCGGATGCTAAAGGCAGGTTTGAATGGAACGCTCGGCAATCCGGTACTGGTACCAAATTATCACTCGGTGATCAAGGGTCATTGAAAGTTCTTGCGAAAGCTACAGAGAGTTGTCCGTTGATTGTGGAGTGGAACGGTGTGACAAGCAAGCTGGGCAAGGAAGTCAAGAACGTTGGCATCAACAAGACCATGTTTGGTAAGGGTGCCGTGATGGATCATGGAGAGTATATGAAAGGTAGTTGGAGTGGTAAGCCTTTGCCTGTTATTATTTTGAGTAAGTCTACCAAGGTTTTGTTTTCATGACTGATGAAATGAGTACTGTTCTGCACATCTTCACGAGCAATCTTATATCTTATGTTTTATCTCTAGATTATTTTTGACTATATTTGTTTCTTCTCTCTTTTTGAATGAGCATTTCAATTTCAGTTGAATCTCAAGACTCGTCTACTAGTTAATTAATGTTCTCAAGGCTGTTTTTAACAGACTCAGTACTTTACTTCTACTTTCCAACATACTCCAGCAAACACAACAATTTAGTATACACTGCTAGCTTGTAGCCAAATCCTTTTTCTTCACTGGTACTTGACAAAAGAAAGAAAGGTATTCGAAGGGGCATCCAGGTCACGTGGACCGTGTCGCCTCCCGAGGTCCTTCAGGTTGCAGCCCCACTACTAGCACCCAGCCACCTCAGCGGCCCAGCCTTCTTGGTTCACAACAACGCGGTATGAATCAGGACTTGGGAGATCTTTCGAAATATAATCATTACTGCGCGGAGCAGATATCCATTATGCTTTCGTTCCCTCTCCGTTAGGTTTGTTGATTTTCTTTCCTTCTATCTCTATATTTTTACTATCGTCGAAATGCCATTCATTCCCCACACCCCCGAGTCTTTACTTCCACGATCAGACTCCAAGAATCCAGCAGCAACTTGCAGAGGTCTTACTTCGAACGGACGACCATGCCGAAGAGCCATATCGAAGAGCGCTCAGTCGTCTCCGAACGTGAGTCCGAATCGATTAGCAAACCCCGAGGCATATTGCTGGCAGCATCAAGAGCAAGCCTCTGCTCATACTACACCCGTCCCATCACCTCAACGCAAGCACGATACAATTCGGGAGCGAACAAGCGTCGACACATTAGTTGATAGGCTTGGATTGTTGGAGGTTGAACAGAAGAAAAGGCGCGACAAACAAGATAGGCCTCAAAACAGAATACCCAGCGAGAAACATCCCAATAGTTCGAACTCGAACCCGTCCGACCATTATAAATCATCTCAGAGGAAACCTCGTCAGCCTAAGCAGAGAAGTGCTTTGTCATTATTGTGTTGCATTGGCGAGGAGGACCATGGCAGGGAAGCCCCACGACCAGTAAGGAAGCCTACGAAACAGACTTCGTCCTACCCACCAAAGGAACAATCAAGGCCATCGAGGCCAGCAATTGTTCGAGATCCGTCTTCAAGGACTGGTGAACTTTTGTCTCTTATACCTCCATCAGCATCACCTCAGACTACCGCATTATTGTTATCCGAATTAGCGAAGCCATTCTCCGAATCCGACGAGGACGGTTTTATATATATGTTTTGGCTTACACCAGAATTTCTCCCAGCAGATGCTCCTTCACGAGCTGCTTCAACTCTGCTTGGGCCTCCTACAAGATTACCTCCTGGACAGAGAAGGACCTCAGATGTGCTGAATACATTTGCAGCTGCCACACCAGACACTTCAAGCAATAAGACCATGCTCCTGAAGATTGGTAGAGCACAAAACGTTCAGAGGCGGTTAAACCAATGGACTCGGCAATGTGGATACAATGTATCGTTGATCAGATATTACCCTTATCATGCTACTTCCTTAAGCAATGATGATACACCACCAAGAACGCCGAGAAAAGTACCAAATGTAAACAAAGTGGAGAGGTTAATACATCTGGAGCTCGCTGGGCAAAAGGCAAGAGGAGATGCTAAGTGCAGCACCTGTGGGAGAGAGCATCGCGAATGGTTCGAGGTAGAAGCGACGCGTAAAGGTGTTGCGGCTGTGGATGAGGTGATTAGGCGTTGGGTGGGATGGGGGGAGAGAGAAGCTGCTAGATGAGTTTTATGAATATGCCCCGGATTTAATGATACCAACGATACCATTTAATCTCTTCCCAATCATTTCACATGACGTAGAATTGACGAGTAGAAGCTAACGCATGATTGTGATGCAGAAGAATCCATGAGTAACTCTATGTCAAGTTCTTACATATGATTACCAGATCATGACTGCAAGTTGAGAGACATGGGCTATTCTCTGAGTGCCTTCAGCTGTTATCGTGAATATTATCTGGATCATATGGTTATTATTCGTCTAGGTATAATTTTTTAAAGGGACAAGACGCCAGGGCTATGCAATACGGAAGTCTATGTCTATCACAATCAGCTTTCTTTATCACCCCCAGAGGCGTATCTGGCGGCTTTAACCGACCAGTCAACATGTGTGCTGAGCAGAGTAATCATCACTCTTCCTACTTTGCCGTCTTTCCCCTTCAACTCTTTCCATGCCTGGACTGCCTTCATTGCAGCACTAGCATGAGCGTTTTCTGCGGCTTTGATGCCAGCAACCAATAAGCCACGATCCGGATAAGATTTGGAGTATCCGGAAGAGACAAAAACGTAGTTGAGGATCTCTCCGACTTTCACATCCTTATCGAGACCATTGAGATCGTTCTGTAAGCCAATGGCTTCGCCGACAAGTCTCATAAGACTGTGTAGCTCTGGAGAGATGGTTGCTCCAGCCACCAGTGTGAGGAGCGTGTTTGTGCCTATTGTTCGGGCACGTATATCTAAGTATGCCTCCACACCCTCGGGAGCTTCATCGCGGTACCTCGTCTCGTCAATGAGAGAATCCAAAAGATCGTCGAAACTGACAACAAATTGATCGAAGACGTTTCGGGGCATCAAATCGCTTATTGAGATGGTGAGTTTGCTCAGCATATGGTGGATCTTAATTGTAGGTGTTGAGTCCGCATCGACTGGCAATTTGTATAAGCGTACGTTCACAAGCTCAAGGGGTTGACTTACCAACTACTTTCGGCGCCTCGATTAATCCATACTCTCGAAGTTCTATTTGGTGTCCAGTCAAGCATTCTCTGACTAGTCCAACATCCATCTCCTCAATCAAATCATCCACCTCGCACTGGACAGCAAAACACATGGTTATAGCTAACAGTGTTCTACCATCCCAGACCAAAGGAAAGCCGGAGAGCACAGCTTGTAGCTCCATACCGAACTTCTTGTTGAGCTTTGGATTGTCGCGAGGTAACCATGGTTGTAATGAATGGCGATACTCTAAGTATTGCTCCAGAAGCTCGCTGTCTTTCAACTGAGGGTTTGCGACGGTGTGAATCTTTGGTACTAGGAACTGCACAAGTGTTAGCACGCCTCACATGCCTGACAGCACTCAGAACCTACTTCGATATCAAGATTTGCAGTTTTGTTGTGGATTATTTTGATTTCCGTCTGGAGTTCCTCGACTTGATCCACAATATGCGTTGGTTGTTGGGGTAGATTGGCATTATACTTGCTATGCAATCTCCTGGCAAGATTGCCGACTAAAGTGCGGAATTCTTGGTTGGTGGTTTGCAAGTGAGCCATGATGCACTTCTTTTGCAGGAAGCTTTATATTCGAAGTATTGAAGCGATAAGAATACTTTCCTCGATGCTATGCCATCCCCAGCGCAACCACGCCGTATTTAAACTCCCAGTCCCTCCTCCTCTTATCCAGCACCAACACATCCAACACTTCACCGTCTATTTCAATACCAACAGTTCCACGCTACAATTCCTTATCGCGGCGTTTCCCACGCTCCTCATTTTCCACCACTACAACAGCCCCAGAAATCCACATCGCAACAATACCACTCCAGCGGAAGCGATCTAGACTTTCAGTACTCCATTGAATCCCTGCAAATCTTCTCAAGCACGTTGGAAATATATCTTCAGCCTAGAACTGGCTGGCTGATTGAGGCTGGACCTCACAAAATTCGGCGCTACCGCTGCAGTTTGCGAATTCGTGGCTTGCGTGGACGCATTTAGCCGGAACGCTGCAACGTGCAGAATTTCTATAAGGCGTGGTTTTGCTCTAACTTCTTCTTCTTGCAGGGTTAGCGCATGCTTGTTTTATTGTTTCTGAGGCTGAATGAGAATGGTCGCTATACGCGAAAATTATCAGAAAGAGGTCTCTGAGCGGTTGTGCGATAAATCAGACGATTTTCAGTGTCTTGGGGTTTTGTGTTGCTCGATATTTCGCAGGCTCGCGCCCTCATACGAGTCACTTGCAGACTTTAGCCTCATGTATTTTTGTTATAGTTTCGTGGCTGCTACGTTAAGAGAGAGACTGAGATCCTTTACGAGGTATTTTGGTCTTCTTCCAGTCAAGAGGCTTCCTACTACCTCATGATACCTATTTGGAAAGGCACTGGTGGTACCTTGTCTTTGTTCCAATACGCTAGCACAACTTGCCTTTGCAGCTGGTCCTTTGGCTAGATGGAACGTTTGTGAGGTAAAGTGGAAGGTTGATTTTTACGAGTTACATGGGTGGGGTTTTATTGATTGCCACTACAACATCAAGCTCTACACTTGCTCAGCTCCTGGATCACACTGGTCTGAAATTGAAGTCGCTCCCCTATCGCAGTGTACTCATTCTTCTCCTCATCGTCATTTGACGAAGGAAATGCATCCAACAACGAAACAACAACTCCTTCGAATATTGAACCGATCGTGCTTCTCAGGGACGGGCATATCGAATTTCGTATCATATCGGCCACTTCGCTCGGTGCTTGGTGTTTGAAACTCCTGGTAAGAACTGCAATGGGGGACCATAGACCAACCTCCAGCAGTACAATACCCAAAGAGTAGTAGTCGAACTCGTGCCTATATTTCTGCATCGGGACTCTTTTGTATGATGGATGCTGATAGAAACGCATCTCATTCTTTGTTGGGTCTGGTTCTGAGAACTCATTCTTGCGGCTGGGCCTTGAGTAGTTGAACCCTGTTATGTATGGCGTCAGAACCGTGTAGTCTGTTAGTTGGGGTACACAAGAGCTCTCTTCGTCTGAAGTTTCTGTATCAGGAAATAGCAGAATATTAGGTGCAGAGAAGCTCTTATGGAACCATTCTGCGTTGTGAAACGCAAACATAGCCTCGCAAAGGATTCTTCCCAATCGCATTCGATCACCAACTGCCGGCGGGTAGGTATTCGACTCGCCATATTTACTTATGACTGAGCTAAGTCTCAACCAGGGACCTGGACCAACTGTTTTGGGTTTGGCATAAACGAAACCCAGCCGTCGTTTCTTGTCATCATGGCAATAGCCCAAGCAATTCAGCAATCGCAAATTCAAAATGTCAGATCCTCTGGATGCGGTTCTCAAGAATTCTGTCAACAGTTCCACACGGTCAAAAAGCTCATTGCCAATTTCAGTGCTCCAGTAACCTTGATATTGCTTCCATTCGACGAGAATACCATTGCAAGCTTGCCGATGATCGCTGGGCCATCTGAATTTCCCGGTGGATTTGATAGGAGAGCTCCCTACATCCAATGATAAATCTTTCATCGGGATGATTAATCTATCACTGGATGATCTACGTGAATCCGATCGTTCGCACAGAATCATGATTCGCTTCATGGCACTGGTTACTTCCAAACTGGCATATGATCGAGTGGATACTTCATCTGAGAGATCGATTTCGTCATTGTCTTGCTCCAAACATTTGTTGAGAAAAGCATGGTTCATGACGGCCCTGTCGCCTTCTGGAAACAACGATCGTAGCTGATCAAAACTCTCTTGAGCAACAGAGACCAGGGCGCGTGGCTTGGATACCAATTCTTGTGAGTCGCGATATTGCCTGTCAATATCCAAAGTATCGGCAATGTGTTCTAGTATCTCACGTACTGCACTGCAAACAGTGCCGTCAAGTTGTTCGTGGAGGGGCTGTCTGGCTCCGAGCAACGAGATGAGCCCAACCGCATAAGCCCAGGACTGCAGCCGATACTTCTGGATAATCAAGGTATCTGTTTCTCGTGGGTTGACCGTCCTGGCTTGAAGATGTTTTATCATATTATCAAATGCTTTGTCGACCTTGTTGACCAAAGCAGCAGCCGCTTCCCATGGCCTTGTCAAAGTCGTAGTTGCAGCAGCCACTATTATTTGTTATTAAGAAGGATAAATTTGTTCGAGACGAGAACCTACATTTGCATGGCTCATCCTTAGACATGGCTGGCTTTACCATTTTGGCCAAAACTTCAGCAATTTTGATCAGATTTGGATCAGTCGCAGTCGTATACTTGTTGAGACCAGAGTGGTTGACGGTCAGACCCATGCTTCTGTTTGGGTCGATGACCACTGACCTCTCTTCTACTGCCTATTTTTGTTACCTCATCAAGCCCGGATTTGGAGGCATTTCGGACACATACGACTATAGATGATTTCAAAGGGAGCAATTCAAAGAAGCAAAACACCTCAAAATCAGTGTAGATATCATTGAAATAGGTTGCAAGCCTAAACAATTCTGGAGACCCATTGCGAAGGCTATGGATAAGGGTTGTGTCTGACCCAAGGCCAACAGCTTTCGCGATATTTACCAACGTCTCTCCGTAGGTCGCGATGCTCGTGCCATTGTGCGGGGTTCCGAGGAAAATGATACCATGTGTCAATTGTTTGATGATGCCAAATTCTTTTGAAGCCAGAGTTGCTTTGATCAGCGCCTGTGAAGAAATAGAAGTAAGCTTGTATTCGCATTTTTTATTGCTATCAATGGTGAACCTCTTTGATGACAATCCCTCCAAAGGAATGGCCCACGAATATGATCGGACGTTCGTTCTCCTACATCCTATTTAGTGGTTATGAAATAGATCAGTTTGACATTCCGCTTACATCTTCGCCTGATCTCCACTGTATCAACGCAGAAAGAAGTTCTTGGGCGCAATTGTTGATGTTTCTTTTGGGGGCCACCTTGAGATACTGCGATTCATAGCCAAAAGTTACAATTCTAGACTTTGGTACGAGCAAAGGAAGGCAACTCTTCAGCCATAACCTTGACTCTTCTGGAACTAATTCCTGTCTTTTGGTTGAACTAGACTCGAATTTTCTTTCCTCAGTCGGACGACGAAGCAGCAGCGAAGGTGTCGGTTTAGGCTCAGGTGTACCAACCCAGGTCCAAAATGGATTAGCTGTAAATCCATGCACAAAGACGATACTATTAGCATGAAGAGTGGGCAAATTAGCAACATATGGTGGTTGATAAGCGAATTTCAATTTGAAGTAACTCGTTTGTGTACGTACTCGGCTTCAATTCCAGTTCCGCGTTCAGGTGAGAACCATTCTTTAACTCCCAGGTATTGGCGGCCCAAGTCATCCTATCTTTTAAGCATGCACTCAAATCTAATAGGTGCTAGCATACCATTGGATTCTTCGTCTGACCCTTCGATGATAATTCCAGTTCCAAGTAGGACGTCCAGCGCTTCGTGTTCCTTGAATTATGAAGCAAGGAGCATTCAAGGTGTCTTCGAAAGCAACCTTTCATACATTGAGGAATAAAGTATGGAATCGTATTACAAAGCAAAAAAGCCAAGCGGCACACGTGTTGTTCAGCTTTCCACAAAAGTATCTGCCAAATGCCATTGGACATTTAAAGCTCATGTTGGTTGCAAGTGTGCCCATTATCATGAGATGAGAGATGCCAGAGACCAATGGGAGGCAGAGAGCGCGAAAAATCCTGACAAGCTGTACGCGTGTGTGGTTGTACGAAGATGAGACATAAGGCGTTATTTGAAGTATGTGCCTACTATGAGGTTCATATTTGGCAGCGATTATCAGGTTTTTATGCATGCATGGCTACCTGTTCCGTCACATTGGTAAGGTCATGCAGAATACCCTGTCTCGAAAAAGCAAACTTACCGCTAGATGAAGTGTGGGTAGTATTCAAGAGATGGCAAGTTCCGATCACTTCAAACGAAACTGCAGCCTTACGTCTTGACAATTCTCTCTAAAAGCTGACGCTTCTGTTGGCGCTTCTTGAGGCTGTCATGTTGACGAGTTAGACAGCTACTGGCTATTTAGCACAATTCAACTCGACGATAATGAATCCGCCTTTACCATTTTTTCTGCGCGCAGGCAGGGTTGTTGATTGTTCTACATCAACAAACGCAAACGATCATGGGTTCCATTTCGACCTGTTGTCTTTTATTTCGATTGCTCAGGACTTTGGAGTGGACTTTATCAGTTTGACATGGCAACCTGCTCTAGAAGCTCTTGGAAGAGGAGCGACTTCAACTATTCAGCAGACACAAATCGACGCAAAGTTCAATTTAGCGTTCAAGCTCTCTATGGCTTGGCCGGAAGAGCAAGTTGCTGATACTGCGCAACAAGGATTTGCACGATACAAGGCATTAATATACGAGCTCATAGCTTTGGAAATGTTGGCAGACCATCCGAATGTGATTGATCTGGTAGGAATCACATGGGAGACTGGTGGAGACACCCACGAAGTGTGGCCTGTATTGCTCACTGAAAGATCCACAGAAGGATTGATGGATGAGTTCTTAAATTCAAGCACTGGGATCGAGTTAAATTGTCAAAGTAAGCTAGAGCTCTGCAGAGATGTTGCACAGGCAGGACAAGCTCTACATAGTCTCGGTAAGATACCAACACCCACGAAGATATATGAGGTTTTAACTAATTTTGTAAAAGGAATCGTTCATGGCGACATAAAACTAGAAAACATTCTAATTTTCAAAAGCGAGGAAAGATGGACAGGAAAGCTGATCGACTTTGGATTCAGCTGCTTAGGCACATCGGATAACGATATGGTTCAGGTTGCATGTACAAGACCCTGGCAGGCTCCTGAACATCATCGAGAAACATACTTCAAGCTTGAAGAGGCTCGTCGAATGGATGTTTACTCTTTTGGCATGCTGTTATGTCGTATGTTTCTCTCCAGTGAGCTGACGAAATACTTCAAAATATTTGGACACTTGTTCGATGCTGAAAATCGTTACCTGTACCTGGAAGAAATTGAGTCACTCAAACAATCCTTTTCTTTTCTGGATATGGTCCTAGAAGCTCTGAATAAATCTTCTGATTTGGACAACTCTGTCAAAGAGACATTGAGAGAGATCTTCTTGAAAACGTTGCAGCACAAACCTGAGCTTAGGGCCCCAAACTTTGATTACATTGTTGCAATTCTTTCCACATCCGATGCAATGTAAGATATTTCAAACTTTTTAGATCGAAGACTTAGGTTGACAGGTTCCCAGACCTTTTTCTCCTTACAAACCTACGAAGGCTCTTGACAGATTAGCACATACCGTTCTTGATGTGAGTTCTCCATCTTTCGTTATTTCCAATTATCAGAATGTATTGACGTACTTTAGATTGGAAAGTCCCTTGCAGATCTTGACGACAGCGACTATTTGCTTCGCAAAGCTATTGTCACAGCTCTTGAGAAACGTATGACCAAAAAAAATAACTGCCTTTGCAAACTGCCCGCAGCTTATCAATTGTGGCTTTGCTACGAAATTGGGTTTGGCACAAAAAGAGACACGGCTAAAGCGGCAGAATGGCTTGTCACGTCACAGTCTCTTCACCCTGATCCTAAAACAATACTCGAAGAAATAGATCAGGCATACGAAGCTTCCAATGCTGAGAGATTGAGTAGAAAACTAGGCTACGCAACAAATCTTCCTTTTGATCCTGTCAAGCTTTATGAGATCCAAAACCGAATGGAAATGGCAGAGATCTCATTTCGTCAAGAAACTCAAGGGCGCAAAGAATCCTTTGAGATTAGTAGCAAATCATACATCACTCAACTCTCAAATCTGTCCCTGCTTCTCTGCAGAAAGGGAGATTTCAAAGAAGCCGAGAAAGCATCTCGTGATGCCGTGAATTCGTCAAAAGCGGCGTACGGTGCCCTAAACGACATCACAATAAGTGCACAAAACTATCTTGCATGGATCTTCTCCCGGACAGAAAACTGGTCGGAAATGGTGGAACTTCAGCTTGAATTAATTCCGCTTAAATCGGAGCACAAGGACATTGGCCCTTTGGATGCCACTACGCTCAACAGCCAAAATCATTTAATTGCGGCGTATTTTTTCTTGGGAGAGTATGATGAAAGCATCAGTCTGGCCACGAATCTATTAGAGACTCGAAAATCCCATCTTGGAAAGGAACATCCGGAGACGCTCGTGACTTTTACTTGGCTTTGTCGCTCATTGCTCGAACATGGTAGCTTTGATGGCCTTGAAGCTCAATTCAAAGACTTGGTGGCTGCTAGTAGAAGAGCTTGTGGAGACGATGACGATGCTACGCTAGAGAGAGAAGAATTACATGCTGCTGTCTTACTTGGTGAGGGCTACCTCACTAGGGGCATGTTGAACGAAGACAAGCTAGATGATGCGTTATGTCTCATAGAAGATGTGCTGAATAGGTACGACGACGACGTTCCAAATGCACATTTAAATCTTCTCGTAAAAGCACACACGACACTGATCTGTGCTCTGGCTCTAGAAGAACGATTTGAAGAAGCCCAGACCGAAATCGCAGAGTCTGAAAATGTGGCGAGAAAACTCCAGGCAAAGACGAACGAGAACTATATTGAAATACGACGGTTCGGAAGAGTTGTTTATGATGTTAATATTTTGCAAGAATTGAGTAGAGATATGCAAGAACACAAGGAAGAGATTCACCAAGTTCGCCTAAGGATCGCTCATAGATGGAAGCTATAAGATTCGCACGTACTTACCGCACTATTATTGGTTTATCGTAATTTAGTTATATAGTATTATATTATGAGATACTACTGTTTCAATGACAAAAGAATTCAAAAAGCACGACCCCGTATTTCGCAGCAGACGAAAAAATAGGTTGTTAGGACTCTACATTTCATGGGCTAGAAGTTGACAAGATATCCTATAATTTTCCTCTTGTTCTTAGTACCAAGAGATTCATAGGTTCGATTATGACAAGTCAATCATATCAAACAATACCCTGCCTTATAAGAACAGACAGGAGGTTTTGCCACTTTTGTCTTCGGCCAGCATGGCAAATATCAGTCACCTGTTTTCATCGCTTAACCTCCTTACGAGATATAAAGATGGCATCTTTCGGAATTCTCCTTACATGCATATTTCTTCTACTTAGATATCGATGGATTTGAACCTCGAGAAAATTCTGGATTCCCAAAATCGATGGAATGAGATAGATGTTTTGTTAGTTTCAAAATGTGGGGATTTTCGTCGGAAGACGTTGCCGAAACGATAGGGTGCATGTCGATTAGCGTCCAGTCCTTCATAACAGCAATCTTCATATCTGAGTAATTTCGTCAATGAGTGCACAAAAATAGTGAAGTACATACTGTTGTCCACTATCTCGTTAAATAAGGCAATTTTTGATCATAACGTTGACCACAATGATGGAGCTCCCGAGCCTAGACTCCCCGTCAGTTCAGGCATTCATGGCAAAAGTCTCAACAGAACTCAGCACAACTCTACCCAGACCAACTTCAGTAATCTCATTAGGCTTCTCGTTACCCGAAATCATTCCCAAAATGAACGCTCTGACACTCTCTGGTGTCAAGCGCGCAATGGCAGGCTTTCCAGCGCCGCTAAACCCGACGTCCGGCGACTTCTTCATCGCAGTCGACAAAGATTATAATCCGGCAATTTATGCCGTGTTAATTCTCGCACATCTGTGTTATTTCATGAGGTTACGTCAAAATTTGTGTTTGAAGAAGGTCACCCGGAAATGACAATCGAATTTTGGACAGAATGGCATCAGAGATTTTGGGAGAAGAGCCTAGATCATGATGGAACATCGTTTGGTGATGGACGTGGAAGAAAGGTCATGAATATGATATACGAAGTCGTTTATCCCATAACTAAGCCCTTAACTGCCGATAGTAATCCTGTCAAGGCGTTTTTGCAGCTCGTTGAGCGGATGACAAGCCTGCAAGTTACTGCCGACCAAGTAAAAGAGGTGTTCGAGTTTGTGCCTGGAGACGGGCAACTGTCGAAATATTGGAATTCTTGTGCTGTGAGAGGCGGAAGAACAGCAAAAATAGATTTTCCTGTCCCGAAAGATTTGAATTTGGAAGTGGGAGATTACTCGATCGGCTTAGGCTTATTTGGAGAACCTTATCTGCTTATTCGTACGGCGTGGCTAGGAGAAAGAAATTTTGAGTCGGTCGAAGAGGATCTCATTTTTGCCGATGGTGGTATAGGTCGTGAACAATGGCAGGAAAGTCGAGTCGAATACTGGAAAGACGAGACAGACAATGATGGCACATTATTTGTGATGGCAGAGGAAATACTGTGCTGTGTGAAAGATTTGAAACTATTTGGCCCCAATTTGAAGAAGAATTTCCTTAAGAACAATTACATAAACCAATTCCTAATTCCTACACTGATCTAAATGAACTCAAAAATTCAATGATCTTGGGATTTTTGGGTTGTTCACTTGATCCGTTAGTTCGGATAAAATTCTCGAGTGCCACCTCCGCCCAGAAAGCAGCGCTATCAGAAAGACATTTGGCTACCACGCAGCGAAAATGATTGCAGAATGAGTTGAGAGGTACATAGACTGTTTTGCAAATAAGTAACTGACGTCTGATACTGTTTCCCAGACCTCGAATTTATTCGTAGCACCAGGGGGTGACATAATTCTCTGCGCAGCCAGAGACTACTAGTAATCTTTTAACGACGGGACAACATCCACTTGTAATTTTTTTTCACCGTGTAGTAATCCTAAGCCTTACGAATAAGTCTATGTTACCAGAAACACGATATCTAGCTATTGTGCTGAGTTATTTGCTTTCGAAGTTCTTGGGTGCGCAGAGAATTGTGTCACCCACTGGTGTAGCGACTTATCTAAATTGGTGTTTTCGTCACCAGATTCCTCATATGCATATGTGGAAAGTTTTTTAAATCTGTCAACTTGAAAAGTCTGCGAAGCAATTTATCCCAGATTTCTCTAGAAAAAGTGAGTCGCCTTGTACAAATGGGATTTTCAATGGAAGCAGCCAAGCCTCCATCTACGCTGTCAATACCGTCATTCAGCGAATCATTGTATTGCTGTGAAAACAAGCGCTCTTTTGTCCTTGACCTTTCCCCTGGAGTGAAACTATTCGTTGTGATTTCTCTTTGAAAAAGAATTTAACTTAACAAAGCACTTGTTTCGCAAATTCTCGGTTCTGATACCCGTCGATTCAAGAAATTACTACGCTTACGGCACTTCTTAAGTAGAATCAGGACTCCAGGGAGGTGGAACTTTTAGATCTCTAAGGCTCGTACTCGAATCAATTAGCGAGACGTGTCTAATTTCTCACTTAAACTTAACGCAGCATTACCTAGGTAGGCTCATCGTGAAAAGTACAAGTCTCGGCTAGAAGAGAATAGTTACTCAAAACAGATAACGAAAAATCGTTAGACTATGTTTTGCCAACTAAATTACGTGAAAGGGCGAAATTTGCATTGGATTTAGAAAATATGTAGTTAAGAGCGCATACTAAACTTGAGTATACTATATATCGATAGAGTATTGAAAGTTTTAAAATCATCTGTGTTGTCCATAGGAACCTAACGCCACGGTGCGTGGTTCTTGCTACATTAATTCGCTTATTTCTGTGACGATATTCCATTGTGACAGGTCCCCTCTAGTCTCCAAAGGTAACCGACTTTTCGGCTGATATACGCTTTCCGAGGAAGTAAAACCTGCCGATTTCTAGCCGTTGTTATGTATTGAATAGGTTACAATCCAACTTTCAAAAAATTCACATTATATAGTATGCGGATACTATTGAAGGTTAATAATTATGTTATCCTATATGTTACTTTTTTATCCTTCTGCGGAAACAGCCCAAGAACAATATCCAATGGCTTTCAAGCTTTCTCTCATCATGACGCATATGTTAGTCTTAATGGCATTATTTTGCCTGAGTTGCGCTACCGCACATCCTCCTGTGTACACGCCTGCGATCGCAGAGCGACAAGTCCCATCAAATACTTATTTGCGTGGGTTTCAGCAGGCTTCAGACCTTTTCCCCCGTACTCTTATCCAAGATCGGTGCTCTGATAAACAGAAGGAAACATTAAGAACCGCTTGGAAGGGAGCAAAAAAACTAGCAGAAGCTCAGACTAGCACTGTTACCGGCTACGACTACGATGCGGTGCATAGGGCTTGGTTCGGCGATGATTGGAATGTGAAAGGTGATCCTGAGGTAGAGCGTCGGACACAAATTATCACCGATAACATGGCTCGTCTTACGAAGCTATTCAGAGGAGAAGTAGGGGACCACGATAATTTTGTTTTTTGGTGTGAGGATAAATACGGAAATTGTGAAGGGGAGGCCTGGGCAGCTTCCTTTGAACACACGTTAGAACACGGTGCACTTTACCAGTCCACGGTCTTCTGTCCAGAGTTCTTCGAGGAGGAAGATGTATTAGAAGAAGATGTGGAAATGTTCGGGGGCCACCCCGACGACGAGACAAGGATAGATCATTTCCAAGACACGACTGCGGTTACTATGCTGCATGAAATTTATCATTACCAATTTGTGGTCTCTGATAATCCCACATTAGACATTGCTGAGTATGGTGCGGGGTTTGACTACCAACTAGCCAGAGAAAAAGGAACGGAAGAGACATATTTGAACGCTAACTCCTACGCTATGGACGCATTAGTAATCTATCTTCAGCAAACATTCCAGTCTAGTACTCCAGCACTACCACCAGGATACTAAATGATGAGTACAGAGTTGGGATTCAAATAGTCAATAGAACAAAATCAATAATCTCAGTATAACACAACAATTATTTTCCCATTGACGTGACTCCTACCTTATTTAAATTTGAATTCTTAATCTTAATGCCTCGAACATACATTGTGATAGTCTAGGTTGCTAGAGGTAATATTTTCAACTTATAAATTATAAGCTCTAATATTAATCGATCTAAAAGAATCTAAATATTTACGGCTCTTCTTCTCTAGCGGGGCGGAAGCATAACATGAAATTTTCATTACAGAAATTCGCTTCTTTTTGAGACCATCTTAATACAAACTACGTTTGATCCCGAAATGCAGATACCTTCTTTCATTTTTCGGCTAATTATATATTTTGGGAGAAGCAAAGTCTAAGCCTTCCTGTTTTCGGTTGTTATTTTGTATGAAACGGGTTATACTTTAAGGTCTGACAAAATATAAATCATTAGCTTTAGATATCAACATCTATTACAGTTTACTCTTTCATTATCCTTTCAAGAAGCAAAAAGACAACATCGAATAATTATCCGAATATCCCTCGATAAGATGCCTATGTTAGCCTTATTGATATTGTTTTGGCTTAATTTTGCTACTGCAAAACCTTCCTTACTCGCGCCTACGATTGAACAGTGGCAAGTGGGAGAGCCCGACAAGGAACCTGTGTCAGTTTCCGGCCTTTTCCCAAACACGTTTATGGACCCTACCTGCTCTGAAGAACAAAAGTCAAAGATTACTAGTGCTTGGAATGGAGCCAAAAAGCTAATAGAAGCTCAAACGAGTTTCGACAGTAGCCACGACAGCGTCCCCCATAAAACCTTTTTCGGTTTTGATTGGAACGTAAAAGGTGACACTGAGGCCGAATATCGGACCACAAAAATTGTCGAAAACAATGAGCGCGCTGGAAAGCTATTCAAGGGAGAAGTACCGGATAATGAACAATTTAACTTTTATTGTAAAGACATAGAAGATAATTGTGATGAATCCGAAACCGCCGCAATCTCTTGGTATAAAAAAAAGGCTGGAAACCAGGGCTTCATTCAAACAACGGTAAATCTTATATCCAATGCTGGACATGATTGAAGCTAGAAGTTATTTGGCGCCATTTACTAATATGTATAACTCAGGTTTTCTGTCCAGATTTCTTTGACGAGGTGGATAATCTAGAAGAACTAATTGAGCAGTACAAAGACAAACCGGATGAGCAAGTAAAGTTGGAACTTTTCGAGATGACCGATGCGATAACATTCTTGCACGAAACTTACCACTACCGCGTTGTGCACTTGAACAAACCTGCTATACTTGACTATGATAGTAAGGCAGGAGACTATGACACCGGCTCATCAGAGGATAACTGGTATCTGGCTAGAGACAAAGGAACGATAGAGACGTCTGTAAATGCGGACTCATACGTTTTCGTCGCACTAGTTATTTATCTTCAGCAGACTTTTAAAACTAGCAATATTGCTCTACCCGAGGACATGCGGGGAAAAAACCCATCAGAGAGAGAGAGCCTGGGAGTCAGCTGGCTCGGAAGACGATAATACAAGCACAAGCTGATGAAAACTTTGCTGCTCCGTGATTCCATCTTCTTTCGCCTCAAATAACTTCATATCATAACTTCAATTAAACTCAGATAAAACTATCTCTCGTTATTGCAACCTATGCGAGTAACAGGTGATTTTTCATTGGCGTTTTTTCATCGTGCCCCCCTTTTCACAACTCGGCTAATCCCAACCGCACGTCGGGAACAAGATCCCGCCTGGATACATCCCACTTAACGAATTGATAGAAGAGCAATGTAATACGCAAGCATAACAACAATCCTTATTTTCGAATTCTCGAAATCCCTTTTCGTTTCATTTCTTATTCTCATGATGACTACGCAGAAAAGACGGATACAATTGAATTTCTTCGACACAACCTGCGCAGGAAACAATACCACAATTGGACCATGGAAGTGAGTTCTCGTATAACAAAATGAATGCCAAAACTTGAATACTTACAATGGATAGAGACCCAAAAGATGCATCTCGCAACTCTAAAGATCGCATGGACTATTATTTGTGGCTAGCCAGGACTGCAGAGAAAGGAAAGATCAGCTCGATATTCTTCGCCGATGTCTATGCTGGTCACGAGGTCTATGGTGGGTCCATGGAAGCTACATATGCTGGCGGCTCGCAAGTAGGAGTACTAGATCCCGTTGTCATGATCGGTCCTATGGCTGCTGTTACGAAGTCTGTGGGGTTTGTCGTTACTGGGAGTTCGAGCTACATTAGTGCGTGGTTCATTTCATTATCCCCGGATCTTACCTTTGGTGTAAAAATAAATGATTTTGCGATGGTAAGGAAAAATTGATTTCTGACGATTCTAATACAGAGCCATACCTGTTAGCCCGTACTTGGTCAAGCATGGATCATATAACCAACGGTCGTGTCGCTTGGAATGTGGTAACGAGCTACAGTAACTCATCTGCACGTGCCATGGGTCAAGATAGTGTCGTCGCACATGATAAACGATACGAAGCAGCGGATGAGTACATGGAAATCATGTATCGACTGTGGGAAGGGTGTTGGGGGGACGGAGCTCAGATATTTGATGTGAACAAAGGTTCATTCGGCACTGCTTACGACTTTTCTAAGATCCATAAACTTGATTTTCAAGGAAAGTACCACAAGCTTTCGGGGATTCATCAAACACATCCTTCGCCACAACGCACACCCCTGCTATTTCAAGCAGGTGCTAGCAAAGCTGGGATTCAGTTTGCAGGGAAGCATGCAGAAGGTCTGTTCTGTGGCGGCTCGTCAATTGTGAGAACGAAAAACTACATAAAACAAGTCCGCGAAGTTGCTGTCGCGAGTGGACGCAGCTCTGATGCTGTTAAATTCTTTCTCGGGATTACACCAATTATCGGCAAGACTTTAGGGGAAGCACAGGAGAAGTTTGACACAGCGAGAAAGCAAGCTCACGTGCTTGGTGGTTTGGCTCGATTCGGAGGCTTCACAGGTGTTGATTTGAGCCCTTTCCCATTAGACGAGCCATTCGAGTTCAAGGGCGAATTGACGGATGTTGGAATACATTCCGCAATTGAGAATCTGAAGGCGAACCCAGATATCGATCAGTTTGGCAAGGAACGACTCTGGACACCTCGGAAAATTGGTGAAATTATGGCGATGGGCGGTGATGGGGTAATGCCAGTCGGGACACCAGAGATGGTCGCTGATGTGTTTCAAAAATGGTTCGAAGAAGCTGGAGTAGATGGCTTCAATGTTTGCTGTCTGTCTTCTTCCCCGTATTTGCAAGACAATTGGTATACTAATAATATTTGCGACCAGATATATCAAACCCGCAAAGCTATACTGACGTGGTGGATCTGCTGGTGCCCGAGTTGCAGAAGCGAGATATCTTTTGGAAAGATTATGCAGTTCCTGGTGGCACGATGCGAGAGAACTTCTATGCTAAACAAGGACAATGGCAACTTCCAGATGATCATCCTTCAGCGCAGTACAGATGGAACGCTCCGGAGCCCAAGACATGCACCGATCCGCTGGAGGGATTCAGGTGGAATTCACCGAAAGTCGATTTGACCACGGTTGTTGACTCATTAGATCGCCTCAGCGGCTATAGGTGGACGGACTACCATACATCAAGTAATGCTAACACGAATTAGTTGCTCAAGACCCAGGAGTATGCTGTTAGGCCTTTGGGTGAGAAATTGGATACTCAAGAAAATGTTTCTGAAGTGGTAGTCGTGGCATGAATAGAGATTCCGAACTTTAGCAAAGAATATGAAACGCACCCGCTCCCATACCTACAAGCGAGCTAAACGGTCTATAAAATCAGAATTAACAAAACTGAAGACTACATTGTCTTAATCGCAGACAGCCGAGAGTCACCACAAAGCCGTCGGCCCTTCTAACCCCTTCCCATCGCCATCTCCAGTAAATTCGCTATCGTCCCTGTCGCACAGTATCTATAATTCATAACAACTTCTTTGCATACCGAGAGCTTTCGTGATGAAGGAATAATTGGAGTGATAGTGATATTGATGTGTGATGCTAGTAGGAAGGTGTTGAAAACAGGTGTTCGTCGTCACTTCCTAGTTTAGTAAAACCAAGCTTCACACTAAGAAACGACCTTCCGACACAACAGATCCCAACTCAACTCCAAACACAATACAACTAGTTGCAAAAATTTCTCGCGTTGAGCAGTCAACTGAGTCATCATTCCAATCTCTCCCTCACTCTTAAAGCTCAAATCCGAATTCGTTTCCCAATAGGCTTAGCCTCGCACTCCAAATACAACGACGACCACTTGTCGAAAAGCCACCAACATGGTTCTGACACATGCAAACTGTCCCAGTAAGAAACCCCCACCAGACGTGAATCCACTCTCTAACTCTGAGCAGCACCAGCCGGCCTGTCCAAAGAATGCAAGAGGATCCTCAAAGGTTTTGGAGGATGGACTATGTTCATGGCCTCGTACCAGCTAGATCCCTTCGATGACGAGGACGCAGCAATGGGAGAGCGCATTCTGAAGGCATTGGGCGAATCCGAGGAAGAAGAAGAAGAAGAGAAGAAAACCTCTTGAGAGAACACGTTACCGCTCATGTTGTGCGTCTCGAGGTTGAGATCAAATTGTGTCCTTCTTCTGTTGTGCTTGGTAGAAAGGCTGGGAGATCACTGGTGGCTTTTGGAGGGTAGTATATATACAATGTGTCGAGGGGCTGAGGGCGAGCGATGAGTTGCAACTGTTTGGTTGTCTTTGGCGTGAGAGAGACAAAATTACATCGATGACGGATGGTTTCAACATTGTTTATGACAACAATAGCATCATAAGATACCAAAGATGAGGGTTGTGGGCGGCTGCGAACCTACAGAAGGCTGCGACAGATAGTTGACGAAAGACACACAGAATTGATAACGGCTAATGCGCACTCGCCGCTCTTGTCCACCTCATCGAGCCCAGAGTCTACAGAGATGAGTGAATCAGCAGCCATCTAACACTATATACATTATGCCCACTTAAATACGGCAAGCCCCCGACCTGGCGAGCTTCTCGAATTAATTGATTGTGTAACAAGTCTCTAGGTCATTAATGCAATTAACGTAGCCGCTCCATTTATGCCAGGTAAACATATGAGCTACCCTCACGCTCGATATAATCCTTCTCAATGAGTTCTGAAATCTGTTAGCACGATCTAATAGACACATCTAGAATACTTACTTTCGATGTTCTTCTTGATCTCACTCGGATCGACAGCTCCTCTCGCTTTTGTCTGAGAAATGACTTCTGCGACAAGATTCGAATGGGCCATTGTCTTCCTACTTTTCATGATCCGAACAATCGCTGCTTGAGTCTCGTACTGCCTATCCTGATGGACGCGCTCATGGGTCTCCTTGTTTTCCTCGCTGGTCTCTTTCAATTGAATCTGATTGATCTTGATCCGAACTTTGGGATCGACAAATTTCGTGTTAACTGTGAAAGTGTCTGTAGGATCAACATCACGACCCTTGGGATGCTTCGTCAGAACACGGAATTTACCGCAAGCCAGGGACTGCAAAGTACGCTGCAGCTCGACGTCAACAAAACCGGTAGCCGCCTTGATGTCTTCGTAAGAAAGGTTGTCGCCCTCCTTTAATTCGCCAAATAGTACCAGTATGATTGCCTGAAATCCGGAAACGAGGAGCTCCTTTGGTGCTCCTTTGTCGAATCTTGCCCTTACAACACTATGTGCAAGTGCATGTTTCCAGGTGAGGCGTCGACCAGTGTGCTTTCGTTGGTAGTACATGTCGTACTTCTCAATGTGTTTCGCGACTTCTGGTGGGAGATTGACTTTGATATCTGGATAATTCGGCCAGGCTGAGGCAGTGAGAACGTTGACTTGTAAATCCAAGATTGTCTTGCTCGTATTGCTGAGCGATTGCTTATACGCAACCATTTCCTCTCGAGCAAGTTCCTGGTCCTTGAACATGGTTTCCAAATTATGTGTAAACCCATATCCACACTCGCCCTTGAGTTTAGCAAGCATATTGCGTTCGGCGTCCTGACTTGCACTACGAGCCATAAGTAGACGTCGAGCAAGATCTTTCTTGTAAAAAGCCTCGAAAACATCCTTCCCCTCGATGAATCGGAACAGCTCGAGAGCCTGTTCTAATTGGCGATCGAGTTCAGCATCTTCGTCGCCTGCACTTGCTTCTCCTTGTTTTTCAGCATTTTCGCGATCCTTGGCGTCGAAGAGAAGTGACCGCGGCACTGCTTTGAGTCCACCACGGAGGAGTATGTCAATATATTTCGCGATCATCTCACCAACTTTGGAGTTATTGGTTCCCCATGCCATTGTGTTTTTCTTGTCATTGATGAAATTACTGAAAGCTTCTCGAAGACTATATGTGAATGTCTGATCCTTGGCAAATGCGTCTCTTATGACGACGTCTAATGACCTTTTCAACTCGAGTAGCCGAACCACCATCTCATCAATCTTATCTTTATCTTGCACAATAGTTGATCCCACGTTTTTGACGTAGACCTCGAAGGGTTTCTTGAGTTTTTGCTGTAAGTCCGAAAGTTTGAGCAGAGAATAAAGCACTTTCAGCGCATCCATGGCATTAGAATCAATGAGTTTCGACAATCCCTGGGCGTCGAGCAAAATGCCCGAACAGTCTTCGATCAAAGTCTGGTGCGCGATATCTAGGAGGCTTCTCTTTGATATGCTCGTAAAATTGTATTTGTCGCAGCGCGAGGCCTCACGCTCCAACAGATGATCGCATGCCAGCACATAATCCTTCATGCTCGAATTACTTCGATCTTTCACAAAACCCTCGAAATACGACCTTGAAGTCTCCATGAATTTCGGCTCCAGAGATTTTCCGAAGATGCCAAAAACGTGAAACATCAATATTGATTCTTTCAGAAGGTTCGAATCGAATTCGGGGTGTCGGGTTCGATCATATCCTACAAGATCGCAGATCCCTAAAACTACCCTGCCGCCCAATGATTTACCATCAACGCTACTTTTACTCTTCGAAAACACGGCATGCCGGAACTGCTGTATTCCTTGGTCTTCAAGCTGTGACAGGGATTTCGAATTATAAAGGTATGAGCGATCGAGAAAACTGAAGATCATACGGAGTAGGACCTGAGAAAAAGATGTCAATAAGAGACTAAAGTCAGGCTACCGCATGACTGACCGACTGAGCATTCCACGTAATCCAGTGGGAATAGACCGCTCGGAGAGCTTCCACATTACTTGATCCCGCATCTCGCTCAATCACTGGTAGAACATCCTTCTCAAGGTGGGCTTTGCACCTCTCCTTAAGATGTGCTGCAAGTTTGTCTGCCCTTCCCCTACGACATGTCGCTTCAACTCCACGGCATAGCACGTCCAAAGGCAGTGCTGTCGGTCGTCCATTGAATGTCGCCGTAACAGCAGCATCTAGTTGCGACCATGTTCTGTCATAGTATTCTTCAATGTCTACCTTCTGTGTCGTCCTCAGATTCTTGATTTTTAACACCTTCGCCCCCTTGTGTGGTTCAAATCCTGAAGGTACCGTCCTTATCATATCCCCGGGAGCCCTCATCTGCATCCTTCCCATAACCTTACTCATGGCTGCGGTGTGCCCTGAGGAGCTCGATAGTTTCAATCTCTTCGGTGAACCTTCGTGTGGGTGGAGAATCGGAGGTGGGATTTGGGAGCTTGAGCTCGGGTCGTTGCTGAAGTTACTGTAAAGCTTGCGCTTGTTAGATATATCGGAGGAGAGAGGTGGATTTTCAATGTGCGAGCTCTGCGAAGGCTTCATCGACTTTCACAGCTGGTCCGTGAACGGACATGAAGGTATGTATAGAGCTTGATGTGGTATGAGGGGTAATTGACGTCGCGGTCAAAAGTAGTGACGCGTATCACAGACAAACGAATGTTGTGTATAGATTGACGAAGCGGCGCAGATCGTGGTCGGCACAGAAGCTAGGATGACCTATCGCTTTTAACGTAAGGACGTCTGGTATACTCTGTGAGAAGTAAAAACAAAGGTCAAGTTGAGATGATAGCTTTGAAGTTGCAGGAAAGCCAAACGAGCCAGAGCAAATGGATCGGGGCGATAACGGACATCGCACCTTATCGCCGAGCCGAGATGATTCGTACAAGTATCACCACTCTTCTCATAGATGAAATATTTCCTCTTAATTTAACACATTGAGCGGAGATTTTTTTATTATCAATATCTAAAACAAATGCAGTACAGTTACAGTTCCACCGTACACAGTAACAACGCCTCTAGGCATGCTAACACCCAACCCCGTACGCCTCTGCCCCTCATGCGTATAACATCGACCTTGCTGATCAGGATACACCATCGAACCACGTATCCTGCAATAACTGGCTAGCTGTCGGCCGATCTCGCGGATCAAGCTTCATGATCTTCAAAAGAAACGTCCTATCTTCTTCACAAAGACAATCGTCCTGAACGATTGTGAAAGGTCGCGCCCTTCGGGTTTCCCTCATCCATGTATTAGCGTTGGCTAGTATCTCCCATGTATCAAGATCTTCCATCGATAATAAGGTTCTATAGGATTCTGGTATTGGTCCAAATGAGGCAATTTGCTTGTTCAATATGTGTAACAAGTATGTGTCGTCGTCAAAAGTTGCATCTTTATGGTTAGGCACGAATATATGCCAGTTTTCGCCCCAGATTAAACTTATGAGCTAGGGAAATGTTAGCATGGTAATGGCGTTACATGATATTGGAATACCATTACTTACAGTTGCGCCAAAAGACTAAATCTCAGTCGACTGTCCCCATCTAAGTTCCAATATCGCCTCAGGGCTTCGAAATATTGCAGCGCCCATGAGTGGCCCAGGTAATCCAATCTTGAGGTATTCTTTTGCGTCAATCCGAGTAACGTCGCCAAAGTCAGCCAGCTGGACGTCATTGAAACGCATATCAGTACTTTCCGCACTCGAATAATTGACAAGAATGTTGTCAGGTTTTATATCTACCCTCATGTTATCATTAGCAAGGACAATCAAAGGAAAAGTCTGAATCCCAAAACTATACCTGTATGAGTATACCCATCCCCATGTAATGCTTTCAATGCTTTCAGTACACTTTTAGCAACAAACTTCACATCCGCACTCCCCAGAGTCTTCTTATTCGACGCATCCAACAAATTATCATCAAAATGTTGCAGAACTAACGCTGGAGGGTCTTTCGTTTCATCCGCTAGCTGACGAACATACTTATTATCGCGGTAATGTTTGAGAATGTCTCGCTCATTTTCAAGTCGTGATTGAGGAGCTGTGTTGATTACGAAGTTCCTGGTCGGCTCATCGGTTTTTCTGGAATGGATTAGAAGGGGCTATAGTTTTTGGATTGACTGGAAGATACGTCGCTCTCCAGATGTGTTTTGCGACTTGGTCGGAGATGAGATAACTTCCGAGCTTTCCTTTGAGTCGTTGGCCAATTTTGATGCTACTGGTACTCATGCTACAAAAATTGGTTTATGATTCCACGTATTATATTATCAAGTATGGCCCATGAGTAAAAGATATGAAGAGCAATGAAAAACATGTAGAACGGGACATCGTCAACGGCTAAGAAAGGACGCGACGAAAACCAACAAGACTATCTCACACTGCCTGAGGCATCATCATAGCAATGGCATGGGGGTGTACAGACGCAGAAGTCAATGTGTATAAATTGTTGACGAAATAGATAGTCAGTGGCAATTGCCTTTTGATTTGCAGATGGTGTTTGCCAAAAATGCAGCTGAATATTACAGTGCGTCGCATTTTGGCTCTCAAATATTCTACAAATAACTCAAATCTCCGAGATGCTTCTGTGAAGCATCCAGGTTAGACGATAACGCCGTATTCGCTTTTGCGGTCCCCTCACACATGTTGACATCTGATAGTCTTTTGCTTATCCTCCACTCCCCTACGTAGAATGTGTTGTCTACCCCGTCGCCCTTTAAGCGCCGTGGAAGAACTCTCACTTCTCCGCATCAGTTTCCTTTCATCAAGCTTATTTTTTATGTTACACCTAATTCTACACCTATTACCAACCTCGTTCATGTGAACGAGGTCAGTGATACTTTTCTTGGAGTCATACTTTCTTCTTTCTATTTGCTTATTAGCGAGCTAATCTAACAAAAGGATGCAACGTGCTTACCTCAAGAAATTGTGTAAAAGTTACCAGCAGCATGAAGGAGTCTGCAAGTTCATCAATTGCCTCGGTCACCTTAACACCAGCAGCAAGTCCAGCAGACTTTTTCAAAACTGCGAGAATAGAAAGTCGATTTTCTGTGAGGAATCTCCGTCCTTGTTCAAGAGACTGTTGATTCTGGGTTCCGCGACTGAGAAGAGTTGCACAGACAACTCTCATGATCGCAACAAGAAGACTATAGTGTTTGCTGAGAGCATTGGGACCAACAATATCTAACATCCAATTAGTACAGTTATACATGGAGCTTAGGAGGTTACCTACCGACTCCCAAATCTGGGTCCGCCGAAAACAACGATGATTTTGTGATAGAGTGGAAGAGACCGGCGTTTAGGACAGCGGCTGCTCCGAATCGTGTCTGAGATATCTGAAGGAGTAGTGCTAGTCGGGCATTGCAATATGATAATAACATATCCGTGTCTAAGCAAAAATTAGCTCTGCTCCCACCAACGAACACAGCAAGTGACTTACCTTCAGGCTTTGCATCCCTTAATTCTGATGGAATATTCTGGATCGACCCAACCATTATGCTGACAAAATTCACTCGTATCAGAGCTTCGATGATGTATTTCGAATTTTCTTGCTTGCCCATAGAAACAAGTGCACCGAGGACTAGTAGAGCAGCAACTCTACACGTAAACTCGCTCCCATACGCATCGTCACAAACCACGTCGATGAAACGATCCCCGGCAGATTTTATGGTTTGGATGCTGTGACGACGAGTGATGCCGCCAAGGCTGCTAACATCTGACATGCCAGTCAAATAGCGATAACTTATTGCATAGAAGACCTGCTTCAGCTCGGTCTTCGAACCCAACGAATTGATAGCCCGTAGTGCTACCTGGAATAGATGAAACAATCTATCCCCGACGAGATCCCCCATTTCATCTTGATTGAAGGATTGAGCATCGAACTCAAGACTGAATATAACGCACTTCGCAAGCTTGGCCAGCTCCGACGCTTCCGTAACATTATCAATATCGTTCTCCAGGCGCGGCATTATCGTTTGAAGGGTCCTCAACATAATCGTAGTTTTCGAGACCCGGTCGAAGTCGCCAGTCTCTATCATAAGCATTGTAAGCTGAACCCAGGCTTTGAGTACTTTTATTCTAGCGGCATAAAGAGTCTTGGCTTGGTGGTCTCGGGCGAAGAAATCGAGCAACAATTGTGCCTCAAGATTGATAGCAGTTAGTTGGGGAGATGTCGCTGGGACAGAGGTATTGAGCAGTTCCGATCGGCGGAGTATGAGAACTTCTTCGACCTTACTGAGGTCAGAGGCGGATGCCAGGTTGTTGCCGTCCATACAGGCGCGGAAATCAACATCTTGAAACCACTCCAATTTTGTAGGCCACATGGGCTCGTCGATTTCGGGTTCCATAAAGTCAAATAGGTCGAATATTGCGGCATGGGGGCGCATCTGACCCTCTTCTAGACGCGTAGATCCCATCAAGGTTTCAAATATTCTCTGCTTCAGGGAGGGGGAATGACTATCAGCAACTTCACTAAGCTCCTTAGAAAAATACTGAATGATGAGTGCACGTCTGCTCAGGAACTCGGCGAAACAAGTAGAAGAGGGTGAGCTGGAAAATGACGGATCCAAAACATCTAGGCCATTCCAGATAGTTCCTGGTTGAATAACCTCCTCCTGTATGAACAACATAAAGAATGCGTCGTTTGATCGCATTTTCAATGTAACCAAGCCTGAGGTGAGCGGCGACGACCATAATTCTTTCAACACTTCGAAAGCCTTGCGATTCAACGAGGTCAACCATAGCGCCACACCAGTTTCGTCCGTTAGACTAGAATCAAGCACGCTATTCAAGATAGTATGGAACAGAGACACTCCACGGCCAAAAGAGCTCTCGCTATCGACACTCACTACACGATCGCTGCAACGAAACCCCAAGAGAAGGTGAGCCACTGTCGGTTGGTCTGGTGACGCTACTAAGCAGGAGAGGAGAAAATCGAGAATTTTGACTTTCACCATATATTCTGGCGAATCGGGACCCTGGTTGATGTTGATCCCGGCTTCCATCTCGCGAAGAAGAATTTTAGATATAGAGTCAGCATCATCTTCAAGTGCAGCTAAGGCTTTGTTTCGGTTCCCTCCTCTGCCCTGTGCACTAACAGGTGCGGAAGTGAGCCTTGGGGACGCTGCCAACTTGCCGAATAATTTAATCGAAGCGAGTGCAAGGTCTGGGTGACCAGTGCCGCAATAAAACCCTAGATCAGGAAGGACAGAAAGGTGGCTCAGGACTCCATCTTCGAATGTCGTATAGGCGGCATTAGTGACAGGGGTGCGGCGGAAAGATGGATGCGACCGAATGAGGGGCTTTATGATGTCTAGATATGTTGGCTGTAAATCCATGATCGTATTTATTACATGAATTCCGCGGGATAGAGATAGTATCAAAGGGGAGTCGGACGAGGCCGCACCTACTTCTGCTGCATCTTGGTGGACAGTAGCAAAAAGTGCTGCCATGACCTTGTCATTGAACATCCATTCCATGACTCTAGAGAACGGATGCAGGAGAACGTAATTTTCGAGTGTGGATGTACTGATAGCCAGATCTACAGCGACATTTGAGCGACTCGCAAAAATGACGAGATCTTCGTTGAATGTATCGAGGCAAGTGGCAATGAAGTCTAAACAAGAAAGCCTTAGAAGCCTTCGTTGAATAACCTCAATGATCTCGGGCAATCGAGAACTGAAGATTTCTCCAATAACGAAGTCAACATAAGGATCAATACCAGGCATTCGACTGGATGTGCCCAGGTTTTCTGGAAACGGAAGACTATCGCGGAGGCCAGTTTCATCTTCCAGTGGAGATACGAGTGCGTGAAGGAATTGAACAAACGCGTTTGGTTCTTCAAATCCTGTTGTCAAGCCTTTCAAAATGGCGCCCATCGCAGCAGGTGAGCCTGTCGCTGGCATATTCGACGCCGTTTTAGACGATGTCAGTGCTGGGGCATATCCACCAGAAATCCAGACATCAATGGATGTCCAGAGATGTTCGCCGGCTTCTCTTGTTTTGTGACTTAAAAGAGACTTGAGAGTTGTGAACGCGCAGGCTCTTAGTCGAGGTCCTATTGCGCTACTCGCCAGTTGAAATAAGAGATCCGTGATTCGAAAAGAAGGATGCTGTGCTAGAAACAAACGAGTAGAGGCACTTTCCGTACATAGGCGTGTGATGAGCCTTAGATAGGACTCAAGCATCATCGACTGCTCCGGTTCGACTTCAGCAAAGTCAATGTGAGGTTTGCCTGGCCGATATGTTTGAGTTTGTGGAACTGATAAACGATCACGGATCTTGGTGGAAAAGTAAGTAAGCTCCTTGAAGATCTGGTTCCACGACAGAGAATGAGTCTTCCGCATCCTGCCAGACGATTGGGGCCCTTCGTCAAGCAGGAATTCGTGGGTCGCATTTGCACACAATTCGTCCTCAGATATAGATTGTAGCATCTCACAGAACGCGGTAACCAGGGGTGTAGATGCTCTGCGGGATGCCCATTGGACGAATCCCATTAAAGCACCATCTCTGACGTCCCAGAAGCCCTCGAGGGCAGCTTTTGGCCGTCCTTCAAAAACAAATGATATGATGACCAGAAATCTCTCCAAGTCGAGATCATGATCATGCTCCTGATTCAGTTGTCTTTGCTCATCTTCATCCGTCCGTAATTTTCGAAGGACGTCGGGCAAATTCGTTATGAAAGCTTCAACGAAAGCCTCTAGTTGTTCCATAAAAGCTTCTTGAAAGACCTTGGAGAACGGCGCAGGGCCAGTGAGCATCACGGGTGTCTTTCGCTGCAGCCATTGTCGGAGACCTTGGCGAGCAGGATCATGCCATTCAAGTGGTTTGGAATCGGCCGAGACACATAATATGAAGTCGAAAGCTCCGTCTTTTAATGCATCGGAAAACTGTTTCGATCGCAATTTCGCCTCTAATATTCCATCAGCAAGTAATAAGGAGCAGGTATCTTATGGACCTACCATCCTCCAACTGATTGTCCGGGATAGATCCATCGGCATTCTCCCCATACCATCCACTATATTCGGCAAGCCACCATGCTTTGAACGCGGCTTGCAAGTAGCTCAATGTCCAGGAGTTTTGATCTGACGGAGCGAAGTACTTGTTGTTCAGCGACCTTGCATCGGCAATCGTTCCACCGCCTTCAATACCACCATATCTAGCGATACATGCCGCAAGGGGTGGAAGGTAATGAACTAGAAAAGGACGTTAGTCATCCACAAGGCTTCGAGGGGATATCGACAGAAAAAGGGACATTTAGAAAACAGGGCAGGCTCACGTAATAGGTGATCGTATTTATCCACCCTTTTCAGAGTGTCTAATATCAAGTCAAAATCTGCCTGCACAGAAAAGTTCTGCTTGACCAGATATAGAGATATCACGGAGAGCATCTCATGTTGGCTAACAAGATTTGATCCCTGAAATTCTATCATTTCCATTTCCTCTCCCTGCTGACCCGAATTCAGTACCGACGCTGTGCTCTGTTTATCGGCCAGACGTTGCAACCACGATCTTATATCCCCCATGCTTGTGATACATTTTTGAAGAAATCTGGCCGAGTTTGCTTGCGGTGCCAGTATTCTGCCCACAAAGTCTTGAAATCCCTCCCTCAGGGTTTCATCCAGGTCCACATCTCCGGCCAGTTGCAAGATGAGACGCAAGCAATCCAAGAGATACTTCCGTCTCTGCTGAAATCTTATGATTGATATTGTGCGGGCTGATCTGCCAGTGGTATCGGTTTCGGGTTGGGACAAGAGAAAGAGCTGCGCTGCTTCTAATTCGTCGAGGTTTAGATCATCGGCCAGTCGCAGGACATCTTGCTGGAATTCTTCATTGACAGTGTATTCGTCGCCTGAAATTTCAATTTTCCCTGCACAACGAGGTCAGTCTTCTGTTTTGAGGGGCCCCGAGAGAAACTACAAACCAGTTCCCAGCCGCTGCCGACTTGCATCGTTTCGAGCTTTTTGGTTTAATAAGTTTTGGAAATCACTCAGCAAGCTTTCGAACTGCGCGCCCACTCTCAGTAGAAGAGCATCTGATAGATTGGATTCAGCGATGGCCTCAAGATCGGTGTAGAGTGCCTGGAAGCTTTCGAGGCTACTCAGGTCTGTCATTGCCGTCCGGAGCGATGCGACAATTGTCGCGGGCGTGGTTTAAAAGGCCTTGGGTCCAGCATAGGATGGTGGAAGCCCTCGTAGGACGCTCATGGAGCCTTTGCGATATGCATGGGATATGGGAAAATTCGTATCAAATGGTGGCGCTTGGTGTAGTGAACTGTTACCCTACAAAAGTTCGGACCATCGAGCTTTGTTGACGAAGCAGAACCCTCGCGTCGCCTCGCGTGGGCGAGCTTCTGATTTCTCGGCCTCGCGCCCCAGGCCCGAGGCTGAACTTTGGTAATAACATGAACCACAACATTTGGCATGAACCAGATTGACATTTAATCCAAGTCTTTGATATCCCCATATGTTCCAAACTCTGCCTTTCACTTCTGTGATTTGGTAAACACCTAGTTGTACCTATTTCCCAAAAAAAAACCCAGGCCTGCTCAATGAGAAGTCAAATGGCAGGCGGTGCCAAAAGCCTTCACAATGGCCAGCAGCAGCGAAAAATCCAGCAATCTGCAGCATCATCTCGGTTCGTGATTACCGTAGAGCTTTAATGGTGTTGTTCTTATTCATTACAGACCGCATAACGACTGAGAAAAAGGAATTGAGGGCTAATCTTGCAGGTACAGTTACACGCATCCGGGCATGAACTGACTAACTCCGTTTGTAGAACTGGTCGACTTCGTGGAGCACAATTCTGCAAATCTGTAGGTACAAGATCGAATCATGTCTCAGTTGCGATATCATCACTAATATGGCACCATAGTACTGTCCTAAATGACAAAGCATGGCACAAAATCTACGAGACCCTCTTCCAGGTCGTGGTGACGGAGAAGCACACTCTATTGAACTCGAAAGCGACAGGGAGAACACATCCTTCAAAGGGTAGACTGGAAATCCTTTCCTCTGCCCTGCGTAGAATTCTCAAAGCAGGACCACCGAATCTGAAACCCAAAACGCTCAGCGCCGTAGTCGACCATATTACGCAGATGCTACCGAGCACAGATGGAAAATATTTTGAGCCTGTTCTTGGACCTTATTTGAAGGCGATGCACGTTGTTTTGGGCCACCAAGCTAACGTGGAGCGCATGAAACGTCAAACATGGCTTGATGTGATCGACTTCTGCGTTGAAGGGATCAACGGCTTCGTCGAGGACAGCGAAAAAGAAACGAACAAAATTCCTCGCAGCTCTTCGGGGACTGGGGGAAGAAGTATACCTTCTCGATCGCTGGTGAGATCTACTTCTACCTCCAGCAATGGGGCGAATGAGAGTAACACCACTAGTCTTGCAAAGTTCCATGCTGAAGAGTTGCTGGAGATACTTCATCTTCTGGTTACTCCCACTAGTGTAGGCATTGCTGAATGCTATGAGACGGTCTCAAAATGTGTCTTGAGCTTCTGGAACGCTCTGTGGCACCCGCAAGGTAGCCGAGTAGAGAAGAGCTTTGTTTCCATATTATCCGCCCTTAACAGAGTAATCACATACACGAGAACGGACAAGATATCCTTCACCATCACCCTCGCTCAAGAAGTAGTCCCTATCATTTCACAGTTTTGGCAAAGCAAAAGTGTCGCCAAGGATGAAGGCTTGAATGCAGTGAGAGACGAGATGCTTCTCTTCCTGTTCGCTGTACATCCTCACTTGGAAAAGTGCTTGAGCGAAGGAGATCACGCAGTAAAGTTGCTAGAGGATCTTTCAGACGTGTTGAAGGCAGACTACACTAAGCGAGCAGCGAAAGATCAGTTACAAATTGACGATCTTGAAATGGTAGATTTCGGGTCAGACCCCCTCGTTTCGCCCTTCAGCTTGGCTCCATTTGGCCTTAGGAGACACAATATCCGAGGAGAGCGAAATTGGGCTCATCTTCATGTCATTGGCATACTCGAAGGCCTCATTAGTATCGGAATGCAGCGGGAATCTCTATCAGACAAACCTGACGGTTCCCCCAACCACCCCAGCAAGCGCCAAAAGGTAACTCGGAGCTCGGACAGGATCTTTGATTCTTTGAAGCTCGAAGACGAGAAGTCCAGGGTTTCTGGTCTCCAGATGCTACCATTCATATTGAGCAATCAGCAGCTGAAGGCTCCAGACTTAGAAGAACTACTTGATCTCCTCGCGACTTTAGCCGCAGATAAAAGGGGAGATATAGCCGTCTGGGTGCTGCTCACAATTTCGAGGTAACATCTAAGTCTCAACATTGTCGCGCTTGCTAATGTGGGCCCCTTAGCTGCACTTTCCAAAACTTGTCTACAACTGTGGATTCAACACTGTGGTTGTCACTTTGGCGAATTGGGACGAGAGCTTTAGTACTGTCCAATACCTGCCGCGCAGCAGCTCTTCAATTACACGCAATTCTCGCCACACAGCTTTTGGTTTATCGAGATGTTAGTGAAGACGTAAGCGCCATTGTCACGTCTGCAGATGTCAACGGTCCAGTCATTCTGTGCGATTGTTCTATATTTCTCATGGTACATTTATTACAGACTAGAATCCGAGAAGTTCCAAGCGCCAGTTTAAGCACATCTAAACACGCCGTTCGATGGCTCTTTGCTAAGTGGGACCCTTGTGAGTAAAAATACGTGGTTATATATTAGTTAATGTACTAAACTTCGATAGCCGATAAGTCATTTGCATCTCGTAGCGCCATCCATGTTCATCCCTTTCAGATTATGGGATTGTTCCGAACAAGTCTTGGCCTTGAACAGCTGCCACTTAAATCGAACACGATGCTGCCCCTGGGTCGTTTAGCCCAGGCTTGGCAATATCAAGTCGATGTCGAGAACATTGTGAGATACATGTTACTCCTTGATGACCACCTAATATCTTCCACTACGATTTGTAAATCGTGTCCAAAGGTCACCGAACATGGTAGGATCGTTTATTTCACGGATACTAGTCATTTTCTCACAACGCTAAAACTTATTCTTGAACTAATGTCATCAAAATCTAGCGAGCTACTCCAGAGTTGGCGGAGTTCCTCAGTAGATGATTCCTCTACAATATCCATCGACACCTTTCGTAGTGCAGTCGACACGACAATGACTATGCTTCTAGCGATGCCACACTTCTTCCGATCAAATCTGCAACAGGTACCAACTTTTGAGGCATGTATAAGAGACCTCTGCAAGGAACTTCTGGATTTTCTCAAAAGCTCTGATGCCCGGGATTCCATTGGGGCTCGGGCGCTCGCAGAATCACTCGTCATATCTATACAGCCATATTTGCCGCCATGTGATATGCATGAGTTTGTCAACCTCTCCAGAAAGAATCCTCATCTCCTGGATTTCTTGATCTCAGTCGCTGATGCCGTGGGGAAACGTCAATCGTTACATACCAATCCATCCTTGAATATCGAAGAGGATCCTATGGATGTTGACGATGATTTCAAGGAATTCTCGCAGCACAGCCATGGCAGACTGGACACCCAGACTTCAGCGATACCTCGACAATTGCTTGCTTTGGACGCTTCATCTGCATCATTTGACTTTGTCGTTGCTTCTCGCTTATTGTTAGTTGCGAATATGGATTTAAAACAAACGGCAGTCACATCCATACCAAGATCTTTTATCGAGAAACTGTGTGCTATGCAGGACGAAGAGCTTCTTCTCAACCACTATTTCATAAACGAACTCCTTCGATCTGACATGACCTTGGAAGCAGAGGACGCAACACTACTTTTCGAGCGTGTATTATTCCTTTTAAAAGCCCCAGACTTTGATCTCTGCGAGGTCTCGTTGGTGTTAGCTCTCGATTGCGCCATTGGACTTGCGTCCCTCTGGCTCGCTGCTGAAGCGGAAAGCGAACTGGCGGAATTTGCTATGGATTTCTACTACTGGTTGGCAGAGACAGCTCTCGAAAATATGATACTCTCCCCTGAATTGCAGAAACGTAGTGGGGAGTTATTACTACTTCTCATGAAAGAATCACCCGAGTATGGGACAAATATTCCATTACAATCGGCCCGGTCCCTGCTGTTTACTCTTCTCGAACGAAGTGAATTGTGCGTAAAGTGGTATATCGCAGATCACTTACCCGAGATATTTCAGCTCTTTCTGCTGGAAGATCACGACGCCATCTTCGTGGATATCCTAGAAGTCTTGCCGTCAGACTCTGAGTGGTTGGAAGGGATGTGTTTTCGGGTCATTGCTCTTTCAAAATTAGCCTCGAAATGGCCAACTCTACAGCGACGTTGCATATATCACATATTTGAAGTCCCTGAGAAGGTTTCAGAGTCTTTGGGGCATGCTGTCCAGTGCATGTCCAAAGTATCATCTGCTCTGCAGCTCACCAATTCTCGTGAGCTCTTCGCACTATTTGCTCCGCAAATTCTCTTTACATGGCTGGCAGCAGACTCGGGTATCAGTAATCTTCCATTCGAGATATTTGGCTTCGAAACACTTCGCGATCTAATCTCCAAACATCAAGATGAAGTAACTGGCATAATGATGATGCTTGGTCAGGATGATGAAATCGAAGTGGTCATTAGTCTACTTGGTGAAGAGGCAACGAATCTCTTTGAAAGGTCTTTTACGAAAATCATAGCGTATACCGTTGCTTATGACCTCAGTGTACCCCCACCATCAAGCTCCGAGAAAAGGTATATCACCGGCGAGTCCAGACTCAAAAAGCGTCTCGGTCCAGAAAGATTTATACAATACCTAAATAATAACTTCGCGGACATTGTTGCGCTTCTCTTCACAATTAGCGATCCTCATGACAGTCTAGACAAGTATCTACTCCAGAAAAGAAATCTTCAACCGGCCGGTCACATCATGTCCAGGATCAAGGCATTGACTGAAAATCGAGCCGTTTTACCTCCCCTTACCCAGCCAACATTCAAAGCCAAGAAACTGAGTGCACAATTAGATCATTTGTGTACCAAGACACAGTTTGAGAGCTCTGATATTTACACCCCAGCTCTTGTTGTGTTTATTGCTAGAAAGGTCTCTAACACTATTCATCCAGCCTTGGGATCGCTGCATGCCTGTGCTGTTCTTCGAAAAATCAGAACTCTCATATGTTTCGCAGGCAAATCTGTAACGACGGGATATCCTCTAGAAATGTTACTACAGATACTACAACCATATATTAAAGATACTCAGTGCGCCAATGACGCTATTGGGATTATGCAATATCTTCTCGAAACCGGAATTGAGCATATAAGTCGGGTACCTAACTTTGTTGCAGGAATCTCGCTATCCGTATTTGGGTCGTTGAAAGAGATAGCTAAAGCCGACCGAGCAAGTAGTACGCAAGAAAGCCAACACAAGAGCACCATCTCTAGAATAACTACATTCCATAAGTGGTTTGGGTCATATCTAAGAAAACAATATATGGACATGTTACCAAAGAGCCGATCATCCTCCAGCCTTCAGCGCTTGTTTGAATCTGCATGCACTATCGATTGGGTAGGTAACGCAGACTTGCGAACTTCGGAGAGTGACCTATTGTTGCGTCTCCTGCAAGACGAACACAAGTCACCAAAACTTTTGGATGGACCGTCAAGAGAAATTGCTCTCCAGATGCTATGCCACGACTTCCAGGCCCCTGATTCATTCCGGACGGACGTCTTAGGAGACGACGAGGCTTCCGTCGCCAATGCTGTCGCTGTCTGGAAGTCATGTCGTGGTGGCATTTCCAACAAAAAGTACCTTTCGTGGGCTTCTCGTGTGCTTGGTCGCGCTTTTGCTGCTTCTGGTGTCATCGAGCAAGATCTCTTGCGCGAATCATCCCTCTCTCAAATGAAATCACTCACGCCGAAGCCTTCTATCAATGGATCTCAGGCTGGCATCGTAGATCTCCTCCAAGAGCTTACACTTGGCCGTAATAAAGACAATATTGGTCTTGCTGAAATTGCGCTACGTTTAGCGCTATCCAAATCTGACGATACAGTTGTGCAGACGTTTCGAGATTGTATCAACCCTGGTCTCTACGATGCCTCTATCTGGGCACCTTTTACTGTTCCGCCTTCCGATGTATGGGACGATGATGATCTTCTTCGTATCTTTGACGGCTGTTATGATGAACGTGGTATACAACATGAAAATTGGGTGCGCAATCTCACTGTCAATCTCGCTCGGTCCGTGTCCAATGATGACCTACTTCATGCGGTAGTGCCGGTGCTCGGAAATGTTGGGGGATTTGCTGAGAAGGCTTTTCCGTTCATCATCCATTTAGTGTTGTCAACACAGCTACAGGATCAGCAAAGTATGAAAAAAAAGTTGTCTGCGTCTTTCAATACGTGGTTTGACAGGAGCGAGACCATCGACAAAAACAATCTGAAAGTGTTGATAAATGCTCTCTTATATCTACGAACTCAACCACCGAAAGACGACCGTCCTTCTGGAAACCGACTACAGTGGCTAACTATAGATTACATGAAGGCTGCGACTGCAGCGACACACTGTGGAATGCACAAGACAGCTCTTTTATTCATCGAGGAACACTATTCAACACCACTCAAATCATCTCGCCGCTCCTCTTTCAAGGATGTACTTGAGCAACACGAGATGCCTGTGGACATATTGCTTGACGTGTTCCAAAGTATAGAAGATCCTGATATGTATTATGGAGTTCAGCAAACATCAAATCTAAGCACAATATTGGCGCGATTTGAATATGAAAAGGATGGTCCAAAGAGTCTTGCGTTTCGCGGTGCTCAATTTGACAGCCACATCAGAAGAGGGGACAAGGAGGCGGACAAGGATGCACAGTCGCTAGTCAAGGCACTGGATGTTCTCAGTCTCAGCGGTCTTTCGCATTCGCTATTGCAAGCTCAGCAATCGGTCGACATGAGTGCTAGTTCGATAGAGTCGATGTATCAAACGGCCCGTAAGCTAGAGCAATGGGACATTCCTGTGCCTGATGTTTCCAGCAATAATTCAATTGCTGTATACAAGGCTTTTCAGGCGATCAACATAGCTGATGATCATGCAAGCATCAGGGATGCGCTGGATGACAGTTTCAACTTTACAATGAACGCTCTTGTAAGCAAGGACTTGGGAGTTAGTGACCTACACAGCTCTTTACAAACTTTGGCAGCCCTAGTCGAAATGGATGAGATTTTCTCGACAAGAGGGTCGGAACAAATAGAAGAAATGCTAGCAAGATTTGAGGCTCGGTCAAACTGGATGAAGACTGGCAGGTAAGCATGTTCGGCTTTTTTTGAGGTAACAAAACTGACCCATTTTAGCTTTGACGATGTCAGTCAAATATTGTCGTGCCGAGGAACTGCGTTGAGCACTCTAAGTCAGCGGCCACGCCTACAATCTCTTATGAACGTTGCGCCCGTGGATACAAGGCTTGTGGAAGTCAGAGCCTCTCTTCTTGCATCCACTCTTAACAGAGCACATAATGCACTCCAAGAATCTCTTTCCCTTGCAACGTCGATGATGGATCTCATTGGCCCTTGTCGTGAGCTGTCTCTTAACCTTGATGCAGCTGTTCATATAGAAGCGGCCAACGCTCTTTGGGATCAAGGTGAAACAACCTCCTCGATCGGTATACTACAAGGCCTTGATAACACGGCGTTGCTCAAGAAGCAAGCGGTTCCAGTCAGCCGTGCTGACCTTCTTTCGAAGACAGGCTATCAGGTATCGGTTGCCAGGTTGGAAAAAGCGGACAAAATTATTGACAGGTATTTGCGACCAGCTTTAAAAGAGCTTAGGGGTAGAATCGAAGGGAGTGATGCAAGCCATGTCTTTCATCAATTTGCTGTATTTTGCGATCAACAGCTTGAGGATCCTGACAGTCTTGAAGATCTTGAACGTCTCCAAAAACTAAGTAATGGTAAAAGAGACGAAGTTATTCAGTGGGAAAAGCTGTTGAAAGCTGCCACGTCAAATAGTGATCGCAGCAGATATAAGAGCCACCTTGGAAAGGCTAAAATCTGGTACAAGCTGGACGAAGAAGAACTTCAACGTCATATGTCAAATCGACAAGATTTCCTGCGAAGCAGTTTGGAAAATTATTTGCTAGCTTTGGCTGCGTCAGACGACCACGACAAGGTAGCGCTGCGATTCACAGCTCTTTGGTTGGAGCATGCAGATGAAGATCTGGCAAACGCATCTGTTTCGCAGCATCTATCCAAGGTTCCAAGCAGAAAATTTGCGCCGCTCATGAATCAACTCACGTCTCGTTTACAAGACTCCCCAGCGCAATTTCACAGACAATTGTTTTCGCTGGTTCTTCGCATCTGTGTCGATCACCCATATCACGGCATGTACCAGATTTATTCTGGCACTAGTACGAAGCCCGATTCCAAAGACGAAGCCGCTGTGTCGAGAAGAGATGCTGCTAGAAAGGTTGCCGCGCGGTTGAGTGCTCATGACAAAGTTGGCCAAATATGGGGTAATCTCAGTGCAATCAATAAACTTTATGGAATGTTGGCTGGGGAGAAAGATGATTCTAAATATCGATCGGGCAAGAAGATCAACATCAAGGACACGCAAGCCGGATTGAGACTCAACGGCCATCTAAACAAGTATCGTATTCCTTCCCCAACCCTCCACCTGCCTCTTGCTGCCGATCTTGACTATTCGAAAATTCCCGTCATGGTCAAACTCGAACCACAAATGACCATTGCATCGGGTGTCAGTGCACCTAAAATCATCACTGCTATTGCTGATACCGGACAAACGTTCAAACAACTTGTAAGTTGAATGCTTTTTCATACAAGACGTTGCTAACATTATGTAACTAGGTAAAAGGAGGAAACGACGATTTACGTCAAGACGCCATTATGGAACAAGTTTTTGAACAAGTGAGCGAACTGCTCAAATCCAATCGATCAACTCGTCAGCGAGATCTCAAAATCCGTACCTACCGAGTGCTACCTCTAACGTCCATCGCCGGTGTTATTGAATTCGTTCCAAACACTATCCCATTACACGAGTATCTTATGCCAGCTCACGAGCGATACAACCCAAAAGACCTAAAAGGCGCCCAATGCCGTAAAGAGATCGGTGAAGTCCAACAACAATCCATCGACGTCCGCGTTAAGAAATACCGCTCCGTAACTGAACGCTTCCATCCCGTCATGCGTTACTTCTTCATGGAAAAGTTTACAGATCCAGACGAATGGTTCGTAAAACGCAACGCCTACACTCGTAGCACAGCCGCCATCTCCATCCTCGGCCATGTCCTCGGACTCGGTGACAGACACGGGCACAACATCCTCCTCGACTCAGAAAGTGGTGAGGTTGTCCACATCGATCTAGGCGTCGCTTTCGAAATGGGCCGTGTCCTACCCGTTCCCGAACTCGTCCCCTTCCGCCTCACACGCGACATAGTCGACGGCATGGGCATAACCAAAACCGAAGGCATCTTCCGTCGCTGCTGCGAATTTACCCTCGAAGCTCTCCGCAAAGAAGCCTACTCCATCATGACGATCCTCGACGTCCTCCGCTACGATCCGCTGTACAATTGGTCCATCTCGCCGGTGCGTCTCGCGCGGCTACAAGAGGGCCAGAGCGCGCTGGCGAATGCGGATGGTGAGAGGGCTAAGGAGGCGGTCAATGAACCTGGAGAGGCGGATCGCGCGTTGACGGTTGTCAATAAGAAGTTGAGTAAGACGTTGAGTGTGCAGGCCACTGTTAGTGATCTCATTAATCAGGCGAGCGATGAGAAGAATCTGGCGGTTTTGTATTCGGGTAAGTTTTCTCTTCTCTTTCCTAATATTGATAGTGTGCTAATGTGTTGTAGGATGGGCTGCTTATGCTTGATATTTCACCTTGAATCGAGGTTGCCGTGAAAATTTGAGCGTTTTTTTCAGCAAGCAAGCGTATACCCTCACTGGATCTGAATCTCTTTTTTGCTGTTTCAAACAATTTGCTATAGATATATACGCGTACACCTGTTCAAAGGAGCATTCCTGAAAATTGGGAGATGTTAATACAAAAGTGTGCATATCTGGCAGGCTAGATTCTGGGTCTATATAGTAGTGGGTAAAATAAAATACAGTAGTACATAACATCCAAACTTCTTGACACATGCCTCTCCTTGTTTCTGGCCTCGCATCTACTACACCTCCCTAACCAGGCCCGATATAATCCAAGCATCTTGGTGTACAGGCAACTTCGAAACTTCAGAATTTTGAACACAAACATCCACTAAGACTCAAATATAATTAATCCCCCCTTTCTTTAACACAACGGAAGTCCTTGCTCAGCATACAACCAAGATCTCACTGCCTCTTGATATGATCCGCTCACTCTTCAAACTTCCATCCTCATTTCCAATTAGATTAGCCTCACGCGTTTATATTGCAGCATATGAGAGTATTTTGCATCTCGATTAGAAATTTTGAGATTCTTCTTAACGTACATGTATTATTAGCAGCTTCATCAAATAGCCCTATACAATATACTAAAGATATCGTAAACCTAGCTTCCCAAAACCATTCCGCAGTCAATTCACAAGCCAGGTCTCTACATTAATCCCTTCTACACTTGCTTTTGACAACACGCGACGGGCGGCATATATTGACATACAGGATACACTCGTTTGGTGCACTGTGTACGTATTCAAGGTTGGTTTGTGGGAACGGAACGCGTGACGGCTGATGTATTTCATCAGCGTGGATTCTTTACTAGACGTATGCCGTGATAGGGTATCGAGATAGCTGCGCGAATCTCATTACTATAGCTTGTGCTGCTATTCGCGAGGTAGAGCGGCACGTCAAATATCGCGCTCTCAACGAGTGATGGTTAGTAATTAAGCATGATTCATGACTTCCTTGTAAATTAATTATAATGAGATGATCGATAGCTCAGAGGTTTTAATGGTGATTAATCATTGAAGGTAAGTATTATAGAGAATGTAGCTTAGGACGGCTAAAACTTGGATGTAGTTAAGTAAGAATTCTTCATATCAATTTAGTTTAGGTTTCCGAGCCTTTTCTTCTTCTTCCTCATTTTTAGTAAGAGAAAGGTAAAGAATGATAGAAATCTCGAAATCTGGTCCTCTACGTACTTGTACTATATTCTGCTCCTTGGTACTATACCGCGAATTAATCCTAACAGAATCATCATAGCGGTGGTTATAATTAGACATTCTAGCTATTACTCATAACCAAGTAATTTTGACGTGAAATGGTCAGTGATAGACCTCAATCATCTCATGCCCCGTCTCAGAGACTAAACAACTCCCAAATTTCAATTCCCTCAAGCATTTCCACACAATAATCCCAGTAAACTAACCATCCTCCTAAGTCTAAAACCCAAAACTTACATCAAACTCAAACACACACTCCCTCCCAACCCCCAAAAAAGCTAGGACCCACACATTCACCACCCTCACCCTTATAAACCCAAACAACCATATCTGCACCACCCAATAGCAGTAAAGCTCTACGATCCTACTTCCATCAGAACTACCACTGCCACTCTTGTTAATTCCAAGTGGCGTTGGTACCCCCCGACGGGGGAAGGTAGGGGAGAGTGAGGAAGTGGTGCTCAGCAACGACTATTGGGTGGGAATTAATAAGCTGCAATCCTTAACGGGGTTGCGTAAGTCTTGCCGTTTTTTTCTACGCCATGGATTTTTTTGGGAGATTTTGGGCGGGGGGATGGCCGGGGGGGGGGGTTGATGTTTTGGTGAGATATAGGGGTGGGGAGAGGAATAACTGCCTCTGACTTCACAGTGAATTGTGTGTTTATCTTTCGGGGTTTCGATCTCTAACTCAGCTATCATCAATTTTAGAGACGATCAATAATCTTCTCCCGTAGATAAAGTTGACCTTGACTTTCTAACCTGCCGGACTCAAGGCGCGAGTTCTTTGTTATTGAATCACACTCCCCCACCACAAGAGCCCCCCTAGCGACGTAAAATCAACCATAAACACTACTCAGCACCCGATTTAACCTAAAACCTACTCCATCTTCACACATAAACCAGTTAGAAACATCGGCTTCAGTATCGTCAAGCTCATTCTTCCCTAATATTATAAAGGGGCCCTTGAAATATGAACTTCACCCCCTGACGTACTTCGTGAGATAGCAAACCACAACACTCCTCCCAACTCTCACCTTTCCACCCTGCCACCCTTCCAACCCGAATCCCAATATCCCAATCCTCCACTCTCAGACTCACCTTCCCCTGCACACAGTACATTGCTAGTACGTCTCAAACCAACGATATAATCTTCACCATATCAACCCTCTAGTTGAAGACCGAGCGTTTCATCGATATTCCTCGGTGACTTTCATTAAAAGCATTGATAGGATGGCCGTGAGTGACGTGGAGTGCATGAGCATGATACTTTTGGTCATGTTCGCTGCTTCGAAGTTCGAGCACATATATAACCGCTTCCTCATTCCTCTTTTCTACTTTCTCTGCACGGTCAGCCTCAATTTATCATCCTCTTACTCCACACTTCCTCCCCAGTTACCCTCTCCATCCTCACAAATTCAACGTCATCACGACATAACAGTCACCTCGACGTTCAAACAAATCATCATATCAAAAAATCTCCCTTCATTGATTAAGTATTTACAATTAGGTATCTCATTACAACCTTCCAAAACAACTCCAAAACTGACAAGACATGCCACCACCTCGTTCCTTCATTCAATCATTCTCCAAATGATAATATCACCGTCCAAAATTTCTCTCCACGAAGTAATTATTTAGCATTTTGTGTTTCTGTTTTCGCATATGTATTCTTCCAAAATATCCCTGATGCGATGTGCTGTGTGACAATCTATTTAGTGATTGTAAGGTTGAATGTTGGCGCGTTTGGTGTAGATTCAATGATCGCTGGGCCAGAGAGGATGTTGGAATCGGTCAGATTTCCAGAGTCGTCACTGGTCAAGAAGACGTAACTTTGACCTTCGATCATTGGTGGAACAATAGCTTGGACCATGCCGTCTACAACACCCTTTGGCTTGACTGCGACGATGTCGAGTCCGGAGACAAAGGTGGCGAAGTATGTGCCGTTTGGCATGGATCCTGGGAGGAGATCAAGAAGAGCTCCTGGTGCGACGGGCTGTGCGGTGACAGCTGTGAGATCATCGTATGCCATGACGGGAAGTGCCATGTTGGTTGATGGACATTCGGCGATGAATGCGCTGGCGATTGTGTAGACTGCGTTGAGGCCGAGTGGGGTACCGAAGACGTTGGCCATTGGAATCTCGCCGACTGCACCACGAGTGGCAGATTGCTGCAAAATTATTAGATAAATGTGTGAAAGGCTTGGAGAGGGATCCTTACATGTAAAGCTTCTGTGACCAAGATACTTCCAGCAGCTGTGAGGTATGCCTTTGACGTGATGTCTGCTGCTGCTCCAAGGTATGCGCTGACACCAAGACCTTCGACGACGGAGGCAAGCTGGACGAACGCTTTTGGTGTTGTCATTGGGAAGGTGTATTTGCAAGCCTCGACAGGTTTGGCTCCTGCAGCTGTAAGACCTGGGAAAGTCAGTCAAGCACAGCCCAAGGCGAATGTAAAACTTACCAGCCTCCAGGTAGACAACATGTCCCTCCTCGTCGTGAGCAATGTACTTCAACTCATTGTAGAACATCGAGGTGAAGCCGGCATCTGTGAACTCCTTCTCGCTCCACTTAGACAAAGCCTCCTTGTAGAATGCATTCTCGAGATGTTCGAGCTGCATATTGTCAGCAGATTTTTATAGACTGGAGAGACTGATACTAACAGTCAAGGCGTATTGAAGAATGACAGGGTCAATATCCATAGCTGCTTGCTTCTTGACGATCGAAGGACGAGCAGACGCGACAGTAGCTAAAGCCACAGCAGAGATGGTTGAGAAACGCATGATGAGTCGTTTAACTAGATGGTATTCCAAACTGAAGGGGGAGCCAAGATCAAGATTTCAAAATTGGAATGGAACTGTTGAGTTGAGTTGCCAAAAGTCGAAGATGTTGTTTGAGTATGAGAGAGTGATGAGTGAGAAGAGTTTGGGAAGGAAGTGCAATTGAGATATAGTTCAAAGAATTTCCATACAAAAACCGATGATCGCTCTTTCCCCATTCGAGAAATCTTCTGCACGCTGACAATTCAGAATGTATTCGGAATGGAAAGAGCCGTCCAAAGCCATGTGCCTTTCCGCTGGTAGAGAACCCGCATTAAGCTGGAAGCACTCACGAAGCCTCCCACGACTATGGTTTGGGGTACTCACCTAGCCAATCAAGAGCATCAAAATTCCATTTCCCTACAAAACACAATGTTCTAAGCTCCATTGACAAATCTCACTCTGATGGTTCCCGGATTTAGAGCTCCCGAGCTTGCTAGAGCTTGAAGCTTGTATGGATTTCTTTGTAGCTCATTGCTTCTTTGAGCCACGAATGCACAATTGACATCGAGACTAGCGATACTAGTTTGGGACGAAGACGCTTTCGGTGCATCTTTCGTCTGTTCCTGGGACAGCGTGTCCAGGTTCGGATGAGTGACGTGGACGCTAGTTGTAACGGCAAGTTGCGGGTAAATTGTAAGATTGGATTTGGAAGAACAATATTGGGAAGAGTCATGACGGGCTGTAACAATTTCAAGCACGAAAGCTCAAATTTATCAAGGCAGTTATGAATATACTGAAACACTTATACGTCTCTAATTATTAGATTGCTCGTCTCTCTCGTGATATTCGTACCTTTGAAATCTCACACCATCTCAATTCAAAAAGCCATAAAACAAACCTCTGTATACTTCCCTCAATCTCCCACCCAAATGGAAAACTTTGCCCACTGCGAACTCCCGAAAATCAAGATAATAAAGCCCTCGGCTCCCTCGATCCCGAGAAGAGAAAATCATCCTGAAGTTTAAGTGAGTACCCGCGTGCACAGCCCACAGCGTATTGGTGCCCAATTGCAACAAACAATTGCAAGACATATCCGCGGGGCCGAGGTGATGGTGGTGGCGCTTGTCTAGGAGAAAGTTCATAGGATGAAAGGGAGACGTTTTCGTCGTAGTCCCGTAGTAGTGGTGATGGTCACTCATATTTCTGCCTGGCCGGATGAGGCACCATCCGAGCAAGCGAGCCAGAACCCGACGACAGAGTTGAGATTTGGTGGTATCATGTGAATTGTATCAGAATCTAGCTGTCTAACGGTGTGATCACTTTCTTTTCTTCGCTGCTCTCTTTTCTCCCCTCACGTCCTTCTTCAACCTAGCGTCGACAATCTTGTACTTACCCTTGACACCTCTAGGTCTTCCGGCAATACCCCTGTTGCCACCACGAGCAACCACAACTTTGACCTGTTGCTTTGGCTTCTTCTTTGCGGCTTTGCTCATCAACTTCATGATGCTGCTTGCCTTCTCCTTCTCGGTCATACCCTCCTCATCTTGAAGTAATGCGGACTTCTTGCGTAGTTTTTCGAGTCGCTGTGCAGCGTGGAACTTCTTTCGGTCTTTGGCTTCACGGACCTTCTTGATTGGTCTAGCGTTTAGAGCTCGTAATTTCTCCTTGATGGCTGCCGCTCCTGCCGCTGTGATCGGACGATGTGGTTTGTCGTGCTTGCCCTCGTCGTCGAGAAACCAGTCTGGAAGACCGTCACGGTCCTTGAGGCTGTGCTTGGTAAAGTTCTCATCAATCAAGTCAGCTGTTGTCTTTGACCCGGAGGCAATAGCCTGGGCGAGAGTCATAGCTTCTGCTGTAATGATATCGATATCTGTCACACCGTTAGCTCAGATTGACATTAAGTAGAACAGTTGGGATGGGCTTACCTAGTCGACCATCTTTCCGGGGTTCATCGTCCCAGGGATTAGCTTTTGATTTGACAACTTCAAATCCCTCCTCGTCTGAAGACTCTGCCTCCTCCGCTTCAGGAACATCGGAATCTGAATCCGGCTCAATTCCAGGCGCATCTTGCCTAGCAATTTCTAAAGCGTCAAGGTCTGCGGAAATTTCCTCTTCCCCCTCTTCCAGTTCATCTTCAGATTCTACTTTCTCCTCGGGTATTCCGCCAATATCTTTGAAGATGTCTTGATCGAAGAATTGTGCTGCTCGCCGTGAAAGTCCTCCGGCTTTGTTGTCAACTCCTTGCAAATCCGTAAGCAGAGGTCCCTTTGATGGAGTTTCATCGTCTGAGGAGTCGTCGCTGTCCTCTTCAAGCTCCTCATCATCGTCACTGCCCTCCTTATCAGCAGTGAAACCCTCCCAGTCCCCATCCTCGTGTTCCTTTCTCGCTTTCTTTGCTCGGAATTTTGCGTCGATGCTCGACTTTTTGTCCTGATATTGTTCGTACATCGAATCCAGTTCCCGATCGAGCCTGTCTTGCTCCTCATCGCTCTCTTCTTCTCCGTCTGATCCAAGCCCACTATCATGATCCTGCCGCGAGTCGCTTGCTTTGAGAATGGCCATTTTGCCCTTAGCAATCTTATCAGCAGCCCCGCTCTTATCGACCGCCTTCAAACCGAACATAGAATTGTCTCCATTGGGGCCGGACTGCTCAAGACCAATCTCAGTGGGTGCTGTCATGTGAAGCTGCATCCGTATGATTTCCTTCTGTTTCTTCTCGTTCTCCCTCCTTCTTTCACGCTTCTTCCGTAACCTTTCTTTGTCGGTCAATTCTTGTAGTCTTTCCGCGATTTTTAATTCTTCATCCATCGACTCGACCTCAGCTACTTCTTCCTCTGCTTCTTTGACAGACTTTTTGGTCGCAAATCCAAACTTCTCCCGGACCTTCAGCCGCCATTTCAACAGATTCCTGAATTCTTTTCTTCCCAACACTCTCAGATCTTTGCAGCAATCTCGAATTTCCTGAGTTGTTTCAGGCAATTTGTCAAGCGCTGCAAGAGCTACGTCTCCGTTCGGTGGTTGATCGAAACTCAATTTATTCAAACTTCCCAAAATTGCGATAGGGTCAGTAGTCTGAATGAATTCACTTGCCGGCACCTCCTTGTACTGGGTCATATTCCCATCCTCATAACCATCTCTCTTCCTCTTCTTGATCTCAGGATTGAAAACCTTGGCTTCATTATTGGGTGTGGGGTCTGACAACTCAGCAAAGACAGATCTTGGGTCCAAGAATTTGGGATCGATTCGCTTTGGCGCTTTGAAACCCTGACATACGACGAAAATCTCTGCGGAAACATTTCTCGAGGATGGCGGTTTAGTGGCCTCGACCTTTGTGAATAGCTGGTTGAACACCCAAAGTAAACTGTTATAATCCTTCGATCGAAAGACCTTGGTGACAAAAGTTCCTCCCTCGGCCAAAAACTCCGTAGCCAGCTTCATGGCCTGCAAAGCCAGTTCGGCCTGGTTGAAAGAATCCTGCACCCAAGCGGTACCAACATTGGGCGCACCATCGTGTAGGACTGTATCCGCTTTCCAAGTCTTGAAATGCGATCGGATCGTTGCTCGACATTTGTCGGTGGTAATATCGCTCTGGAAGGTAATAACTCGTGGAATGGGTTTGATGGGGGAGAGATCAACACCGACAATAAGACTGCTCACTGGCATGGCCTCTGCTGCGACTTGACACCATGACTATAATTAATTAGACATTATCTCCCATCTGCTAAGAATGCAACTTACACCTGGTGCAGCGCAAAGATCCAGTAAAACTTTACTCTTTTCCAGAAATCCATACTTCTTGTTCAGCTGGATCAACTTGAACGCAGCTCTGGCTCTGTATCCCTTCTCCTTGGCCAACTTGTACCACTTATCAAGACGACCTTTTCCATGCTTCTTTTGGATACCCATGGCTGCGGGTGGCTAACTGGCGATTATCAGGGAGAGTGGCGGTTTGATTTGTTACAGTCGCATCGTCGCAACAAATTCGAGGATATTTTTCTCTGGCGGGAGGAATTTCTCGCCAAGACGCTAAGATAGCCCGATAAGACAGCTTTCCCCACTGATTGAAGGGAAGAATGAGGAAAGAGAAGGCAATTGTGTTTGTTTACCTTTAAGTATACGTTTTCCAGAAAATTCAATTGTTTCTTCTTGTAAACGAAAAACTTACTAGAACCATCACTCGAAATTACCAGTAAAACATAAAAATCGGATGTTTCATGTTTTTACCCCACTTATTCCCGTCAGAGCTTCGGCCAGCCACCAGGAACCCGAAATCGCGTAAAGTGGAACGCGAAAGTCGCGCTGAGATGCGAGAAGGCCAAAGAACCTCACTTCTCAAGATCCACAACCAAAACCGAACATGTCCAGATTCTAGATCTATATTTCCTAGACTCCTTCTTTCAAGAATTGCCAACACACATCATAACATCAAACTCATCATGCAATAGAAAGTAGACACGCATAGAACATTGCCACAACAACAATCGATCCGGCCCCGACATGGCTTCCTCCGACTGCCTCGAGGTTTCCTCACTAGATGCACCAAGAACTCCACCACCACAGAGGACACTGAGGTCAGCGAAAAGATCATCAATGTCACCACCTCCTTTGCCATCACAATTACCTCCGACTCCCACTCGCCGTCCAAGAAAAGAGAAGTCCAATCCTTCGGTTACACCACGTCGATTCCGTACCTTCTTCACGCCACGGTCAATGGGGACGCGTACCAATGGAAGTAGAAGAGCTTTATTTGATATTACTGCGCCAGCTCTCAACAGCGGTGTTGTTCAATCAAGTCCGATTCGGCCTCTGGTCCTCGAAGATCTTCAAGAAAACCAACCTTCAGCATTTCCAAGAGATTTGAAGCGGCGAAAATTGGCTCATAGCCCGGAATCACTTCCCAAACATAAACGAGCAGGAAGACGTGGATCAAGGGGAACGGAAGCAGACAAAGATACCACGCCTGTTCTTCAGTCTTCTCCATGTGCTAGAGCATGTACAGATAGGCTGGTTTTAGAAGATTGTGAGGAAGAGGTAGAGGAAGAGGCAGAGAAAGAGGTAGCCCAGCCAAAGACCATAAAAGGAATTGACCGCTTAGTTGATCGCGGACTTGCGGGAAGTTTGCTTCAGATGAATCTAGGCAGTAGTTCTCGAGGTTCTCGCCTACGAATGGAATATCCTGTTAATGGTAAGTAATAATTCTGCTTATATGATAGATACATATCTAACCACGATCAGATTGGCGAGATGAAACTGCAAACTTCTCTAGTAACTCTACAGATGTCTACATGTGTGGTAGCTTGAATGGACCAGGATTATGTATACCGTTCTGTACCGCGAGTTTAAACAGTAAGTCAAACATTTCCCCCCCTTTGAGCAAAGCTGACCCATCCTAGCGAATTCTTTGACTGCTATTGGCGATGAACAAGGAGGTGTCCGACTTCTTGAAACAAAGCAGGATGAACTCCCCGCGTTTAGCGAGCCCTATGTCTCCTTCAAAGTCCACAACAATGCCATAATTGACATGACCTTTACCAACGATGACTCCCTGTTAGCCACTGCATCTGGAGACTCCACCGCCAGGGTCGTCGACATGCTCACTCAAACTACTATCGCCGTCTTGGGAAATCACTGTGCATCACTGAAGCAGGTTCGATTCCAATCTGGGGCCAACAACAACCATGTTTTAGCAACTTCAAGTAGAGATGGAAGTGTACAGATATGGGACTTGAGGTGTAAGGGTTTGGATGGTCCTGTCAACCACCTCCAGCTACCAGTCGAACCACATAGAACCACGAATCGATCCTCAGCGAAGAGCCTGCTCTATGGCCGTCCTATCAACAGCATATACGACGTTCACAGAGTCCCTTACAACGTCACCCCATCTTCCACCGACACACCTTCACGCAACGAAGTCACATCAGCCCGTGCTGGCAGCATATCAGTAACAGCCCTTCAATTCCTCCCAGCAGGTCTCGATCACCTCCTCCTTACCGCCTCCGAAATGGACGCCGAAGTTAAACTCTGGGACATCCGCACCATCTCCTCAACCCGCAAAAAGCACATCCCCCTTTCACACACCAAAAAACCAGAAAGCCACAACCAATGGCGCCATTTCGGCACCAACTCCCTCTGTCTCAACACCTCCGGCTCACGTCTCTACACCCTCTGCAAAGACAACACCGTCTACGCCTACTCGACCGCCCACCTCATCTTAGGCCACACCCCCGAACTCTCCCTCCCAACCTCCTCCCGCCGCTCCCCCCACCGCACAACCCAGGGCCTCGGTCCCCTCCACGCCTACCGCCATCCAAAACTCCAAGCCACGTCCTTCTACTGTAAAGCCGCGCTCCGCAAGTCCGTGAACGGAGACACAGAACTCCTAGCCGTAGGCTCAAACGACGGATCAGCTGTCCTGTTTCCCACAGACGAACGATACATCCCTACATCATCCACCTCACAGCCAACACCAAGTCTCCGTCGTTCCTCGTCGTCCCAGACTCTTGCGGCTAGCGCCGGTATCCCGGTTTCGAGTAATGGAACGGCGTTGATTCGTGGTCATGATAGGGAGGTAGGCAGTTTATCGTGGACGACTGAGGGCGATTTGATTACCGTCGGTGACGACTACCTGGTTCGCGCGTGGCATCAGGGATCTGGTGCACGAGAGTTGAGAATGGGTGGGGAGGGCGGCGGGAAACGGTGGAGGTGTGGATGGGCAGATGTGGAGGGGTGGTATGATGACGATGAGTTCTAGCTCTGATGGATAAGATAGGATGGGCTTGTGTTTGTATTGAGAGCGATGGCCAGAAGGGGACGGACGAGTTGGGTGTTTGTATAATTTTAGCTAGAAGCGTCTGGTGTTTGGGTATACCATGAGAATTCTTTGTTTTTATGTACTAGCGACCGGGCTGGGTGGGTGGCTGGGTTATTCGTGGTTTGGAATCACAACTAGATTTCAGCGTAGGTGTGGGTGGTTGTTAGATCAGATTAGATGAGAATGAAATTACACATTCTATAAAGGGTGAGGTCTTTGGTGGTTTCGATGTGAGATATAGGTGTTTTATTGTTTAGGTAAGTGCTGAAACGGAGAAACAAAAAAGATGTTTAGTATACGAGGTGGAGTGTTCATTATGCACAATGCTACCTACATAGAAAGTGGTATGACACCATTCGATCAGGTCCTCACATCAAACTGGCGTATCCACTACAGGATACGGAGTATTCATCAACCATCATGCAAAGTATTGGTATTATGCTAATCTACTAAACCTCCTTCCTTATATTACACACCCCCAGTCTTCCATAAACCCATCTCCATTGGACTATATACATTTCCCCCTTTTTTCTCAACCTCGTCTGGCAAATTCCACCCCTCTTCATCCTACAAAGCAAAGTGATACGTTGCAACATTGCCTTAAGATATAATACAATTATCCCTCTCAACATCACTCCCATCACTGAAACAGAAATACAAATACAACCACCGCAATCCCCACCGTTCCCAACACGGTAAATCCTCCATGGATGTCGCGTTGTGCAGTACTTTTATGGTAAACAGTCTGATTGACAGTTTGGTTTTCGTTGTTACTGAAGAAATTGCCTTGAGCACTGGTGAGGTTGCTATCTGGTGCTGTCATAACAGTGGGATCGGGTGCTGTGTTTTGGTCTGGGATGATGCAGACTGCGCCCTTTGCGGAAGGATCTTTGCATCGTAGTTTCCAATCTTCTTGTCGTTTCGGAAGAGAAGAGTTGAAGTATCCTTTGACATATCCGACCGATAATGTGGCATTTTCTATTGGTGGACCGGCGGACCAGAGGATATTTCCATTGCTCCAGTGTGTGAGGATTAGATGGCCTGGTGAGAAGGGTGTTGTTGAGGCGTCGAATCTTGTGAGTACTTCGGTGTCTGCGTAGAAGACAATTGAACCAGGTAGGTAATCTATTCGATATTTGTGATACGCGTTGGTAGGGTTGAAAGGGAGGTTGACTCTTCGATAATTCCCTGTGTCCGCGCTGTTGAATCCTGTCTTTTTGCTTTTATCGGCTTGTAGGACCAGATTTACTGGGAAAGTGTCGTTTTCGAAATTGAATTGATCGGACAAGAACTCCATGTCAATCTCCTGGCTATCGTCGAAATACTGTCAAGTCATTAGCGCTACGTATAAGCACCCGCAGTTTTGAAAACGTACCCAAAAGAACGCAGCGCATGTTCCGTTTATTGGAGTCAACTTCATCGATGCCCGATATGTTCCCCATATCATATCTGTTCTAGCAGAGTTCACCTGTCCGGTCTTGACATATCCATCCTTTGGTGTTCCAGCTTCAACCGTCAACCTCAATCCAGGATCTCCTCCAAGTTCGCCAGGTCCAGTCCAGTTTCTCGGATCCGAAATATGATTGATAACCACTTGCGACAAGGTATAGTTGATTCCTGCGAATTCATCAGCCATGATCTACGCGTAAATACAACCCACCAGTAAACGAGACCGGTGAGCATATAGCTAAGGATTTACAAACCATAAGGACCCTGCGCCGCCTCTGGGGTCATAGAATAGTTCTGTGCATACCAGTCGGTATCTAACGTTATATTGTCGATGTGAAAGAAATCAGATTCCAGGATATCAGTGAACAACCACGTTGTCGGAGCCGTGACATCGCTCGAATTGACATTCGCAGTATATCCGCATTCGCAGTCTGCGACAATCGTTTTGGCAAGAAGAAGAATCAGGAAAGAAATCATTTCAAGTGTATGAAGATTCGATTGTGACAACTTGAGCATGTTGCGCGAGAACTGTCTAATCTCGGGTCGTAGCAGATTCGCGGTTGTAAACATCCAAAGGTGAAGGACATGAATTGGAAAATATCACTCAGATCATGATGACGAGACGCGTGGGAGGAACACAAGTAGGACCACAACGGGAAGTCGCAGGAAAGAGTGACGAGAATTTGGGAATGGCAAGAGCTACCTGGTTGGAAGCGAGGGGGGTAAGTCACGATAGTTGCACGACAGACGTGGGACTGCTTCTCAACCGAAATTGGTTCGCTGGTAATTGTGACACGTTCGTGCGAATTGGTGAAATGTGTAAATTGTGATGCAGGGTTTTTCTAGTACGACTTGGATATCATGAATTTTCTCGAGTCTCCTGTTGGTTCCCGGTTGTGAGCCTCATTGCTCGCTTGTTCTAGTGAAGATCGGAGAAGATATCAAGCACAGGAGGATTAATGCTCCAGCAGTCCATTTCAGTAGATTGATGTTGTGCAGCCGTTCAAGATGTAATTTAGATTCGATTTGACCTTTGAAAGATTGAAATTCGGTCGAATTGAGTTTTCACATCTCATCAAACTCAACTCATGTAATTCACCAGCAATTTTATGCTGTGCAACATTCTGGACTGCAAAGAAATATCTGCCATGGACCATATGATGAGAAAGATATGTTAATAAATACGTCACATTTTTCAACTCCAACTCTTTTGGGTGCATCAGACATCCTGCGAGACAGATGAAAACCGAATAAATATAGAGATGCTTCGTGAAAGTTTGGTCTGTGATACATGAACGCTATCTACAAAACCCTGCATGTGTAACATATCATGATTCGTAAGAGGCCAAATGGAGCTTGAGGTCGCCTGCAAAATCTATGTTGTATATAAGTGATTGTATGCAGGTGTTCAAGACTGCTGAAAATTCTTCAGTTTGTATTTAGATATCGCTAGCAAGTTGTTCCTGGCAATTGTTAAGATTACAACTAACGGTCCTAGAAGTTTACTTCGATTTCTCAAAATGTTTTCATTTCTAATGTGCTTTTAGAGAAAAGTGAATCAAGAAAATTTGCCATTCCGGCTTCAAACTCCTAAGAAGATTCAGAACATTACTGCGATATACAACAGAAAAGATGGAGATGAACAACAGGCCAGAATCTCAAATAGTCTAGAACATTATTGCGATATGCAACAAGAGAGGAGTAAGTTGACATTCACTATCTTCCAAATCACCTAACTTCAGTTCCAAGATCTCACATAGCTTGAAACAATACTGCGAAATGCAACAAAAAGTTCAGATTCAGTTCTAGTATTCTATTTTCTTTAACAGCATGAAACATCGAAGCGATATGCGACAAAAAAAAGCCAGAAGACAAAAGCTCCAATTCACTGTTTTTTTTTGTTTTTTTAGATTATGAAGATATGAAACAAAATCACCACAAGCCGTCAATTCTTGACTCAACCATAAATCCAGTAACGGAAATCTGCTCCGGAAACATCCCTCTTTGATAGTGAGCAAATAAGATTCCTGGAATTTCACATTTTAGAATTCTTCTGGGTATATCTGTAGTTTATATATATTGTACCATTCACTTCCTCAAAAGACAGCTCACTTGCCATACGTGACCGAACGAGTTAACATCCTGCCTTCGAGAGCTCCAGTTCTTCATCTGATGTAACTTTATCAAGATACTGTTTCAAAATAATCTCACAAGTCCATCCAACTTTGTAGAAGTCAACCAGAAAATCACTAAGCACACAACCACATAAAGTCCGCCGTCGCGTCAGCAACCCAATTTCTAACAAGAATGAAATCGATTTTGACAGGAAACAAGGATGGATTGAATGGTTTGGCAGGATCAAACCCATAAACATCATTTTCGGAAGATTTACTCGTTGTAGACTAGAAGCGTAGATATTGCTGTAAAGGTGGCCGCATATTTGAAATCACTCGTGTTCAACAGCTCCTAACTAAGGTGACTGTATATCTCTTATATAGATACAAATCATCAGAATACGAATTCCATCATTTCCATCCCAGAAATCAATACACACAGCCCAGCATCACCTTTCCTCCCCCCTTTCAACCAAGCCTTCATGAATGCACAACACAGCACAAAAATCAAACATGTCTTTCCCATTGATCTAACTTAGGAAGTAGCCATATTTGTACATGCAAAAAATAATTGAGATACAGTTTTCAAAAAAAAAAAATTTACTAGAAGCTCAAAAACCTAAACATTACCATTATACGCTAGATATTCAGAACAACAACACACTTCCAATCTTACCGCTCTCCACATTTCTCGCATACAATAGTCACAACTATCGATACCTCCTCCCCACCACACCCTAATATCAACCCCCCCAGAGCACACAAACCAAACCCCAATACACCCCAAACCCCAGTATCCTCTAGCAACACCCACACTTTCTCTTTCAATTCCTTTGAATTCAAGAAATTATCAGGTACTAACTATCCCCCTCATCCACATCTAAACAAACCCTCCCTGCGTAAATTTTACTCACCTCACATCAGATGAACCCCCCCCAAAAAGAGTCCTTGAACATAGAACCACCCTCGAAAACCACAGACGCAGCATCAGCACCGGAATTCTCACCCAGCGAACAAACGCAAAATCCACAAGCAAACCCCGTATCCTCTTAAGAAAAAGACTAGCCCCGCCCCTCTCTCGTCAACCAAAACCCCCCTACTACCTACATCAGCGGCGTCGAACCGCCTAACGTTCCCACAAACCACCCTCGCTCGTGGATAACACGTGGGAATCCCCACCGTACAGATTGCCCTAAACTAGCGGATCTACTAATCACCTCTACGCCGTACGTGGCGTAATCCACACGTTTGTTGGACAAATATGGAAGGTAGAAAGGTCATGTAACCAGCTAGTGTGGATTTCGGGAATCTGGAATCCTGGCGTGGGGGTCAGAAATATTACAGAAACTTAGAATGGGATTACGAGAGTTACGGGAACACTTCACGTCACAAGAAGCGATAGACTCGTTGTCAGGTGCAAAATAAGTTCATATGCTGCGAAAACACGCTCCTAGTTATCTATACAAGCTCACACACAGCACACCGCTGATTAACCCTGAGCTATCCACTTCCATCCGTTCATCTAACCACCTGCCCTCGTTATCTCCTAAAAACCAATGCCAAACACAAAAAAGCTTTCAATCAAAGAAAATACATAAATACAAGAAAGGTATAAAAAAATTGGCCAAGACAAATTTCAAACTTCGCATACGCAACAAAGGAGAATATCAAGTGCAACCAATGATAAAAAGCAGCAAAAACAAATTGTATATCGAACAAGGTATCTGAGTGACGAGTAGTAGGCGGTCGTACAAGATTATTAAAAATAAGTGTTATGTATATCCGCAAAATTGCCCAAAACCGCCAAGCAAAAAGTGCGCAAAAAGAACCAAGAGACCAAGAGGCAGAAAACACTGAACATTGGGGGTTTGTGTGGGCCAGCCAAAAGATACATAAAACAAGGTGTTAACTTGAAGTATGAGTGCGCGAGAGATGTATAGAGGAAGAATTAAGGTAGAGCGGTTTGAACCAACTCCAGGTATCGAGTAAGAAGAAAGATGACGATTTGATGGACCCCCCAAGAGCCCCTGACCCGTATTTGATTTCCCAAGCCGAAAACCAGTGCCGACCAGTTTGTTTGTTCCCGTGCTGTTGCCCATGTACCTCGCGGAAGGGAAAGATGCAATCCAGTATATTTGCCCTGTCCAGAGAAGGAAATTGACTGTTGTAGGAGATGAAAAGAGATGCTGACGATGATATATGCAATAACAAAGGAGAGTATCGAACTATGTGCGATGATGAATTATTCGGTTCGCAAAGAACGATCTGACGGTAGGAGATGAGTGGATATCGGAGAGTCTAATTTGAGAAGGAAATGTTGTTCGACGAGAGGAGAGACGTGAGATCGTTAGGTTTGATGAGTTGAGGTTGCAAGTGATTTAGTAGACGCTATCGTCTACCTCCTCAGCGCCTTGGGAGATCATTGAAGGTGTTGAGACATCTGAAGCTTCGATGTCATCTTCGTAACCAACAAGTGCTTGAGCATGGAGGCGGAAAGAATCGCCCATGAGTTTAGTGATTCTAAGATAAATGTTAGTTAGGGAATTTTATATGAAGATTGGAGAATGACTTACCCCCACACAACAACTTCATCAAGCATGCTACCCCAGAGGCGGGCAACAGTAGAGCTGAGTTTGTTGTCAGACCCGGAAAGTGAGTCGTCATCGAAGAGTGCTCGAATCTTGTTGTACATGGTCATTTCCTCCTCAGTTGCTGGCTCTTCGTCATGTTCCAGACGATAGAGCCACAAGCTGAGGATGACCATGAGGTCCAAACCACAAAGTGGATGTTCGACACTCCAGTTGGTAGCTGAAGTTCGTGCAACCCATCGAATGCCTTGGAGGGCAGCTGTCTCGATGCAATTAAAGCATTCCTGGATGACTTTGATCATCTCACTGGATCGCTTAACCTTGTCTCTGGCACTTGACATCGCTCCAGCTACTTCGTAAGAATCATGGTACCTCAAAGCTTCTTGGATCGACTTCAGGTCAACTTCAAGCCGGGCACGAGCATTGCGGAACATGGCCATGGCATTGAAAATTAGTGGGTGACCTTTATGTGGCGCACTGAGAGGAACCGAGACCGCCTCAGGCTCACAAAGATCAAGCGATTTTTCCCACGTCTCCAATGCGAGGCGCAACTTGTATTCGGTCACAACATCTTGCAACGCTTCGGGGCTGCGCTTGTGATACCAGACTTCGAGGAAGAGAGCATTGATCATCACACGTGTGGCAAAGGCGCTGTAACGTAGTGATTCACCTTGGAAAAGGTTGTCATGAGCCTCCATGAAGGATGCGGCCTGCGAAGATCGGAGATCCTCAGCCCAGGTCGCTTCGTCAACTACATTGAGGTTCCACATGGCTTCGGTAGATGGAAGAGCAAGATCCTCAAATTCGTTGAAGCTGATGGCAGGTGTGTGATTGTACGTCAATGTCAAGAGTCCGAAGAAGATGTAGACAGCGTAGTATGTTCGTCTGCACCCCTCGTCTTCAACCCACTCAGCCCGAGTAGGAGATGCACCCTCACGAGCTTCTGTTCGAAGTTTGAGCTCATATCTGTTACCAGCGACCATGTTGGCGAGTAAACTTTTGATCGAACAAGCCCATTCGAGTCCTTTTGGATCTCCACTCCAGCTGGCAAAGATCATGTTGAGCAGAGAACTTTGCATGGTCCACAAGGGACATTTACGGGAGCTGAAGTTCTCCTTGTTCTGCAAGAACTGATTAACAAGGACTTTGGATCCAATGTGAAGAACGTAGGCCTGATCTTGGTCAAATGCATACAGCGCACCAATTGACAAAACAGCCAATAGTAACGGCGCAGATACCTGAGTAGGCTGGAATGATGCCGGATGCAAGAATGGCAAATGGTGGTGGAACAACGTGAAGTAGGTCGAGAGATACCTGTTCAAAGACGCGATGCCAGGAAGACGGAAGCTCTCAGGGATTGCGCGCTCGCTATCATTGTTACGAATGTTGTCCAGAATGGTGTTCCGATCGTCATCATTCATCACTTGAGGCGCCTTGAGAGATGGATCTCCGCTGCGGGATTGAATGGGAGACTGTGCGCTTGGAGTCGCGGTACCTGATGGTGGCAATGAGTTGATCATATGCTGTAGAGCTGGTACGAGTCCATTGTAGGTGGCAGCCGATTTCTGAATTGGAGGCAGCTGATTTGGATGTAACATCGAGCTGGCGCTTGTGAAAGATGCATGTGATTCTTGAGACCCGGAAGCATTGGAAGTGATGGAGTGAGACTTTGGCTCCGTCACTGACTGTGGCATGAATTCCCACGGAACCTGAGGGAGCGAGATCGCGCCTGAAGGATACGTGACAGATGGTTCCATGAGCGGGGTTCCGTTCTGAGAGAAAGCCATTCCAGGTCGATTCTCATATGGGCCCACGCCCGCAGACCGCATCGCTGCCGTTGCTTTGTGGTGGAGGTCGGTCATCAACATCGCGGCCGTCTCGAGATCCACCATGCCATCACTGCTCGCCTCGATCTGCTCAAGAGCAGACGCGTCGATAGAAATAGCGGACTTTGATGGACCAGAAAGAGAGCTGGTCTTTGGGCCCGCCCGTCGCTTGATGTCGCTGTGAAGAGGGATTCCTCCGTCTTTGGCGTGCACAGTCCGATCATGTCGAAGCAATAAATCTCGTCGCACAAAGGTACTTCTACACTTCATGCACTTGAAAGGGCGTTCTTTGGTATCTGCAGCGAAATGGTCAGCATGATGTGGAGATAACGATGGTTGGTGGGTAGGTCGCGGCCAGGAGATGCGAACAAAAACTTTGTTCGCACGCGACCCGAGAAAGAGGGGAAGTGCAACAAGCATAACACAACAACTTACGTGATCTCTCGTGTCTACTCCGATGTTCACTCCTGCTGAATGCTCTGTTGCAAAACTGGCACTTGTATTTCTTCTCTGGCGCGATGGACGATTTGCGAATGGTGGTTGATGCAGCGGCCATCGGGGGGACGGTCATGCTTGCGACAGGCATTTTGGCGGTGCTTTGGCGATGGCCTCGATGCTTGTCCTTTCACAGAGCGATGGTTGAAATCGTCTGGTTCGCGAGCGTGGGCGTATGTTTTAAAGTGTGAATGAAGTGCGTGATGATATCGTGTTCATTTGTTTGATTTGTGTGTGCATCGATGGGTGTGTTGTGGTATAGGTGGTGGCAGCAGCCAATATTCGCGATGGGACGAGTTCTCACGGAGGCGAGAAGTGGTCGCAGTCGCGTTCGACAGATGGGCGCGGAGGGATGGATTAACGGGCGGAATGTGCGTCGCCGGTGTGAGTGATGGTCGAGTCGAAGTGAAGTCGACGATGAAGACAATTAAAGTCTATGATGACTTTTGTTGATGGATGAGGGGTGGTGGGAGAAGAAGAGGGGGAATGAAAGGAATGTAGGGAGGGACGAGAAAAAGAGGGATGGACGAAGTTTGGGGGGTGCAGAAAGACAGGAGTGCGAGAGTGCCACACATCCTGGGAGCACGGCGACGAGCTAATGGGGTCGCGGACCACCGTCCACGAGGGTGTGGATTTAGCAGACAATGCATTGTCCCGAGTACGTTTGCTGGCAGGACCCCGGGAAATTAGATTTACCGCGGCCGACGGCAGAGGACGGGCGGGACCCGAGGGTGTGTTCCTAATGCCGTCTGGGATCCGGGTATAATTTACCAACTATCAGCCACACACCCCTCCTCTCGCTCCCAAGCGAAATGCCCCCGCCATCCTTTTTACTGACCATTCTGACCAGTGATTCTAGAAGACTAGGGGGTACGATCCGCAAAAGCAGCATGAACTTGGAGGGGGTTAAAAGGGGGATATCATCGTGAGTCCAGGATATCGTCGTATTTTGGGATACTTACCAAACGGTAGTGACATTTCGGGTGCGGAACGTAGTGGATTGGGAGACGTGATGAACCTCTCAGGCCTCATCAGGCGATCCTCGTTGCCCCAATAGTAGTGTCGTACTGGAGAGCCAGTACTCGCGAACTTGTCACTGTTCAGAATCTCTGTCAAGCTGGCAAGAGGTAAAAGATACCTAGAAGAGCGGTCACTCATCCCATACTCACAAGTATCTCTGAGCGGTGACGACGGAGAAAGTACTTTGCATCAACACTACTGCGCTCAGCATCAGCATCTCTTGCGTCCGGACCCCTCGCAACGCGCCTTGGAAGCTGAGAGCGCGGTCTGAGTTACTCAAAGCTAGCGAGCATGACATCCAACCACTATCGCAAGGCGCCGGAAATCCCGTCACTTGATGTACTCCACAGAGTCCACTGGCCTAGCAGCTCAGGAACACCGGAAGAGGGGCCACTGGGGCAGCAGCCCTGAATATCTTCATCATAGTCCGTTGGTAGTATGAACTATGGCCAACTAGACTTACCACGCTGGGCCGTGACGGAAAGCGTCAAAAGTTCCCCTGACGAGACGAGGAGGGGCAGAGGGACACTTCACTCTCGAAAGTCATGCGATATCTTGTCCGCGAGGAGAAACCAATAAGAAAGCGAGCAAGAAAGACAAGCGTTTGCTAAATATCGACGGCCATGAGGTTATATTTACTTCTGACATGCAGCATTAGCATAGCAGTCAGAAGAACAGAAGGGTGTGGTGGTGTACGAAGGATTTGAGGCCATCATTCTGAAAATAGGGACTTTACCAACACCCAAAGTACAAAATGTGCCAGAGGAGGGGAAGCACTGAGGCTATGGTGGACGACAACGCAGAGTTGCAGTTGTCAGCGCAACATGGCTTTAGAATAAGCGAGTGGACTCAGGGCACCGAAAAGGGGGGCAATTCGGATCATGACCCCCACCAGTGGTACCGGCCGCGACCGTTCTCCTTCCAAACTGGAGCCGGTGGAGGGGCAAAATGTACTGGCTGCGTGGTACCTGGGTGCCTACTTTCGTATGTGCTTCTCACCATTCATATCCTATCAAGCTCCCGTGGAGCTTCACACAGCATTCAAAACCCAAATAATGAGCTGCAAGGGACTGTGATTGTTGCACTTACAACAGCTCAGAACCTCTCGTTTTCGTCTTTAGTCACGTAAACATGCACAGGAAAAGCAGCCGCTTGCGTATCACATTGTTGAGAAGATGCAATGCTCGCATGGTTTGGATCTGATCGCTCTCGCTTACGAGAAGCACAGTAGGGAGAGCAAGCGACGATTATTGACAACCAACTAACATTTGCTTTTCGTGAGAATTGGAAAGAAATCTCCATCGCTCCAAGGCGTGTTTTCTTTTGGCATTTCTTCGGATTCTGACTCCAGGAGTCTTTCTTCCCTACCCCTCTTTGGCGTCACACCTCACTCAAGCTCGAATTCCCCTCTTTTAGCACCGCTGACCGAGGAATCGTTCCTGATGGCCGGAACGTCATGTGCAGAGCGGGGAGCTGGACTCGTGGACATCAAGGTTAAAGAAGTGCCAGCTCATAAAGACAGAATAGCGGTCACAAATCGCGACAATGGCCCCTCTTACTAACCCCTCCAAGAACGACAACAATGCCTTCTTGTCGGTCTGGACCAGATAATATCTCGAGATAAGATCTTGAAGTGCAAAATCCGAAAAATCACATCTCACCGCTCACAGAGACGCAATGCGAACCATGTCGATACATCCCATCCCATGCATCTCGTACTGGTACCGGTACGGAATACCTTCGCAGCACTCCCCTCCGTGCCGACCAGCGATGCTGCTTTTGAAGCCACAAGAAAAGACCACAATCAGCACGCACATATCGTATCTCGATATTCGTCGCGCATCAATTGGTCGTGGCAACTGAGACGCGTGACACGTCCTCTCCCTCGAAAAAGCACAAAGAAAACCAACAATATGTGCGCGACATCGACTTGCGCACTTGCACATTGTCGCTGAGAGTCAATGTAAAACGCGCCTGTGCGCGTCTATGCCTTCGATGCCCTCCCAGCAAGCTTCCCCTTTCCAGACGAACGAAGATCCGAATTTCCAGCAAACAAGAAGCGACTCATCTCATCATCGCCGCTAGAGAAGGAAACGAATGCCAGGAACAAGCTGCGAGCCCCGCTAGCCCAGCTCCACCCGCCGCATGGAAAGCACCGCACGCCTGCACTAGGAAGCGTTCCCCGGAACCCGTTTTTAATCCTGGGAGAAGGTTCCGAATCGAGCGTGTTTGGGCCCGGTCGAGGGTGACGGGGGTGGAAATTGATTAGTTGTGGATGATGGGTGAGGAAGATGTTGCGAGAGTGTTACGATGAAGGTAGCAAACGAAGATTTATCATATTGACCGGTTTTACTCGAGCTACAGAGAATACAACTTCACAATATCTGTTCTAGAGTTGTTCTTTCAACATCGCAACAACCCTCCAGAAACGAATCTACCGCCGGCACATTTCGCAAACCTCAAAGCGTTTCCTTCCCCTGGTCCCGCCTATTCTATGGAAGCCCACACCAACTCCTTCTCTGAGGTTTCCATTCGGGGATCCTCATTCTCACACCCGCTTTCAGCTTGAATGCCCGACCTGGAAATCTCCCAAGTTGCCCAACCCACGGACGTGTCTGGAAATTTTGGGGATTTCGATGATGAGATTGTCGGGTTTCGGTGGGATGATTGAGGTTTGGATATCTTCATCGTGAACGATTTGGGATTTTCAGATGCTATTCCAACAACGCCAACCTAAAATCCCTACAACTAACTTACAATTTAGAACCGGCTCCCCATCCGAGCCTTCGTGCTCGTGTTGGTTATAACATTAATACATATCTTATCACTTTCACCTATCCATAACCCTTCACCCCTCCTCGCCTCCATTAAAACCCACAAACCCTCATCCATAAATTTCATTTATTTATGTAAAATGGCCAGACTTAATAAACGGCAGAGGGGGAGCTCGCGGAAGGGAGGGGCCGAGCCCGCACTAATCAATCAATCAATCCGAAATGTACCGTTTTGATTTGTTGTGGATCGCGCGAGGGAGGTCCCGGGGAGTTGGTTTATGGGCCTGGGATTTTGAGGTGAGGTGAGATGGAAGGGGAGGTGAGGTGAGGTGAGGTGATGTGTACAATGTATATTTGGTATTGTGGGAATGGTTGTGAGGTGTAGTGGGGTGGAAAGGACGGTGAGCTTTACAAAAAGTATACTCAGTGCTTGGGTATGGAGAGAGCGGTGATGGGAGCGGTCAGAGATCGAGAAGGTGAGAAATAGTAAGGGTAAGGAGAGCGGTCAAAGGTAAGTTGGTTTTTCTTACGTAGAAATACGATACCAACACTTCTTTTTCTTCACGTCTGGGTTTCGAGGTCTTATCTACCTACCCAAGTAGCACGTACTTCACAGATTAGGGCGCTGATTACCTACCCAAATGCTCCCCCACGTGGTAGCGGGGTTATCGACGTGGGATATCAAGTTGTCTCCTCTTCGTTCACTAATACTTTTTTCTCTTACAGCAGACTTATTTCGGGCCCATCCTCAACTCTTCTCGAGGATAATCCGAATCTAAAGGATAAAAGTAAGAAAGTTTCTTATCTCAAAACCGACCCAAAAAGGCAGGTTGGAAATAGATGGACAAGGTAGCCATTCCTTCACCTCGAAACATTTTGGGTGCTCGGTCTCGGTACTTTGAAGTACGAGTATTTGTCAGGGATTTGTATTTTGAGATGTTGATTCTAGTGATGGGGGGGTTTGAACTGTGTAGTGAGGGGACTGTTTGCTTTGAGGTGAGGAGGGGTGAGGTGTGACATTTCACGTCGAATTCAAGACGAGAGGAGAGGATGTGCCGTCGAGGAAAAGCTTGAGCCGCGGTTTGGATGTTCATCCGATCTTTTCTTACCTTGCAGCAGATTAAATCCTTCAGAAGCTTAAGGTTGGTGCTAGATAGTGTCATACTTTCTAGTTTCATGAGCTCTTTTTACTCTTTTCTCCTTTACTTTTCCTGACCTATTCCTTCCATACTACCTCTCCCTCATTTTCTCCCTCCGTCTACCCTCCTTCCTATCAAATCCCTATATCCTTATATCTCCTCCCCTTCCCCTCCCCTCATCCCATCCACCCCTCAAAATCATGGGGTCACACTCGGCAACCATCCACGTGCATCTCATGCACATCAATATCGAAACCTCAAAAATCGGTCCGACCGAAGACGCGGATTCGAGGCGTAACCTCCATGTTCTCCAGTACTCTACACGTATCAGCAGTGGACTTTGTATATGGCTTATGATATCTCGGAGGGAATGGAATTCCATCCACTATATCCGCGGTCAGTCTATGTGGTTATATTGTAGGAGGCTCTAACACAGCAGCAAGCTGAGGGAAACTCGTCCTCGGGAACCCAAATCCAGCATGCAGCCCAGTCGAAAAAACGTGGTAACCCATTCATTCTAGAACGCGGAGACTGTCTACCCGCGACGAAGCGTGAGGCCTGATGTAGAAATGCCATGTGGCTCGCGAATAGGAGGGTGCGAGTTTCATGTGTGTAATGAGGCAAAGCCCTGGATTATGGTGCTGACGACTGAGATTGATGATGCTATTTACAGCGGGGAGAGCAGATGGGTTGCAGAAGAGGCCAGAGGGATGCGGGTTGTAATTCTCCGAGTCGCATGAAGATGTGTGTGTGGGAAAAACGTTTTTGGGAGATCGGATCGGTGATGTACTGTACATCGATACTGGATGGGGTGTGGTGGGTTTGTTTGGCTGTGGGAGGGCGAGATTTGTCTAGCTCTTGGAAAGGGACATCCTATGAGATGTCGTTTGGAGTGATTGATTTGATTCCTGAGAGATCTGGTTCTTCAATTTGAGATCGGGCTCTGCAGGTGATGTATCGAGTTAATCATGGGTTTCCGATTCCTTTGATCTGAGGCCATTTTGAGATATCGAAATCCCCAAATACTGGCGATTGTTGCAGAACAGGTAGGCACAACATATATTAGGGCTTTTCTCTCAGCTCAACGTCTCCAAGATATGGGAACATTCCGGTCTGTGTGCCTAGATGGTGCACTTGAAAGTTGTTAGTTGATTTCTTCAAGGAGAGTCGAGCTGAAGATACCTCGTGTTTTCCTCGCATGCGGAATCCCACCTGACAACGTGCAGAACATTGCGTGTTGCTGCAGCGAAACGATACGCTAGGGACTGTATGTCTTGGGATTTAATTAATATTTATCGATTGGAAGAGGCTGTGCTTTGAATTTTGTGTTCGAGTACAGCTCGTTTTTGGTTTAGAAATAGAAATAGATGGGAGAGAAAAAGGGGCAAGGAAATATGAGTTTCGGCTTCTACTAATCACTTAATAGCTATATCGGTAAGATCGTATTGAATTGTCAAGACCATTTCTGCAATAAGCCTCCGATTCAATAATTGCCGAAAACATCAATTAATACGACAGCGCCAATAATCAAAATCTCACGCGTTTTGTGTAGTCTCATGCAACAACCCACAACTTTTCGAGTCAGCCCTAGCACGTCGGTCGTCGCAGCAGCAGGTTCTCAGTGCAACACTGACTCAATGTGCTGCATCAAAGGATGAGATATAAATATGTCAGCGAGTGTCTGCAGCAGATAGTTGACAGAAGCACATGAGATATGCACACGCTGTGTGAATTGACCTTTCTTGACTCGAGACTGAGGAGTAGATCAGCTCGTGTGCCAGACTAAACCATAAGAGATAGCAAGCTATGATAGAAGCCATTATGAGTGAAATGCAAAATGACAATAATAAGCAGGGCAGATTCAATTGTGCAGATTCTAGTCTTGTTTCTGCTCCTGTTCTGCACACGACATGCGGAGGAGGGGAGCATAATTTGTAACGTCGCTGCCGTCTGACTTAGTTCTACGCTTCGCTCCGTAACTGCAGAACTTATTATTCTTCCTTCCCTCAACAACATTTTTACGTGTATTTTCCCATTATCCTTTCCCTCTGCCTTTCCCATCCATTGTTACCAATATTTTGGCAAGCGCAGCTGGGGAGTCGACATCGAATCACCACGCCCAGCAAACCCTCAAGCCACTGCAACCCTTCCATACCACCAAGCACTGCAAGCAGGGCCCATTCTTCACTCATCGTCCTCAACGCTCCACACCACTCTCAGACTCTCAGGCTCTCCCACCAACAACCTTCCTCTCTCCGCACCCGCCCGTCGAGCGTGAGAGTACTCGAGTAGAGTGCGTTCTGTCCTGTCCTGTCACCTCAGATCCTCGCCGCATCAAAGAACAAGTCACGAGCGCGACTCCTGCTTGTTTGCGTTGGTCGTTTCGTCCACTACCCACCACCCACCACATCCATTGACCATTGAAACATCAAACACCACTCTACACGCACCCATACGATACCGCGTCTAATCGACTCCTCCACCGACTACCTCCCTCTCCCTTTCCGCCCCTCCACCGATCACCTCAAACCCTTCTGCCACCCCTCCTCTCACACCTCGCACCTCCTGAGTGCTGATGGGAATAGTATCACTTCTCACCACCTTCTTCCCTCCTCACCCAACCTGCCATTGCACAGACTCGCCCTCGCCCTCGCCCTCGCCAGACACTCGCGGCCTCGCACACACATAGTGCTGGCTGCTTTCCTCCCTCCCACCTGTCAGATCGCTTCAAGACAACGGCGGCTTTTCCCACCGCGCTGCTGTGACTGCCAAATCTCAGCAAATCACCGCTGCTCGTTGCACATTACCCGCCGCGAGACACCTTGCAGCGACCACTCACATCGAGATTACGACCAAACTCCCAATATAGCAGAGGTGCCTCTTTTTATCCTGCCCCTCCATACCACTCTACGATACACATACTGCACCACAACCGCATTGCACGCGACGACTACGAACCCTACGACTTGATGACCACCCAAGACATCACGACTCTCACCGACGACGAAATCGCCGCGACAATGAATTGACGCAGCCTGTTGCGCCCAGTAGTACCTCACGATGCTTATGACCATCCGCAGCAACGGCATACTCTCTGACCAGAAGAAGAACCCAACTTTCAATAAGAACTATACCACCAACAAGACGCAGATCGCCAACTCAGTCACACAATTCTCCGAAGAGACCCCGCGACAATTTCAGTCGCCAGTTCGATCGCAACAGTCTTCATCGCCTTCCTCTAACAATAGTTTCGTAGCTGCTCAAAGGACCAAGGCTGCCGTTAGGCGCAGATCGCCACCTGTGATGAACGGCCTCCTAGGAAATGCGCCGCAGCCGGTGATGTACGTGCGAGCGCTCTACGATTATGAAGCCGATGATCTTACGAGCTTGAGTTTTCACGAAGGAGATGTTATACAGGTTATCACACAGCTGGAAAGTGGATGGTGGGATGGAGTGATCAACGGTGTACGAGGCTGGTTCCCCAGCAACTATTGTTCAGTCATAGTCAACCCTGACGATCCAGCGGCCGGAGATTTAAATGGATCGAGCCATACCGACGACGAGGAAGCCGAGGATGAAGACGAGTCGGAGGAATACGAGGATCAGTACGAGGACGACGAGGGTGATTCTGGAGGAGACGATGGCTCGCAGCTACCTATGGGGATGACCAATGGTGATAGGGTTGATAGGACGAGAGCTGATTTCTGGATACCACAAGCAACACCCGATGGCAGATTATTTTATTTTAATACTGAAACAGGCCAGAGCAGTATGGAGCTGCCGCTCGAGTCGCCTTCCTCTGCGAACGAAGATGGCCCTCGGAACCGTATGAATGTTAATATTCCAGATAAGACCAGGCCACCACCAGAAATGATGGCGCGAGGCTATATTCAAGAAGAGGACGACTCTGGTAACTCGGCTTCGGAACGCGAAGGTGAATCCTTGATGGGCAATGTGATGGTATGGTTCAACAGCGCAAGCTTCACCTTCACCTTCACTACTAATTTTTTCACAGCCAAGATCGCGACGGTCGTTCGTTTCCGGTGGTATATCGCCAGCTACTTCGATGGATTCAATCAACGGGAACTCTCCTGCTGTTCGAACACGCGGTGATCCTTACATAAATACCAATTTGTCGATAGGAAATTCCATGGCGATGACAGGGCCTTCAACAACCTCGTTCACCTCTGCCCCAGCGACGGGTCCTCCACACGCTGCAACATTGCCGCGCTCATTCTTCGACGATGGATCAGTGGCCCCACTAACGTGGAATAGATTGGTATCAAATATGAAGGTAGCCATCGATCGTTATAGGGAATCAATCATCAATGGGGAGCGTTCAGAATATGTGCGCCGAGCGGAAGATATTTCTGACCATCTACGATTACTCCTTGCTGCCGGATCGGGGACAACTGACAATCATTCTGGACAGCCATCTATCATCTCAACTAACAAAGCACTGTACCCTCACTTCCGGGACATGATGTCGAAATTCTCTAAATTGGTTATTTCATCACATATTGCCGCTGCAGATTGGCCTAACGCAGAATCATATCAGAAGTGTCTCCAAGAAGCCGATGGAGTACTTCAGGGAGTCTTTAGTTACGTAGAAGTTGCGAGACAGCAGCGCGGGGAAGATATTCCCCGCTTGTTACCGGGATTCGTTATTGGAAGTACTACTGGAGGCAGCTGGCATAACAATGGACTGGGATCCAGGGACCCGCTGAAATCGAATTTCATTGACGAAGATGAAACTCACCCGGAGCCTTCTGCCACCCTCGACCCGCAGTTAGCGGCTCGACTCGATGACCTCAAAAGGATGTTGATCGCTAGTATCAGAAAGTTGGAAGAGCATTTGCTTGTCACGGAGAAGATCATCACGCCTTACAGGCACGAAATAATTGGAAACAATGTTTGCTCGGCCTGCAAGAGAGTATTGGAAGTGTTCAAACCTTGGATTGCGGCCATTGAGTCTGTCAATCTGTCATCACTGGCAAACTCGTTCCAGAACCCACAACTTGTAGACTTTTCGGCATACAAGCAGGGGTTATATGACAATATGTCTGATTTGATCCTGGGCTGTCAAGCAGTGGCGGGACCTTTGGGTGATGAATGGGCTGAAGTTCGCGGAGAATCCTTGGAAGGCCGACTGAGTTATGTTCGGCAATGTGCCAAGCAGCTAGAAACAAATTCATCGCATGTGGGCTTTTCACTTCAACTTTTGGGTGAACAGGTACAAATGGCAATACAACAAGGAAACCGGGGCCCACCTCCGCGAGAAGACAGTCGTCAAGGGGTCTCGCGAAGAGCAGAGAGTATATCTTACGAGCCATCACACCAGAGAACTGGTTCTGCTCGGGTCCAGGCAATAATCCGCCCAAACCTTACGCCTGCGCCGAATTCGTACTCCGTAGGGGATGGAGCAGTGCCATATCGGCCGGGTGATAACAAGAAGGCTGAAAGATTCTTTGGTGAATTACCTCGTCACGGAGAGCCAATCTTCGAGCCAATTCAAAAAGATCCCACTGATGATACTCCAGATTGTCTGAAGCTTGATCACGAAGATGACATCGCATATGACAACAAAACTCAGCCGCCTACATTGAAGGGAGGAACTTTGTTGGCTCTAGTTGAACAGTTAACTCGGCACGACAGACTGGAACCGACCTTTAACAACACTTTCCTACTGACATATCGATCATTCACCACTGCCAGAGAACTTTTTGAACTGTTAGTAAAGCGATTCCAAATCCAGCCTCCGGAAGGTATGGCTCAGGGAGACTATCTGGCTTGGAGGGATCTCAAGCAGAAACTCATCAGACTGCGCGTTGTCAATATCCTCAAGAGTTGGTTTGAGTCATTTTGGATGGAAGATCAAAGCGAGGAGACGAAAGCCCTCGTGCGTGATGTTTACACGTTTGCTAGAGATACTGTCAAAACCGCTGAGACGCCAGGATCCGGTCCATTGATGACGGTTTTGGAGCAACGACTTCGGGGGCAAGATCCAACAGCCAGACGTTTAGTCTTGACACTAAGCCAATCTACACCTCAACCGATCATGCCCAAGAACATGAAAAAGCTCAAATTTCTGGATATCGACGTTACCGAATTTGCACGACAGCTGACTATTGTTGAATCAAAACTCTACGGGAAAATCAAGCCCACAGAGTGCTTGAGTAAGACATGGCAAAAGAAGCTTAGGGATGGAGATCCAGAGCCTGCGCCAAACGTCAAAGCTCTTATTCTCCATTCGAATCAATTGACGAATTGGGTAGCAGAAATGATTTTGACACAATTGGACGTCAAGAAGCGGGTTGTGGTGATTAAGCATTTTGTTCAGGTAGCAGATGTATGTTTTCGGCTCTTCTAAATATCTTCAATCTCTAACATAAACAGAAATGTCGGCAATACAACAATTACTCGACTCTTACATCCATCATCTCGGCTCTAAGCACAGCACCGATCCATCGCTTGAAGCGTACATGGGATCAAGTCCCCGCCAAGACGTTGACCGTGCTTGAGAGTATGCGAAAACTTATGGGTAGTACGAAGAATTTTGGCGAATACAGAGAGAGCCTGCATCTGGCAAACCCTCCGTGCATTCCTTTCTTTGGTGAGTAAATCCCCACGTTTGGATGTGTCAATTCTTACAATCTAGGTGTTTATCTGACCGACCTCACATTCATTGAGGATGGTATTCCATCCATCATCAAGAAGTCGTCCTTGATAAATTTTGCGAAGCGTGCCAAGACAGCCGAAGTTATTCGTGATATTCAGCAGTATCAGAACGTGCCATACTCACTTCAGCCCGTAGTTGAGCTACAAGAGTATATTTTGAGTAACATGCAAGCTGCGGGAGATGTGCATGAGATGTACGAGAAGAGTCTGTCGGTAGAACCTCGTGAGAGAGAGGATGAAAAGATAGTGAGGTATGTTAGACTGCAGCCTACAACGTATTACGGCACTTTCATGCTCTAGTAGCCGCTGGAAAAATGAAATGCTTGCAAGCCATCTTGGCCAAGAAACGTGCTTACTCGTGGAATAACAGAGTTTTGGCCGAATCCGGATTCCTCTAAATGATCCCCGATCAATAGCACAACCTTATGCTACACACATACGCCACGATCTACCCACCACGGACCGCACCTGCGGCATATATTTAATGGCTGTACGATACACATATCCTTGCAACCTGATTACAAATTTGCTATTTAACACACGAACAAGCTAGAACAAATCTAGCTATTGCAACCTCACCCACACCAATTATTTCGATACCCGGCATTTTGAGGTGTTTTAACTAGTGCGGCTCACATGGTCCTCGGAATTTTTTGCTCGCTCACAAGGAGGAGATTTAACCGTGTGTGGTACAACCACACCACACCCATCTCGATGATGGAAAACATGAGCAGGCACGACATAGATGGCGTTGAATCATGGAATGGATTGATTCTTTTTTTCTTCTCACTTACACAATTACAAATTACCAATTTTGGGACTCAGGGTTTGGGGTTCTGGGGCCCCAGATAATTATAAACAAGTTCAAATTATGATTTGGGAACCGTTTAGGGATGATGGCGTCAGTGGGGATGGCTTGAATGGGGCCAGGGAATTGACATGAATGTAAATTCGTGGGTTATGTTAGTTAGGGAAATGGTAGAACTTTTTTCAAACGTTCCAATTTTGGTTTTTGGGGGGGGGGGGGGGGTTTCTTGGTGATTCGCGGGTTTTGTGAGATGCTGTGATGTGATGACGAGGCTTGATGGGCGTATGGTGAGTTCGATGGGGATGGGATGGCATGGATGGCATGGGGAGGGGAGGGGGTTGCTCGGTTATTATACTAATATACCTCCACTGCTGTTGCCTACTTAATCGGTCTTGGCCGTTTATGTTGAGATGGGGGAGAAGGACTTGGAGCAGTCATGGGTATTTTTTACTTGGTAAGGTTGAATTAGCGAAATGCGGGGTGCATATGCCCGGGGATGGGGAGGTTATGGGTGAGTGTGTGACTGGGGCGGATGGATGTATATTGGGTGGATGGATGTATATTGGGTGAGTGGATATAGGGTGGGATGGATACAAGGCGCGTCGCGGGTTGGATGAGGTTGTGTGGTTGTAGAGTTGGGTGGTGGATAAATGCTTAGGAAGTTGGGTGGGTGAGTTTACCGGGAAATTGAGGTTGATGGGCCGCTAGATGGATGGATGGGTGGGTGGTTCGTTGGGTTGTTTGGTTTTTTGGATCTGGAGGTGAGAGATTTGGGAGGGATGGAGGGATGTTGGGTATGAGAGGATGCTGTGGTGTGGGAATGGGAATGGGAGAGGTTGATTTGATGCGGGAATGAAGATCCCTTTGAGTGGGTAATCTGTGCTTAGGTTTTTCCAATGGTGTGGTACCGAGACGGCTAATCACCGACCTAGGTCATATGCATTTCCCCATTGCTTCTAGGGTGCACGTGGGACGAGAAGAGGATGCTTTGAGGCTTATGGTCGATGGACTGCGAGCGGGTTGGTTGGGGGTGGCTTGTTTCTGGTGGATGAATGGGAGGTATTGTGTAGGTTTTTTTTGTGGGTGAGGGATGGATTGGATAGTAGGTTTTTCTTCCAGTTGCGTGGTACTGAAGCGGGTAAATGAGTTTTCGTAGCTTTTATTTTCGTAGCTTTTATTTTCGTAGCTTTATGTATTTTTGTATGTGTGAGAGAAGGATGCTTGATAGACTGTACTTGCTAGGTAAATTGTTGACGACTTTTAGTGCGTTAGTAAGTACATGTTCACATGCTCATACATCTATGTCACAGGATAAGTCCTAGTGCTACGATATAGACTCGCTATCCTATACGATTTGCTCTTGTATTTTTCTGGTTCTTTTACTCAACGTTTTCTTTTTTCACAGTGTTCATGTAATGATGGAAAGGCAAGAGTGGTGCTGAATGATGAGGATTGCCACGGTGTGTTGATCCTATTGGGAAATGGGATAAGCGAGGGGTCGGGGGTATACAGAGTAGAGGGTGTATGATCGATGTAAGATTTTGTTATGATGGGATGTAGGGCTAGAGGCGAGATAGAGACTGTAGGATGCTGGAGATATGGGTTTATAGTAGAGGGAATTATCAAGGTAAGTAGAATGTCGACTTAAGTGCAGGAGTTGGACGTGTTGAGAGGTCACGACGATTTATCGCAACTTAGACTCACTCATTCCTCTGGACTTGGGAGGTGCGAGCTATTTTCTGGCCGAAATATTGTGGGAATAAAATCTGGTAATCGTGATTTGGTCGGATGAGCGATCTAGTAGTTGAGTCGTTTAGTGTAAGTGATTCTGGGCTGGAAACTCGGTATTTCTTGTTTTAATCAGAACTAGCTTGTAACAGGATGTGTGTTCATGGCCAGGCTTTCTCTCTTGTCTGCATTATGATTGTTTCATTACATTTTCTTGCATATTCACTCAAGATGTCCTCTACTTCATGCCAACCAGTTTATTGATTTCTTACTTGATACCATTCTTAAAATCCAGGTGATTACTCAATCAAATCTAACGCTCTTCACTGCTCAAACTGTGCACCAATACCATAATAATAACCCCCGGGACTACACTCATGTACATTACCGCTATCAACACTCCAACTCACAGGTTCATATTCGGTTTCTGTCTCCTGAAGCTCTATACAAGTTGAACCACTCATAACCGACGCTTCACTCAAGTGATCGACATTCGGCCAGCTCTTTCCGTGTACATTGATGAACGCTTCTTGCATATGAGAAGACACATCAATGCCTAAGCTTTCTACACCGGCTATGATATCGTTGGTGTAAGTCGCGGAATTGTGCTCTTGGTAGGTTGCGCTTGTGTTGTGATGTGAGATCTGAGAAGAGGGTAAGGTGATGTCTTGGCGCGTTGTGTAATAATTCGACGATCTGGAGGATGAGATTGAGCCTCGTGAGTTTTGGTAGAGCGTGTTGTTGTCTTTGGCAACTTGTTGAGATGTTCCGTTCGACTTGGGACCCGAATTTCGCTTTTTGGGAGTTGATTTTGAATGATTGGAGTTTGTCTGAGAACTTCTGTTGTAATTGATTACTACTGATGAACACAATTTGAGTGAACCTTATCATATTCCTACCTGTGGGATCGAGAGGGGTTCTGATTCTTTGAACTCATTGTTGTAGTTACGTCTTTGAATTTGCGTGAAGGAAAAATTTGTGTGGACTTTGTAAGATAATTGATTTATAGAAAGTAATTTGGATCGAGATAATCTCCTTACTTTATAGGATTTATCTGGAAAAGCCACCACTGCAGCAAATGGTGGCCTCAACTGTAGAAAGACACAAAAGCCGGGAGGCCTACAACCTCCTCACTTTGCTTGAAGATGAGGAGGCCAACCTTGGAAAGTCTATCTAGTGGCCCCCTTGTCGTTAAAAGTTGTAGGCCTCCACGTGTTGAACACAAGGAGGCCACCAGGCCAAGCCTTCTCCGTCTTATTATCTTATTAACAATCAAAGCTTAACACAGGGAGGCCCTCGCTTTTTTCTTTACCGGAGTATGTGAGAGAAGAAACTATGCCTGGAGGCCTCCCTGACTTTTGCATACTGTTATCATCCAAGTCTCTAGGTCGGATTGGTCGTACAATCTCATAGGGTGTTCCAAACCCAATTCCAGGACAAATCTATATTGAGTCATGTTTTTGACTTGCCCAATTCCGAAGCGACCTCTGAACTTGTCAAAAGGGTCTAAAGTATAGTCTGAGTTTAAGTCTGAATTGATTCTTTCTTTAGCTGGCCACTAATCCCAGGAAGCTCAATCGTTCCGACAAATAGTAATAATTTTATGGGAAGTTGACTTTATCTAGATCATATCCTGGAAATTCTCACTACACTATGCTGTTAGTAGTGTATAATTAGACTTATATTCTTTCAAGGTCAACAACGAATGTTATGCAAAACGTCATGTGATATTTCAGCCGATAATGTTTGAGTTTTATCGTCTTCCCACATCTTCATCTGATGTACAAGTATCACATAACAACTCAACGTCATTTTCCATCAGATCTGCTCGCCCCGATTGAGCTTCGAGACGAAAGAAGCTGGCGAACGATAAAAGACAAGCACAACATGCTTTGCTTTTTCCATCTACCATTTGGCCTATCAGAGCCTGCGCCCATCTCTGTCATCTAATGGCTAGTCCGGAGGATAGGCGCATTTCGACATTGACAAAAGACTTCAAATGTGCCTTGACACAGGTTTAATAACCTGCTGTCCCTTGTCAGGGGTTATTTAATCGTACTCGGCTTCACAGATCATGGTGGCCTCCGCCACTTACAGTTTTCCTTCCAATCTGGAGCTGGAGGCCACCAAAGGCGGCTGAACTGGTGGCCTCCCAATTATGAAGTACCTAATCTGTGCTTCGCCAAGTGTCCACTGCCAATCGTAAGATAGAGGCCACCAACGCAGAGGCTTGGATTGGTAGCCTCATGGGTGGCCTCTTGAAAGTGGCTATTGTGGTTCATACATCGCAAGGCTGTGTGTAACTGTACATGAATTGATCAAAAGTCAGTGGCCTCCCGCTTACTTCTCGATTCACTTTCCTATCCATTTTCTCAACAAAACAAAAAGCGATCATCTTACACTTCAGCTCGCAAGCATCATCAGCTTTTCCAACTCCAACCCCCGCTGCCCACATTGTAAGTACAGTAAGCGACGGTGATTCAAGTCCATTTCCGTGATTTTGCCGACGCGACGCGTTTTATCATTAATACACCTTTTTTTCAATTATTTAATATGCCACCTCAACGCACTCCGTTAGGTCCTATAAATGGGAATTCACACCGTGGGAAGGACATTACCCCATATACTAGAGGGCAGATTATTGGGGCGCACCGATCGGGCAAGAGAAATTGTTCTATCGAACGCGAGTATGGAGTGTCACTAGCAGCCGTTAAGTCGACCATTGCTAACGAGAATCACCAACCCGAGGGTATTTCTAAGAAGAGGCCTAGCGGACCAAAGATTTATTCGGAACGGGACTGTCGAATTATGCTACGCAATTTACGATTACACCCAAAAATGACTTTTGACGAGCGCCGGGCGGAAACTGGGCTTAAATGTATGAATACTTGGATTAAAGACCTTGCGCGTAAGAATGGGCTACACCACTGGCGTGTAAAGAAGCGCCCCGAACTCACAGACGAGATTGCCCTTCTAAGATACGAATGGGCACAAGTTAGAAGGCATTGGGATGTAGAAAGGTGGAGGAAATATATGTGGAGTAATGAGTGTTCGGCAGAGCGGGGCAAAGGCCAAAAGCAGATCTGGGTCTTTGGAATACCGGTTGAGAAATGGATACTAAAGAACGTCTCAACCTATAAAAAAGGAAAAGGATTAAGGATTATGGTCTGGGCAATGTTTTGGGGCAATGGAGAGAGGACGCCACTATACATTATAGACCGTGACTTTGAGTCAAAGAAACAAGGGTACTCGGCATCGTCCTACATCGAGGTATTAGAGAATAACCTACTATTTCACTACCAGGATGGCCTAGTATTTATGTAGGATAATGCCCCGATTCACACGGCTCATAAGGTCCGGGACTGGTTTATTCAGAATAGTATTCGTCTTACAGATTGGCCTCCTTACTCCCCGGACCTGAACCCGATTGAGCACGCCTAGAAAGCACTTAAAGAACTTGTGTGTGAGATGTTCCCAGATCTCTGGAATGGAAAAGGGAATTCGGAGGCCGATAGAGAGGCCCTTGAAGATGCTTTATCTAAAGCGTGGGATGCCTTACCTAACTCCTTATTCGAGAGTCTAGTAGAGAGTATGCCGTCCAGAATCGAGGCTTGTTTCGAGGCCGGTGGCTGGCATACTAAATATTAGGGCCCCGCAACGTCGCGCGGAGAAATCCTAGTAGTAGGATTTATAGAATAGACACACGCGAATCAAATGATACAATTTGTTTAGGGATAGCTATAGAATTGATTAAGTTACGATTTAATTAAGTCGTGGGTGTGAAAAGATAATTTTGGTGTTCTCGCTTAATGGACTTGAATCACCGCCTAGTACTGTACATTCGAAATAGTTGCTTACATGGAATTTCGACAAGTCATCGAGGTTTTCCAAGCAGCTCGTTCATTTACTTTCCTTCGTGCAAGCATTGTGCCCTGAAAGTTGCATGCAACCTGCACATTCCCTCCACCATCCCTTTTTACCTACAGCAAACAAATACTTTCTGCCTTTCAAATGTCATACGCTGAGAAGGAAACTGCTAATATTTTTGGTTTAGAGTGAGCCGGCGGGGATAAGTGTGCATCTTCATACTTATCCTGTATCTGCCACACCCAGAACTGCCTTGACTTCCAAGCCTGTTCTGATCTCTCGGCGATTCTCGCACGGAGACTATCTGTCTCCGTGCATCAAGAATCTCGAGAGAGTTCAATGACCATAGTTTAGAAAACTATTTCCAGTACGGTCTCCCTTCCTATGTCGAGGATCCAGTATTCTGGTCTTCAGGCACGGAAGGTTATTGTCCAAACATCGACTTAAACGCTATTCTTGACGATACATCTTCTTTTTCTCATGAGACACCGATTCAAGATCTCTCTCATCCTCAATTCGAACAGTTTGAAGACGGTTATTTGGAAGGGCATGTAAACGCCGCTCCAACAATTTCACCCTTGGCACATAAACCACACCTATCTCAACTGCTACCACGCCATTCACCAGCATCAGGCTCATTGAACGGGGCGAGCTCTGGAACAGCCCAAGTTACCCCAGAGCTTCCGCAATCAAACTTCAATCAACATTTTCAAGTGTTCACTACTCCAACTGGTAATCCACCTTCCTGGTTCAGATATCCATCATTTATCAACGACAAAACAGTGATAACTGCTGGCGGTTCTGTTCCTGGGGTCTCGGAGAGTACATCATTCCAATCAAGTTACCAATCTTCAAAGTATCCAGTCGTAAGCCAAACACAGCTTGACACTGGCCTTGCTACCTTTGACAAAACATTGGAAGATCAAGTCCCTAGAGTTCCACTCCCTGAGCCTCAACTCCAGAACAACCTAAGTCTGAGCTGCAAACTTTGCAAGAAGAACTTTCGTCGCCCTTGTGACCTCAGTTAAGCACCCCAATTGATGCTTCCTACCCCCTTTCCACGTGGACACAAAAGGCAGGGCGACTCTTGATGTATTGCCCTCCAATGTCTAGGAGTTTTCCACATGGAAAATACTGCTGAGCCTCTCACTACAACTTTCTTACTGACTCGAAATTTAATTAGGAAACACTTGAAAGCGCACAAAAGACTTTTCAAGTGCACGCTTCCATCCTGCAGCAGGAAAGATGGGTTCTCACTCTCAAAAGACCTTAGACGACACGAGGAAACTGTCCATGGAAGTGGCTCGATCGCCTGCTCGGAGCCCGGATGCAGCGAGAAGTTTACTCGAAAGGATAACCGCGACCGCCATGTCAAAAGACATCATGGAACCTCAAGTTGATGATAATACACCATCCGGGATACATACCCCTATGTCGACGCGACTTGAGAGTCGTAGAGTTCATTTACCAGGCCTGCGTTTATTCATCAGTCTACTACGCTACAAGTTTCCTGCCGAGGAAAAAGACAACTCACACACCACGTTCATATTTGCCTTCGAAGATCCAAAAGAAAAAGAAGATAGAAACATATTATGGCGGCCCATCTAGTTTCGGGGATAAAGACAAATCCTGCGTTCTCCTGTTTAATTCCCACAATTTCTTAGTTCCCTTTGTTTTGCATTTAGCATGGATGCCAACGGCAGCCGCAAGGAATTAGACGGAGGACCGGAAGTCTGGATTTCCACAGCAACTCGCCGAAATTAGCAAGCTGTTTGAACAAGATCATACTTGTTTTACGACTCCAACAATGGTTCGGTTCGGCATACACCCTTTTAGGGTGTACTTGTAATTCTATGGAAGAAACTTAAGTGTTTGGGAGGTTTTCGGATGTTTCTATCTTCAAATGGCGTAAAGGATGACGTAAAGGCTACGGTCTACAGATCTTTTGTTTGGGATTTCTTGAGTAAATGGCATACAAACTACGGCGTACGATTCTTTTCTTTGGGTTTTCTTTAGCCAATGGCATAAAGACTACGGCTCACGCCTCTTTTCTTTAGCTTTCTCTAGTATTTTCTCAGACCTATCTGTTTGATTTTGGTAATTTTGTCTTTTGATGGAGGGGCAGGGACGAGTCTTTTCTACAGACCAACAAACGTAAATAGTCTAGGGGTGCTTCAACATGCTCCGTCGGCTTATAAAACAAGAAACAAACTATTCAACATAGACAACAGAGGTCTACCTTCTAGTTTACAAGTGATTGACTGCCAAATCAATATTGTTAAAAGGGTGTCTAAATTGGTAATAGTAGTTGTAATTAAGGATAGCCTTATTAGTTACAACCCATAAATTACCTTTCTCGTTGTATGGAATTATCGAATGTCGACCTTTTTGGCACTTAATACTCTCGAAAGATAGATAAGTAAATGTACACTTTCAGACTTCGCATATGCTAACTACACTAGAATCTTCTCTATCCATAAATCAACTATAGTAGACTGTAACCATTTGGACAGTTGATCAATCCTAATGAATTTGATAATAAAAGAACAAAGAGGATGAAGTATTCATATAGATAAAAAACGCTGTTTCGGCACACTTGGCCAATACTCATGAAATTAGAACATTTGCCTTCCACATCACTTTTTCAGGAACAAACACCCTTTTTAAGCATTTTTGTAGATCTTCCGACTTAGGAATAGTATAACTAGAAACTTAGCAGCTTTTTCAGGTTACAGAAAGCTAATACGTTCGTTAATATATTGTAGAAATTGGATCTACTAAAGTAGGCCTTCTTTTTCGTGCCCCACCAGAGACGCTACTATTGCCATTGATAGCTCCCTTGGTGGGAGGTAGAAACTCGATAGGACAAAAGTCTAAATACGTGCTTGATCACGAGCCCAATTTCTCAAGTCTGTACACTCGACGTCGATGCTCACCTCACTAATTACATATTTTGAACTCGTCAGTCTGGCGACAAATAGCTATGAAACAAACTTCCTTTCGTGACTTTCACTTATGAAACATAATTCTTAAATACAAAAGACCTGGTGTTAGTCTCAACAGAAAGTCTAATAAAGAATAACCCAAAACTCCAAAATGTCACAACGACACAACTCAAGATTTACCTACTTACACGGATGCCAGCGAATAAGAGACTTAGAGGTGCAGATACAAGATCATGTCTGAAAGGCATTAGATGCACTAGTGTGATACAAGCGTAACGGGACAAGTTCACGTAATAGGATAGCGATAAACTTTATCTAGAAGCTCGATTTTCTTAATTAATTTGTTTAAAGACCCTTTATTGTGTGTTTTTTTTAGGAGAAATATATTTAATAGAGAAGGTGAGTATAAGTTCAGGGTTCTAAACATTACTAAACGTAGATGATTTAAAGGGTGGCTCATCAGACTTGCAATACACTGATAGATGTCTATTTACAAATTCAACTTCAAAATTGTTTAGAAGACTCACTAGATTGCGACTTCTAGTAAAAAGAAACAGCACTTCATAAAGTTAAGAATTGAACAACTAATTTTTCTATCATTAGATGTAAAAGTACTAGTCATAGGTTGTAATTAAAAGTAAATAATAGTTACAGCTTTAACAACCTAAGCACACGGTATAACGAAAATAATCTTTAACCTCGATTATCCTATGTTATTGATTATCTACTAATATTTATTATGTTAATCAAGTACCAGCGCATTATGGGGAAAACTAGACTACAATATATAATGTAAGTAAAACTAACGATTCGTAAAGCTTCGAATACAATACAAGCCTACGTACCTTAGGTATACAAAGCGGTCCCTTCCTTGTCTTTTCGTTAGATTCAGCAGTGCCCGTTTAGCTACCGACAACGTACTTCTATATAGCTCTACCTTAACGCTTCTAAACTCGTATAACGCAACACCTACTACAGCTTTCTCCATCTTCATTACCTATTATTTGCCGAGAATATAACAAAGCAAACACGAGAACCCACTAACCGTATACCTCATTAGACAGATGCTTACTCAAAACCCTCGATGTAGGTCTCGCCAGTCCACTACAAAAAACTTTCTCCCGAATTTCATTTTTGCGTTATTTGTATATAGCAGTGCGAGTCTTAGCAAGTATATGCGTAGAAGCCATGGGGAAGATTAAGAATATGTTTGTAGAGAGATGGGGGGAAAGGATGATAGGAAGGAGAACCACAAATCCACATCCTATATACCAACATCCCCAGATACTTTCGTTCCGAGACGAAACATATCCATACCACGTCACATTCCCGGCCACAAAACCGCAACCCCCCACCTCCCGACCCTCTCTGTAAAAAGGAGCAACAGAGAACCCACCACACAAACCAAACTCTATAACGCAATATAGATTCACAGGTATATAACTCAATCTCTCCTAACAGAGAAGCGGAAAATCCAGGTCTGGGGAAGATCTAGTAACTCTTTGTGTACTGGAATCCTTTGCGACAAAGATCTGAAGGACGTCGAAGTGATGATGTGATATGAATCCGAATTTTATTACCGGGTTTGAGAGGATTGTGGAGTGAGATCAACTACCTAGGCACTGAGATCCTAGTTGTCGGAGAACAAAGATGGCGAGTTTACAAAACGATATCACAAATCACACCCAAATTCAAGGAATCACATTCATTAAATAAATCCATTCCAACTTCCCCCTCCTATCCCATATATCAAACATCCATCCTATCCCTACAACCCACCCAAAAACGCCACGCCATTCAATGCATCCATCCACCCATCCAACAAATTCCCAGTAAACACAACCACATCCTACAAGATTACAAAAAAGGCTATACACACAAAGATGGTACAAAAGAAAAATCCCAAATAACCATCCATCTATCTCATGATCATACACAATGCCCAGCGTCGAGACATTTACCACCTCGTAGCAGGTCTCGCCCGACTCCCCGCCTGTCGTTCCCATCCCCAAGTTTTCTTCCCATTCTCATACCCCTTCCTGAAATTCCCACTGCCTAGCAGCTCCGAAATAGAAGGTTGTTCCATCTCGAGCATCTGCGCATGATTTTGATAGGGTACGAGGTTTCGTACTGGTTTAGTAGTAGACGTTGTTTTGCGTTTGACGGGTGGTGCTGATTCCACAGTCTTCCGTTCGTCTTTGAGGATATCGCGGAGTTCTTTATCGTCGTTTGTGATCTGCGCGCGGAGGAAATTGAGGGAGGGGTTTGAGGCGAGGGTTTCCATGACGGGTGTGCGGTGGGTGTAGGCGATTTTAGAGAGGTCTGGGGGTGAGGTGGGGATGATGGAGGGGTCGAGAGTAGCATTAACTTTAGTGAGGAGGGTGGACATGTCGATGGATTCGCCATGGGGGATGGGGGTGTGGTGGGAGGGTGTGATACAATCCATGTCTACTTCTTTGCGGAGCACGTGGTCGATGTCGACTGCTGAGAAATAGGCGCATGCTTGGGGGAGGTCGTTGATTCCGACTTGTTGAGAGAACATGGCGCGTGTCCAGATATTGGAGACTTGAAGTGCCATTGCTGCTCTGTATTTGTCTTCTTCGCGGACAAGATAGCGGATCTCATCGTGGACAGTGATTGCAAGACGTGCGTCGACGTTGAACCTGCGTATTAAATAATCCATGCTGATTATGAGAAGATGTAGGTAATCGACACCTGATGACTGAATAGCCCAGTTGATTCTGGAAGTCATAAACCCACCGGTACTAACGAAGCGGCTCATCAAAGCCTCCGTGATTCCAGCTCCGAGTACTGGTGTTCGAGGTCTTTCTTGTTCCGCGAATTCTTCCAGCTTATTGAAAACAAAACTCTCCGTTCCACCTCTCCAGAAAGCCTTCTTATGAAGAGTCTTTCTATTCGTCTTTTGACCTTTTGTAGCTTTGTATAAATTGGAAGCAACTTTCGTGGTCTCTGCCTCTGAGAGACTGGGATTAAACTGTCGTAATAATGTAGAAGCGAATTTGAGTCCAGCTCCATAAATTCGACCATAATTAAACACTTTGGCGTCATTCCTAGTAATGCCTAGGATACCTGCCGTCCTTGAATGTAAATCGGTTCCAGCTGCCTTGGTACCTTCCAAGGTCATGAACCCAACTGCATTCCCACCATGAACCTTAAACTGAGCATCACCAATAAGACTGGCAATCCACAATTCCTCAGAATCGACATCGGCACCAACGAAGCAATATCCAGGAGGCGCTTTCACCATCGACTTGAGTTCCGATCCAACTCTATTCTTCTTGGCGTTACTGGCCGTGAGCCATGTGTTTTCAACAGCCCTTCGAGTGACTGTTCCCATAGGAATTACTTGAGGCAGGATATACCCTGTTTCTGAAGTCGATTTGCCATGTGCAGACCCTTTCGCTCCATCACCTTCATACACGACCATCTGAGACATGATCCGATCTCGCGCACTGATCCAGTAGGAACAAGAAGCATTCATCTCGAGGGCTTCCTTGGCATAGGCAAATTCAGATGACAGAATTCCCTTTTCGAAATAAGCCATGTAGCTTTTGGCCATTGGATTGGCACATCTTGCTTGTGGGCCATCTTTATGCGGTACTTTGAAATAAGCATTACTTCTGTCATCTCTTAAATGCATATCCTTCTCTTCAAAAGCAGTACATTTCTGCATTTGCTTCTGCTGATATTCATGGGCTTTTTCTATTGCGACTTTGAAGGTCCAACCGTATTTGTCAGACCACACCAGGGGATTTCCTTCCCACGATAACCGCAGCAACAAAGGTGCAATGCGTGTTCTCACAGTCAACCCAATAGGTCCGTCTTTCTTCATAAACAAATCTTTATACCACTGTGGCATTCCAGGCATCTTCTGCCGTGCGGCAGGTCGAGGTGGATCGTTCTTCTTCTTTCCTTTGACCATCTTAACTTCCTGACCCGACCAGTCAAGTTGCTTAAGCCAAGGATCGTTGCTCCACTGTGTCGAATCCCCTTTGATAGCTAATGCTTTTTCTGCAAGAGCCACAAGTCTCTCCTGAACAGCATCCGATAATTTGTGATATGTTGCTTCTGCATTTCCAAGATATGCCTCCCAGGATTTATCAACAGGCAAAATGACGGAAGAAAGATGTCGCAAGGCAGCGAAACTGACGGGATGCGGACAAGTTTCGAGAAAATTTGGAAACACTTTCTTGTATACACGGTGGGTGACATCGACATCCGCAGCGCAATAATCCAGCAGTTCGTCTAGCTTGTCTCGAACACCCGCTCGATCCAACTCACCAAAATATTCTCGCTGCGCTTTGTCGATGTTGACATTGAGGTGAAACTTTGCCACGTCTCGCAAAGAATTGACAGAACTTCTACCAACCCATAGCTCCTCCTCCTCCTCTGTCAGAGCCTTATTCCCAAGAAGTCCGGCCAGTTCCACATTATCAGTCTCTCCTGCAATTTTATCTCGTAATTCTCGATTCTTCCTATGTTTCATCCAGGTCGGCCGTTGACGTGAACACATTCCATTCACAGCTACATGTAAGGACATGGTATCCAAAAAATTATTCTTCGATTGTTGCAAGTCGTACTCTTCGGCGATCCGCGCTCGGTCGTACCCGATATTATGTCCAATTATTATCCGATGTTGATTTGGGTCTCCCAGAGGTATGAGCTGGCGATCGTTCTCTGTCTCGCCCAACAACCATGGTGATAACCAAGCGTACCAGTGCGTAGGACTGACAGCGCATGCCATTACAGCAAAAGAACTCTCCTTCCACATTACTTCCGTATCAAAACATAACATATCCTCCTGTGGCGCATCAACTGCCTCCGAAGTCCCATCCCCAAAATACTTTGTCCATCCACTTCTTCGAACCCATTTTCGTGGCTTTGGAGGCGCGTTCGCACGCGTGAATTGATTAGCCTTAGAGAGATATGGTTCTGCGGCATCGAGTCCAAGTTTATAAAAGTGTTCGTCAAGGGTCCGGCCTTGAAGTTCGGGAAGATCAAACGAAATCGGAGGAGTGTTGTCGGTATTCTTCCCTAGAAGCTCATGGCGACGTAGATGATCCTTGGATAACTCAACGAGGTTTTCCGGGGCTGGTTGGCATCCATCCTTGAAGATCTGTGAGTAGACGTGACTACTCAACTGCTGTACCCCTATTTCATTGAAGCGTGCTTTGGAGTCTGCCACAAAGTTAGAAAGATAGAAAATTAATCAGCACAAAGAACATATTCACCTGCAAAAGGAGCAGCCGCTGTGCTCCCAGCAACCCCTGCGGAGTCGGCTTCCGTGGCAAGATATCTACATTGTCGCAAGCTCTTCGAAAGACCTCCTCGAGGCGCACACTGTCTTGCGAATCGCAGATGCCTTGCGCAAGGTCTACTGGAACGACCGAGGCGTGTTGAAAGAAGCATAGTATGCTGTTAGTACAATAGTGTGTTACCGCAGCATGGCAATAGATTGGTGTCCAACGCTGTGATGAGTGTGGTGCCTATGTCCGTGGTGGATGGTCGTGACGTGCACTACTGGAGGTCAATCGCGAAAAGGGACCTGACTTTCTCTGCCTTTGCTGCTGTCGGCGATTGTGCTGCAGATGACGGTCGTGTTAACGCCGAACGAAAAGGTCCGTAATCGATAAGGGTAAAGTTGCCGTCATCTTGCCCTGGCCTGAACCAGTCGTGAATTTGGAACGGCGGTTTACAGCACGAGGGCCCCTATTTTCGGGCCTGTCGGGCCTCTTCGCTCGCCTCTCACAGCGGATTACCAGCAGATGCAGGTGCCGTGGTCCCGCTTGGCCACCCAAACATGCGCCCAAAGGGAATGAATAATGCCACACCAAAGGACTTCTTCGGGTTGGCTCCGTGAAACCCAACCATCTTGACGTCGCTCCTTCACAATTTCGCTTTCTTCTCTCCTCCACGGTCGATATACCCCGTACATACATTATATTGCCCACGAGAGGCCTCGCTCTAGCTCTTTTCTGTTTTAATATTCCTCGACCACCAGAGCTCAATGTGCAATGGCCGGCAGACCCTCGCTTGCGCCTTTCCTTCAAAATTCGTCCTTGCAGACCCCTGGCCGTTCGAGCAACGCAAATTCACCTTGGAGTGCCCGCGATGGAAATGATCTGGACAACCTCACGCTGAGTTTACCGCCTATAAATCCAGACATAGATGTCGACAACGACTTCGATCTCCCACCATTTTTGGATAGTCATCGGTTTTTCGGCGTCGAACCGGGCGCTTCATCATCAAATACCTCTGGAACGAACAACCTCACCTCCGCCCCACCATCAGATCGAGACCCAGCACATCGACGTCAACCGCCACCATCAGATCAACAACAAAGTGCAAGACCACGAGCTCGCCGAAGCTCTTTCACAGAACAGTACAGAATATCGAGTTCGCCCGATCCATACGGAAGCTTTATCGATCTCGACGATCTGCAAGGCTTGGACGATTTGGAGGGGTTCAGCGAAATCGAACATCAAGAACAGTCGAGAAACACAACATCAGACATGCCAGCCACGACACGAACAGGCACTCGACGAGCGAGTATCGTCGACCTGACAAATTCGCCCACTCAATCACGTCTAACAAAACGAAAAAGAAGTGCGCCACATGCGGATGAAGGCCATAACAGGCACAAAGTGGCAAGGACGGCCGCCTCTCCTTCCAGGAATCGTCCCAGCGTTCCACCAAAAGAAGAAGAAGAAGTAGAAGTGGTCGATTTGGCAGATGTGGAAAATGAACAGCAATATCAGGATCTGCGAGCAAAGAAGGCTGCGGAGCTATCGAAGAAGCAAGCTCTGGACGAGGCGACAAGACCAGTAAAATTGGCACAATTCAATTGTATTATCTGCATGGATCAACCCACAGATCTGACTGTCACACATTGTGGTATGTACTTTTGTTCAAGGTGACAAGACTTATGCTGACTCCCAAAGGGCACATGTTTTGCTCCGAATGCCTTCATCAAGCACTCTACGCTGGCGATAAGAAATGCTGTCCAGTTTGCAGAACCGCAATTACCATGCCGACCCCACGAGACAAGAAACTCCCAAGCAAGGGAATATTTGCTCTGGAAATGAAACTCATGACGCGGAAGAAGGTAGGGAAACAGCCAATGCGACGGGTTGATTGATCAGGGCGTAATATTTCATGGAGTTTGGTTCAAGGCAGGGAATGCATCCTCGGCGCAATGGAATTAGGACCAACAATGATACCAATGTTTTATTTAAGAGCGACGTTTTCTGACGCCTGTATAGAATATTAGAGTCTTGATAGGATGACTTTGAGCGAATATATTGCCCTCTGGGTAGCCGTCTATTTTAAATTACTTAGGTTGTAATGAACATAGCAGTGGTCTTGAAATGCCCATAACCATTTACAATTCATGTCCACTTTTCGATATGCACAAAAGCGAGGGTAAAACCATTGCTTTACTTTCCATTCTCGGACTATGTGCACTGGTGATCTCGACTACCTAGGTAGGTACTATTTAATGTGTCGGTTAGTGTTTCCGAATTGGATATGTGGATTACTAGCTACCTAGGTTGACTCTGTCTTTTAGTGGCTATGTAGGTTCAACACCATTCCAGAGAAAAATTCGAATGATTTGAACATGCAATTATCAACTAATAATACAATCTGAAATCACAAGAAGTTAGAGACCCGCTGAAGGCAGAGGAATGAGCACGTGATAATGCCACATCTCAACCTCGCCCAGCTGCTAACCTCGAACAGAACAACAACGTATCCCAATATCTCATAAAGTATAGACCTTTGAATTCACATTCAAGGAGCAAAGAGTAATGACTCACTTCCTTTACACAGCCTTCCTAATTTAACTCTGTAACGAACACATATTGTCCCTCGGATTCAATACGAGCAGTTTGACTCACTAGCTCATCTCGCCAAATGAGCAGTATCACATCAACAACGAGCAACTGTGTCCTATCAGCAATTCATAAACTCATAAAGCAAGGTTATCTTCAACTTATTTGAGATGACTAGAAGATCCAAAACAGCTAGAAAAGGGAGTTGACAAGATGAACTCGAATAGACGTCATATAGTTGTGTTTTCTGGTGGGAGCGCGGCGAATAGTTTGGTTGATGTTTTTGGGAAGATTGCGGGTGGGAGGGGAGGCCAGTTGAGTTAGTGAGTTTATTCTAAGAGGATAAGTTTAGAACTTAAGATCAGTGCTGATTTATGTTCTACAGCATTATTCCAATCTCGGATAATGGTGGAAGCTCGAGTGAGTTGATAAGAGTATTTGGAGGGCCGGGTATTGGGGATGTGAGGAGTATGTCATTCAATCTTCCATTTGACGGCTTTCATAAATTTCGAATGTTCTACACAACAGCTTACACTTCTTAGGTCGCCTCGTCCGTCTCATCCCCACCTCATTAGATCCCCAAAACGAAGCCATCCGCACATTCTTCAACCACCGCCTCTCCTCCACCCCAACCCTCGCCGAACAAGAATGGCAAAGCATAGTCCTTGGAACACACTTCCTCTGGACCTCAATACCCTCTCACAAAAAAGAACTAATCCGCTCCTTCCTCAATAATCTTAACCTCGAAATCGTCAAGAGAGCCCGTCCATCCAGCATTTTCAACTTCCAATCCGCATCCGTCGGAAACCTCTTCCTCACTGGCGCTCGTCTCTTCGTTGGCTCCTTTGAATCAGCCATTTACCTCCTAGGCGCCATAACTTCCGTCCCTCAAAACGTTTCCGTCATCCCTGCTATCAACTCCAATTTCTCTCATCACATCTCCGCCGGCCTAACAGATGGTACCGTCATCGTCGGCCAGAATGAAATCTCCCATCCCTCAGCACCAACCTCCGCTCCAGCTGTATCCCCACACGCCCGTCGTGTCTCCCTAGCTACAGACATCGAAGACGCAAATCTCCCCGGCACCCACCCAACACTACGAAAGCAAAACATCACATTCGCTAAATCCGACACACCTGACCTGCCATCACCAATTCAGAGGATCTGGTACATAAATCCTTACGGCCAGGAAATCCGACCAACACCCAATCCAAAAGTACTAGATGCCATCTCCGCCGCCGGTGTAGTCATTTACAGCATCGGCAGTCTATACACCAGTATCCTCCCCTCCCTAGTCCTCAAAGGCGTCGGCGAACGCGTTCGCAGTGCAGAATACAAAATCCTCATCCTAAACGGCTGTATCGACCGCGAAACTCGCAGTTTATCCTCCGGAGACTTTACCGCAAAAGACTTCATCAAGGCGATTGGGCAGGCGTGTAAAGCCGAGGAAGAGATTCAGGAGAGCGAGTATAGGGAGTATGTTAGTCACGTGGTACATCTTCAGGGGGAGGGCACGCCGAGGGTGGATAAGAGTGAACTTGCGGGATGGGGAATTGAGACGGTGAGGTTGTATGGGCGGAAGATGGGGGGTGGGGGCATGGTTTATGATGGGATGGCGCTGGGGCAGGCTTTGGAGGCTGTGCTTGGACGGGGGGAGAGGGAGAGGGGGAGGAGGAATACGCTTGAGCGGTAGATTTAGTAGATTACGACTTTTTCCATATATGATACTAGAATAAATGAATGGAATAGAGAAATAACATGGGCAATATGCTTCCTAGATCCGATGAAGAGCAATAAGCGAAGTTGCTCCATAGACCGAAATGGGATACAAAAATTGCAGTAACATATATATATAGACAACCCCCTTAACCAAGCCCACATATCATACAAAATTATACAGAATTCACCCATCCCTCGCTCCAACCATTTCATCACCTCATTTCGTCGCTTTCACATCACTTTTCAGCCCACCATCCTCCCTATCTTTCACCTCCTCCTCCCTCAACGCCGCAATATTCTCATCGATAATCGCAATCTGCGCATTCACCTTAAGCAATTTCTCCTGCAGCATCTCGTCGTACTCCGTGTCACTCAGCACTTTCATCGGACTCCATCGCGAGTTCAGCCAGCTGTGGTTGTTCGGCTGCTCTTCGTCAGGTTGCCGCGCTGAGCGCACGTTGAAGATGTACTGGCCCGTTGCTCCGAAGAGCGTGAACATTAGGATGCCGGGGATGATGTTTTTGGGTCCTCCTGGAGGGGGTTAGATGGGAATGGGAAGGGGAAAGGGGGAAGGGGGAAGGTACTTAGGAGACCACCGAAGGCTCCGGCTGTGGAACCGGCTAGGGCGCTGGCTTTTATTTTATCTGAGGGTGTTATTTCTTGTGAGGGTTTTTGTTTGGTCCATGAGTGCAGAATTGCGCTTCGTGATGCTGGTTGAGTTAGTATCTGAGCTGTAAAGTGTGAGGGGGTAACTTACCGTAGAATGAGGTACCAAGAGTAAACCACTGAATCCCTGATGCCAATGCGAATATAATTGGAGTTTTTGACCGGATTACACCGCCGAATCCTCCTATGATGGTTCCGGATATTCCTGTTGATGGGTGTTAGATATATATATTTGAAGGAGGATTTTTTCGGGGAAGGGCAGGCTTCTCTTACCTGCAACACCACCTATCTGTAAGGCCGGCATTATTATATCCAATATTTCCTGAGGTATCCTCCTATCCCTCGCACCCTCCTCCTCGTATGTTTGTGTTCTTCGGCCGCCATTGGGACGGTCTTCTCGGCTCATATTTTTTTTGCTCTTTGAGTGGATTTATTTTACATCCACAAACTAGATATCATTGTGGTAGGTCTCGCTTTTCAGTTTCAAGTATCATGAGCAAAACCACAACATATAGTTTGGCTCACCCATCCTGTAGAGGATTTGCAGTGGATCCATGAATCTCAAGATGAGAGATAGCACGTGACAGCTAATCTGTCCTAAACAATCCTAGCGCAATCCGAGGCGCACCCTTGCGCATTCACAAAAACTAAGAAGTGCGCTTGTAGGCAGGCAAAAAGTAAAGGGCTAAACTATTTCGCCCGATCTTCCAACTTCCACGACCACGTTCACGAGCACAACCAAGTCGACGGACTTGATATTTCGCAACAGAAACCCTTTCGATCAATTTTAGGAGGGCCCGACAGCCTCCTTCCCACTTCCATAGACAACGCGCCTGGCCCGCAGTCAAGCGCAGTGTTGAGAAAAAACCGCAATCATGGGTGAGCTACTTCCAGATCGAGCTCCGCACTGCGAAGAACGCGTGGATGGATGAGGAGATCAATTCGAATACATGAGAAAGAGCGCTGACGGTGTATGGTGTAGCGCCTAAAAAGAAGGAGCAGCAGCAGAAGATGTCCCTCGGGGCCTTCTTGACTGACGAGAGTAAGAGCACTAAAACCTCAACGCCGAGGTGGGATCGTACTGACGAAGCACAGATACCGGATCATGGGCTGATGAGATGGAGGATATGCCAATTTGTAAGTTCCTGCGGAGCCTGCTGTGTTTGGGCGTTTGCTAAT